CACGGACACCCAGCCCTCTCTGCATTCAGAATCGAAAGTGTCATCTCTTCCAGAACGGACTCGGAACGCCATAACGATAACTGGCTCTTTATCCCGGAAGGCAACGATCGAGGACATGCGTTTTGCCAAGTCCAACCGCATCACCGCAAAACAGGTCAAAGAAGTCGGTGGAGTAGGTAGGGCGACTCGAACAAGGGAGCGTTTGCTTCGACAGCCGGAAAATCAGAGGATTTCGGAGCTTCACAAGGAGATAGGAGAAAACTCCGTTTTGAAGGCGCAGACTATCAGTGAAGTTGACTCTGCACAGGTGACCCGACGATCAGCTACACAACCCCTTCGCAACTTCGAGGGCAGCAAAAGCTTAGTGAAACAAACCCACCACAAGGATCTTCAACTGCAGCGAGCATGGCAGACGATCGCAGCCGACGAACGACGGAAAATGCAGGATTTTTCCAGAGGTAAGTTTATGGATTTAAGAATCGGAGTGCATTGATTCCTTGTTGTTAACTCCAATGGGCATTCAAATAACTAAAACGTACTTTTATTTTTGTTTTCTTGATAGGAACAGGACAGACCCAACCAGCATCAGTCAACACAGTCGACTCTATCGATGGGTGTTGCAAGTGTGGTAGACACCACCTCCCAATCCGCGTTGGAAGGGCACTCACCTATCCACAGGAATGCCCCAGAGATGCGTTGCCCATCATCCCTATCATGTTCGTCGGGACGGCAGGAATCGGAACCGGGAGTCGCATTGGCGGTCATCTAAAGTACGGCGGAAAAAAGGTCGTTGAGCAACATGCCCTCTCCGTCCCTGTACTGATGACCGATGAAAACATGACAAGCAAAGTCTGTCCGTTTTGTTTTGCGATTCTACGCCTCGTCAAGGAACTGAGACTTGTCAACGGAGTCGAGAAGCTGGTCACAATCAACGGTGCGGTTCAGTGCGAAAACCCCAACTGTGAGAGTGTCCGCGCCGGTTATGCACGTCGAGGCAGGGACAGCAATGCATGTGTCAACATTGCACTTGCGGGATTCACGACAATCATGAGCGACAACAGACAGCCACTTCCTCCCTACAGGAGATCAACGCGTCCAGAGGGCGCCACCCCTTCAGAACCCCAGTCTCTCGCTACTGGAACACAACAAAACATCGAGCACTTCGACAACGGACCCATTGACAACAATGGCTTCCCGCGACGCTGCTGATGAGCTAGCCTAGCTAGATTTATGTAAGTTCCCATCTGCTTGTTTCCCATTTATGATTTGCTACGGAGTCTGCTATCAGTAAACCTCAGATTAACCAAAACATCCTAAATTTTGGATGAAATAGACAATAAAATAGGACAAGGGAAATTCATGAGATCCCGATGGGTCACAGAGCACTTGACTGGTGACTACATTGAAGGAGTACGCCAATTTTGCTCCCAAGAGTTATGACCGACAGTTTGCTCTTGACAACCCTTGTATCGCTTCCCTCGATGACCGCCTTCCTAAAGACCGTCTGTATTCGTCAGCCAGCATGCAGCATCAGTAGCTTCGATACGGGCATGAGAATACAAAATATTAGTAATAAAAGAGGGCAAGTGGTTGGTCAAGGATCGCAGAACCCAAATGAGCAAATGAAAATGGAGGCTCAATCTCAATTTTCAAGGCAAAAACTAGCATGCTGCGTTCAACAAGAAGTATCGCGGGCTCACAACGTCAATTATTTTCAATGTAAACTGCGTTTCGAACTGAGTGTAAAGTTTGTATCGCGTCTCGCCTTCAATTGAAACATCGCCTCTTGATCTGGAAACATTGCGTTTCTCATTCGATAAGGAGAGAGGGTTCTCCTCCATCATGGCACCCAATGCATCGAATATCGCGATACCGCATCATCAATTCAGAGTGTTCGTTATGGTCTAAAACCAATGGATCGCATGTCGCCGATTTAAAAAAAAACGCACTTCTTTCAAACGATCTATCGGCTACAGCTGAAAAAGGTGTATATGACAGACAACACAAGCTGCAATACCGGAGGCAGCAATACCATTTTCATGAAGAGTAAACCCTATGTTACTTTCTATTTGTTTGCACATGCCCTCAAAGTTGTTGATTGTTCTATACAAACAGGAAGAAAAGGGATCGTTTTACTTTTCTTCATCCATCGACTGCAGAAACGTATTCTTAAAAAATAGATACTTGATAACGAATCAAAAAAGGCAACAAGATCAAGGAAGCTCTGAACCCAGCCACCCCGCGTCCGCTAAAATGCGCATTTTACTGTCGAGGGGCTGGGACACAATCTCCCTTTTTACCTAGGCTCGACTCCATCCGTCGATAAGCGTCTACGATTCTTATTCTCAGTCTTGGTCATGAGGCATTTGCTTCTCTGACGGCTGGCGTCAAAGTCGGAGGCCTTTTTGTTACATGATGTCATGGTGAGTCTCTGCCGACCAAGCCACTCGTCAACTCAACTGTCCCCTATCACGCCGTTCCCTCCACCGTTCCTTCGTAAGAGTGCACCTCTCCCCTCCTGTTTTTTCTTTGTCATTCCTCCCCCTTCCTGTTTTTTCTTTTTCTTTCTCTTTTTCTTTTCTCCCCCTCCTGTTTTTTCTTTCTCTTTTTCTTCCTCTTTCCTTCACCCTCCCCTCGTCCACATCCTCCACCCTCAACCATCTCCCCTCTCATCCAGCTCCACTCTCAACCAGCTCCCCTCTCATCCAGCTCCCCTCTGTCCGCATCGTCCTCGCCACCTTCACCTCTCTTTACTTTCGCCATCTTCATTCGCCCTCGAATCCTTTGCTCACCTCTTTTATTGTTCGATATTGGACTCGCCCTCAGCCGCGTAATCCGCGCACATACCAACAAGGAAGCAAGGTAAAAAATGGGTCAGTCTTGAGTGGCAACAGCCATGACGTGTGTACGGGTGGAGAAGTGATGGTGAGCTGGGTCCACCTTGGGTACAGAAGAGCCAAAAACTGGGCTGTGCCCTGGGCTGCTCTTCATATGACCTGACCGTCAGCCTCGGCTGGCAGTGGCGCTGGATTTGAGCGGGGCTACTCGGACCACTCTGTAGGTACAGAAGAGCTATAGAACATGCCATGCGCTGGGCTGCTCTTCATATGACCTCCGCCATCGGCGGTGTTGCTGGTCCTTGTAGCTTTGCTCTCCGTCAGACTCGTGGGTACTTGAGGGTGCTTCGGCCCTCACGACGACCTCTCTCATTTCTTGGCATCCACTTCTCGCTGAGGGTACCGTGGCTTCGTGTGCATGTATGATTGTCCAACTCCGTGGGTACCGAGGGCTATAGGACATGCCACGCGCTGGACTGCCTTTCATAATGACCTCACCGTTACCTGCCTGGGGCAAGCTTTGGGTAACGGTGGTGATGCTTGTTTCTGGATCTAGTACCGTCGTCTGCGATGTGCCTGAGGTCTTTTGAGACCTCGCTCAGCTCGGCTGCTTTCACCGCTGGGTGACTGGGGCCATCACCCCTGCTTTGTGGGGGTGGTTTAATAGCACACAAAGAAGTTGTACGGTTGTGTTTTGTTGTTGCTTAAGGCTGACCCATTTCTTTTTCTTCTTTCCAGTCTTTCTCTGTCCTTAATAGGTTTGTACGAATTTTCTTAGGATTGTCCGAGCAAGATTATGCGATAGAATCGAGCAAGAGGGTAGCAATAGGATCAACGACAAGATAGAATTAGTTGCATTTCGGCTGTTCAATAAAACATAGAGTAAAAGGTGCTGAAAAACAATGTTCAACATGACAAATATAACAAACTCACAAGGGTATTGCAGTTGTTTGTTTACATCGAAAACATGTCTGTATTAATATACGAGTAGATTGTCTTTTGCAGCGGACGCAGTCTGAGTCCCATAAAAGACACATTCCTCCATCTGACCATGTTCAACTTCTTCCACCATCTCTCTCTACTACAACTTCTCACGGACATTCATCATTGGCATCCACGGCCTCTGAGCTTGACTGCGAAAGAAAGACAAATACCCAACCCCTCGCACGCATGGGCACAGCGTTCTACCCCACATACAGCCTTGGCTCCTGCTCTCAGCACTCGATCCATGTCGATTTACTGGGTTCTCTACCCTACAGTTCAATATGCGTATAGCTGCAGCATTATCCAAAATCGCATGGCTCACACAAAAACGTTTTGTGGAGAAGGAAGCTCAAGGCAATCAATTCTGACCAATCATTTTTTTTTTGAAAAGCTGTCGATTGGAAATGCAAGCATAGGCATACAAAGTGCCGACGGTTCTGAGGATATTGAAGCTCGCTGTAATCGTGTTGGAGTCATCAGGTAGATCCGGCCGTGGACGGAGTCATATTATATTTGTTTAATTGTCTATGTGCTATCGTCCTATTTTCGTTGTTGCTTTGGGGATGATGTTAGAAGGCTTTCCGTCGTCATGCAGAAACACAGACATACGCTAAAACCAAGAAGGTGGTGCATTCAGAGAGTATTCGTGAAAGTACTCGTATAGTTGATGAGCCACTTGTGTCTGCGATATGATTTTGATAAAAACAAAATAAAAAAATCGCTTCACTTCCTCAGCCCATCCTTTCTTTGTCACCATCTCCTCAGTCACCTACCCCTTCTTTGTCATTATCTTCTCAGGTCTTTTCGCATGTCGTCGTTCCTGCTCCAAGCTCGAGTCCCGCTCCGTCGCCGGTTCTTTCGCCTATCGTCATACCCGTTTCAGTCTTGAGTCCTGATCCTTCTGCCTCATTGAGTCGGTCTACACCTCACTTCCCCCGAAAGGTACTCCACCCAACACTGCAGCTCCTATCACTCCAGCGTTTTCACCCACTCCAGCTATTTTCATCACTCCCTCACCTCTCCCGTTTGGTGCAATCGATCCTATCTTTGACTGGGCAGTCGACACCTTGGACGAGGCTTGCAGAGAGCGTCTCCTCCGTCCCACGGCCGAATACAATTACAAGGTCCTTCGCATCGCCAGTGAAACCAAGAAACAACAAACGGCTGCCAATACAAAGTATGCCATTCTCAGAACCCGATAGTGGAAAACAACTTGCCAAGAGTCCTCAAGGCTTGGCTGTCTTACTTTCCACAATCGATACTCAGGTCGCCAACGCAACCTCCCGCATTACGAGTCGCTGCAAGACTGTTGTCCTCGGGATACGTCGCCGGGCCACCGAGGCCATCAACATCACCAATACCACCAATACCGTCGATACCACCAACGCCACCAATATCACCAACTTCACCAATACCACCAGCACCGAGATTCTTAGTGAAGTCGACTAGAGACTCCTCAGCATTCTTTGCCCTGCCTTCTCCAACAAGATTTAGTCGAATACAGCAAGGAGGGAACAGACCAAGAACCTGACAAACTCGAGGGGCCCCAGGAACACGACGACAGCCATGACAAGGAAAACGAGGCGCTATCGTTTCTCATGTCGCTCCTTACAGCCATACATTTTCTACCAAGCTTCCCAAAAATAAGCGGGATGGGTGTTTGCACGTCCGGAAATTCATCAAACAAGCGCAGGACTTCTTGTCCAACTTTACGGAGCGTAGAACTACAGAGGGGTATTCTGGGTCTTCGTTTCTGAAGTCTGCCGCCTTGCAGTTATCCGTCGAGCTAAAAAAAATCACTTCAGGAATGGAGCGATCGATCTCCGCAATAAGGTATAAAGAGTTGGAAGCTGTAACTTCTATTTAGTCATAAGTTTTGACATTGATCAATGTCAACACAATTATTTCCCCCAAAAACAATAGATCGAAGTCCTCAAGCACAAGAAACTTCTGCCTTCAGAAGCGAGTGGTTACATTAGGCCTCGAAGATCTGCAACAGAGAATTTCATTCTATTGAAAAGGGCCTGCAGAAATCGTTACTCGTTGGTGCCAATGTCGTCTTTCAATATCAAGTTTATTACTTTGTCGGATCTGGATCTGACCAGGACCTACCATTGAGGCGCGTGCTTCAGCCGTATGGCTTCCCAGAGTACCCGAGTATGGAGCATTCCGATCAAGGCACACATGCAGATGTTGGTCTTTGGCTGTCAACAAAAATGCCTGGGTTCCTCATCACCAGGCTACTCACCAACATTGGCCGGTACTCAGCGGATCAACGGAAAAGGCCTCGAAACTATTCCAAGTCGACCATCCTGATGCCTTTGGAAGGGGTAAGGAGTCATCTCCAGAATATCCGGGACGACAACTTTGAACCTACCTCCCTATACCGAGAAAGACTACGTTCTGCGTGGATCAATTCGGACAGACGGGTTCCGGCTCCAAGTGCTTGCTTTCAAGTTGAATGAGCTCCATTCGGTCAAGTACAGACCATTACCCCGTGGAGAAGATGCCTTCTCAACTAACATCCACTGTTGGCGGTACGGATTGTTTTTTGACGGAGATCAGGAATATCGTTTCAAACAAGTAGGATGTCGCCCAGCTCTGGAGATGCGATCCCAAGAGTATCAAGATCCTTGGGATTGACTTGGGTCAAGCATTTGTCGTTAGAGCGAGTGCGATTCTACCCACTCGCGAGCAGCCGAATGTCTAACAAGGACAAGAGTCAGGTATTACTACCATGGAGTCGTCGCTGTCGAGTGTTGAGGCAATGGAAGATGAAGAGGTCCTGCACTCGCTCTTCGATGCCGGCGCATATAAGTGCTTGCAGTTGCCAGCTTGCTCGCCCTGTGCGATTTATCTTGCCTTGTGCCGCTTGTCCTTGTTCTTGACTTTGTCTTGTCCTTACCCTTTCCTTGTCCTTTCCTTGTCCTTTCTTTGTCGTTGCCCTTCCTTGCATGTTCGTCCCTGTACTGTTACTCGGTACATCAGTGTCATGCTCGATGCAATCATGCCGCGAGATACCATCTATTGATCAATGAGAAAGGATTTAAATATAAAATCGTCAACTGTGCCAGACACCTATCCAATGGGTTGGAAAACGGTGCTGAACAAAGACAAGGCTAAGGTGCACAAGGTGCAGAGCAGAGAAAGACGTATGGAAATGACCAAGTAATCATACACACATACTTCACGAATGACAATGTGACCCAATAGGAAAGGTGCTCAGCATTGACACATGTCTCTCTTGGTCGTCTTTTTCACTGGCAGCTACCAGAGACACGTTTGTATCCGTAGCGCAGAAGAAAAAGAGAAGACGTCAAAGAAAGTAGTGTGCCCTGTGTAAGGAGAAAGAAATCAAAAACAAAACGTGCCATGGTGGAGAAGAAGACTAAGGAGCAAAAAAGATGAATACTTTGATCTTTGAACAAGAGGAAATAATACAAGAGATGGCGCCCACCGGTGGAACAGATGATTGTCGCCATCGGTGTCTCTCGTCACAATGCATCCCTGGATGATCTATCTGGCCTCCCCAGTCTGTGAATGACTTATGTATTGTCATCAAACTCTTCAGCGGCTTCGTATCTTGTGGCGAAGGGAACTTTTCAAAAAAAAATGATTGGTCAGAATTGATTGCCTTGAGCTTCCTTCTCCACAAAACGTGTTTGTGTGAGCCATGCGATTTTGGATACTGTTGCAGCTACACGCATATTGAACTGTAGGGTAGAGAACCCAGTAAATCGACATGGATCGAGTGCTGAGAGCAGGTGCCAAGGCTGCATGTGGGACAGAACGCTGTGCCCATGCGTGCGAGGGGTTGGGTATTTGTCTTTCTTTCGCAGTCAAGCTCAGAGGCCGTGGATGCCAATGATGAATGTCCGCGAGAAGGTATAGTAGAGAGAGATGGTGGAAGAAGTTGAAAATGGTCAGATGGAGGATTGTGTCTTTTATGGGACTCAGACTGCGTCCGCTGCAAAAGACAATCTACTCGTATATTAATACAGACATGTTTTCGATGTAAACAAACAACTGCAATACCCTTGTGAGTTTGTTATATTTGTCATGTTGAACATTGTTTTTCAGCACCTTTTACTCTATGTTTTATTGAACAGCCGAAATGCAACTAATTCTATCTTGTCGTTGATCCTATTGCTACCCTCTTGCTCGATTCTATCGCATAATCTTGCTCGGACAATCCTAAGAAAATTCGTACAAACCTATTAAGGACAGAGAAAGACTGGAAAGAAGAAAAAGAAATGGGTCAGCCTTAAGCAACAACAAAACACAACCGTACAACTTCTTTGTGTGCTATTAAACCACCCCCACAAAGCAGGGGTGATGGCCCCAGTCACCCAGCGGTGAAAGCAGCCGAGCTGAGCGAGGTCTCAAAAGACCTCAGGCACATCGCAGACGACGGTACTAGATCCAGAAACAAGCATCACCACCGTTACCCAAAGCTTGCCCCAGGCAGGTAACGGTGAGGTCATTATGAAGGGCAGTCCAGCGCGTGGCATGTCCTATAGCCCTCGGTACCCACGGAGTTGGACAATCATACATGCACACGAAGCCACGGTACCCTCAGCGAGAAGTGGATGCCAAGAAATGAGAGAGGTCGTCGTGAGGGCCGAAGCACCCTCAAGTACCCACGAGTCTGACGGAGAGCAAAGCTACAAGGACCAGCAACACCGCCGATGGCGGAGGTCATATGAAGAGCAGCCCAGCGCATGGCATGTTCTATAGCTCTTCTGTACCTACAGAGTGGTCCGAGTAGCCCCGCTCAAATCCAGCGCCACTGCCAGCCGAGGCTGACGGTCAGGTCATATGAAGAGCAGCCCAGGGCACAGCCCAGTTTTTGGCTCTTCTGTACCCAAGGTGGACCCAGCTCACCATCACTTCTCCACCCGTACACACGTCATGGCTGTTGCCACTCAAGACTGACCCATTTTTTACCTTGCTTCCTTGCTTCCTTGCTTCCTTGCTTCCTTGCTTCCTTGTTGGTATGTGCGCGGATTACGCGGCTGAGGGCGAGTCCAATATCGAACAAATAAAAGAGGTGAGCAAAGGATTCGAGGGCGAGTGAAGATGGCGAAAATAAAGAGAGGTGAAGGTGGCGAGGACGATGCGGACAGAGGGGAGCTGGATGAGAGGGGAGCTGGTTGAGAGTGGAGCTGGATGAGAGGGGAGATGGTTGAGAGTGGAGGATGTGGACGAGGGGAGGGTGAAGGAAAGAGGAAGAAAAAGAGAAAGAAAAAACAGGAGGGGGAGAAAAGAAAAAGAGAAAGAAGAAGAAAAAACAGGAGGGAGGAGGAATGACAAAGAAAAAAACAGGAGGGGAGAGGTGCACTTTTACGAAGGAACGGTGGAGGGAACGGCGTAATAGGGGACAGTTGAGTTGACGAGTGGCTTGGTCGGCAGAGACTCACCATGACATCATGTAACAAAAAGGCCTCCGACTTTGACGCCAGCCGTCAGAGAAGCAAATGCCTCATGACCAAGACTGAGAATAAGAATCGTAGACGCTTATCGACGGATGGAGTCGAGCCTAGGTAAAAAGAGAAATTGTGTCCCAGCACCTCGACAGCAAAATGTGCATTTTAGGCTGGGTTCAGAGCTTCGTAAAAGATACATATTTTGGTGGCGTCGTTGATGTACGCATCTCAAGTCTCTACACTCTCGCATGCTGCTTTGTTGGCAAAAGCAGTGTGTTGTGCTCCTTTGTTTACCTGGAGAACGGTTTGAAATGGACGTTCCAATTGATTGGTGCATGTCTCTAACCCCTGGAACAACACACAGGTCCCTAATCCACACTCACCCTACTAATTACCTCCAACGGATCGATGTGTGTATGTGGAAAATGGCTTGACCCTGGGACTTGTTGTTGTGGACAAGGATGTCTCTGTTCTTCCTTAGGCCCCTTTATTTGTTTTGTCCATCGCACGTCATCTGCATGTATATGTTTGTTTGCAACCAAGTGAAGTGACCTTGTGCGTAATGAGACAAAGGCAAGAGGGGCTGGTTGCTCAAATCTAGGGGTCAATTGTTGTGTCCACTTGATCAAAAGTCGCACTTTAATCGACTGCATACAAAGGACTACAGGGAGACGACACTCCTTCCTTTCCTTGCGCTTTTTGTTTGTTTCCTCTTCGTTTCCTCTTCTTTGTCTCCTCATTCCCATCTCCACCTTCTTCACTGTTCCTTTTCTTCATTCAATTCCTCATTCCCATTCCTTCTTTCTTGAAATAAAACAAAGTAATCAGCCAGACAACAAAGCAGTTGGTGTCTCCTCACACGCTTCGCAACTACAACAACAACCAAAGTTACACGTCGATAGTTATTCCGGGATGCTTTCAGGAAGGTCTGCCGCAGAGAAGGCAGAACGAAGGGCAGCCAAGACCCAATCGCTCTACGTCTCCACGCCTTCGTCAACGACCACCAGCTCCACTCTCCCTGCAACCCGTTCTTCCTTTCTTCAACACACCAACAACAACTCTCAATTACACGCAGGAGGCGGACAACTACCCTCCACACAACAACAGCAACCACTATCTTCTTCCAACACAGCAACGGGCTCGCCCTTCCCCTCGAACTACCACCACACCAGCAATACACCGACAAAGTCTCCCAAGAAGACAAGACCGTTCTCGATGATGTTTTTGCAACCGCAGGACGACGCTCATAAGCAACAGCAAAACGGGTATGACCAACAGCATCACCATCAACCGCACCAACAGTCGTTTCTTCAGCACCAGGCACTCAACGAGTCGGACGAGGACGCTGCTCTTGCTGCTGCTGCTGCACCTGGAGGAGGAGGAGGGGACGGTCAGTCAATGCATTCGACTGTGGTTGACTATGTTGAGAGTGATCTCCGGGATGCGGATGCCAACACCAAGTTGCTCATTGCCCACTTGACTGATCTCGATGTAAGTGTTGCATGCGACTAGAAACGCGTTTTTTATTACTATTGTTACTGCTCACAATAGTGCTGTTTTCTCACCCTCTCCGCCCAATCCAATCGGACGTCTCTTTTGCTTCAAATGTAGTCGGGGCTGCCCATTCTGCTGGAACGGGTCAAGCAGAACCTACACTCCTGCAAGGTAAACATCAACGATACACTGGAGCCTTATGCGCAATATCCACAGTAGGCAAAAATGAGAGGCGAAGGTTTATTGACAAAAGTGCCTTTTGATTGTCTCAATTGATAGGACTTGGTTTCGTTTCTCAAGAAGCGGTCGGTCATGGAGGCAGAGTACGGGACTAGTCTGTTGAAGCTCTCCTCCGGCATGCGGGAAACCTATCGTCAACAACAGCCAGAAGGCAGCAGTGTCTATAGCGCCGGTAGTGGCAGTGGCAACAGCAATGGGACTTACATAGGCGCCAGCAGTAATAGTAACAGCACCCCTGTGGTGGCCCATTATAAGCAAGGATCATACGGAGATGGCTGGAACCATATTCTAGAGATGCATGAGCGAATGGGCAACAACCGACTCGAGCTCTCAAGAGATCTTCAGGTTGTATCCGAGGAACTGTCGGCCATCTACAAGGAGACGGATCGCAGCCGTAAGCAGGTATCCAAAATATTCATTCGTGGTCAGACTGGTGACCTACTCTTGCATGGACAAAACGGAGGGGGGATCACAGAAATCCTAGTATCTGACAAAAAGGTTCTCATTCATCTCTTTTGTATGTATCTAGTTTAAGGAGGCAGGAGCAAAGCAGGAGAGAATCGTACAGGATCATGAACAAAACCTAGACAAGGTAAGCAACAAACGAAAGACTGTCTGCATGCAAAAAAACAGAAAGATTCAAGTATCGAAAAAAAGACATCATTAACACTCCCCTATATCCTTGCCCCCCCCCCCCCCCTTATTTCATTTCTTAACTCCCCTCCGCGCTGTCATAGGCAAAGCAAAAGTACGATACACTGACGGAAGAGTGGGAGCGCACTATTCTGCAAAAGTCGGCTGACCCCACTGCACCCAAGAAGACTGTGACCAAGGGAATGACCATGAGTATTTTCAGACAGCCCAAGTCTGTCAATCAGGTATTAATGCGTCACTACTCTTTTCTTTGCTTCTAATGGTGAGTCGATTGGTTCGCAGGTGGGTCTATGTTGTTAACGAACGTTTGTTTTCTTTGTTTTGCCGCGATAGCTTCATAAGCAAGAGGAAGAGGCGAGGGCCAAGGCGACAGCGGCACATGAGCAGTACAAGACTCAGTTGGCCAAGACAAATGATATGCGGCAATACTACTTTTCCAACATCCTCCCGAGTATCTTGAAGGTAACACATTAGCACAACTCTCAGATTCTAGGTTGACCAGAGTTCATGTTACTCACCAATTTTCTTATTCGCGTAATCTACTATTAGAACTTGAAAGATACAATTGACGAGTCGGACCTGTCGCTGCAGTACTACTTGATACGCTATGGATACATGTCAGAAGACTACATGATGAGGGACGCCGTTATCCTCAACCCTATCAACGGATCAGGTACGACTTCAGGGGTAACAAGCACAGACGCGGCAGTTAGGAAGCGACTCTTCATATGTCACCATACTAATATGCTTGGACAACTCCACTTCAACCTTCTAGATCTGGGCTTGCGCGACAGAGTTGAATTGATTAACAAAGACACAGATCTTCAAACGTTCGTCCAAGCTTACTCAGTCAAAGCCAACCCTGTGACAAAGTCCGCCGCCCCATACCAGGAATACCTCATGGTTAGTGCGACGTCTCTTCTTTTTCATTTGCAATTGAACTTCTGATGGCCATGTACATATATTCTAACGCTACACTGTTGCCTCCTTGTTCATAGTCGACGCAAGCACAGTCAATTATCAACCCGAAGCCGATCTTTGGATGCGATCTTGCAGAACAGCTCGTCCGTGATGAGACTGACCTGCCCGAGATCGTAGTCAAGTGCACGGAGGCAATAGAACGCTTTGGTGAGAAATGAGGTTAAATCACTTAGCGCAACTGGTTTTCATGTGTGTAACATTGCCGATCCTGGGCTAACATATCCTTTTTGGGCGAATTCGACTTTTGATAGGCATGGATATCAAAGGCATCTACCGTGTCTCTGGAATCACATCTGCAACAAACCGTCTCCGTTCCGCCTTTGACCGAGGTAACTAACAGCATTTACATAGCACGATCCATACATGGTCTTACTATTGGAGTCTATTCCAACCAGGACTCACATTCTCATATTCTTATCCCATAACTTTTCAACTAGATTGCTCGGCGGTGGATCTGAACAGTGAAGAGAACTGCGGGGATATCAACAGTGTCGCCAGTGTGCTGAAGACATGGTTCCGAGAACTTCCCGATCCACTCTTGACACGACAGCTGTACCCAGAGTTCATCCGGGCTGCGAACATTGAAGACCCATCGCTCCAGTTGATGAACTTGCATCAGGTTACGAACCAGCTCCCGGATCCTAATTACGCGACACTCAAGTTCTTGATGTGTCATTTGAACAAGTACGTTACTTGGAGAAAAAATCGGATCATTTTTTTTTTTTTTTTTGGGGGGGGGGGGGGGGGGTGTCTATGGCCAGGAAGAACCATGGTGACTAACGCCGTGTTTTTTTCTGTTTCCTTTTTTTTTTTTTTTTTTTTTTTTTTTTTTTTGCTTTTTCGTAGGGTGCAGGCGAATCAGGAGGTTAACAAGATGGGGGCCTCGAATCTGGGACTCATCTTTGGACCGACGTTGACGAGCACGAGTGGAGGTGGGGATGCGGTGACGGAGCTGGCGGATATGGGGCTTCAATGCCGGATCATCGAATCCTTACTCAACAACTATGGTGCCATCTTTGATATTGAAGACGACGAGGAAGAAGAGGAAGGAGATGGAGGGGAGTTTCAAGAGCAGGGAGAGAATGAGGAGTTGGAAGGAGAAGAGTACCAGGAAGAGGAGTATGGCCACCACCAGCAGCAGCAACAGCACCGTCATCAGGCGTATCAGCGTGGAGGTATGATGGTTCACCCTATTGACGAGGACGACGAGGACGTGGACATGCAACAGGAGATCGCGGAGGCACTTGCGGGGGTGAGTCTTCGTGATGGTGGTGTTCTGCCGAATGGGGAGTATGAACATGAAGGGCAGCACCAGCAGAATGGGTATGATCCAACCCGGAAAAGTGCTTTTGAAGAGGACTTTGGACCACGTGATGGCGAGGATGTTGGTGAGGGAGGAGGGGAGCAGTATGAGCACGGGTCGGCTGAATCCTCTCCTGCCACTCAACGCGCCTAAAACCGCGCGAAGGGTTTGCATTGCGCCGTTACCGTCACCGATGGGGTTTGTTAATTTCAAACGTAGAAACAATGCCTCCAATTAAACAAATAATTTAACAGAAAAACGCTCGAAAAAAAACCTGTGATTCTCCAGCGGTGGTGACAGGTGTAGTAGCAAGGTAGGGGGTGGGGGGTTTCGGGGTGGAGGAGGGGAAGTTGAGACCGAGGGGGATCCATGCGCCGTATATAAGATAGTTTGTGGTAAGGGAGTCCATAATGACGTTGTGGTTGTGTTGTGCCTGCTGCTTTGTCCGTGGACATCCATGATGTAAATGTGGTAGTAATATTCTAATTTTTAAGTTTGGAAGGAGAGGGCATTTCGCCCCCCTCTCCCTCTGTTGTGACGCAGAGGTACATAGCAGAAACGCTAAAATTACACCTCACCGCACAGTTTTAAAAATGGCGGACATCACCTTCATTCAACATCTCTCAACTCACCAACAAAACACTCAGAGGCATTCAGGATCGCGCTTCATTCAGGACCCAAGGAACAAACAAAGGACATCGGGAAAACACAGTATCAAAAGTACCTGGACAAGAACAAACCCCCTTCCCCCCCCCCGGCCGCACAAAACACACATACATAAGACCAAATCAATAATGGCAGCATATCGTCCAATGGGAGTAGGAGGTCCTGCGGGAGGCCCAGGAGGGATGCCCGGAGGAGTTGGTGGCGTCGGAGGAGCTCCCGGGCAGAACCCTGGTGCAGGAAGTCCCGTCATCGGTGGCGGTGGAGCTGCAACAGCAGGAGTAGCAGGAGGGGCCGGCGGCAATGCAGCAGGTGGTGCGGCGGGTGCTGGAGGAGCGACGAGGAACACGAACTTGAGCGCGTTACAGGAGATCGAGGAAGCGTACAACAAGCGGTTGGATATGGATGTTGCTCAGTTGATGGAGTCCTTTGGCGATATTATCAAAACCGCATCCGTAAGTTCCCTCCCTCCAATAGTTTATTATCGTGAGGTGGTGTGCCATTCACCATGTTCTATTTTGTTTGCGCGTTTATTTTACAGGACGATGTGAGATGACTGGATGTGAGTGAGTGAGAATCTACGAACCATGGGACTGACAGCACTCTAAAACATACAACTCTCTCTTACACACCATAGATCACCCACAGCGAATCATTAACACAATCAAAGGACAAATACAAGCTCGCCCAAGAATCCTACCAGATTCAAGGTCGGGCCACCAACATTGTCTCTTCGGCAGAATCCCTCCTCACCATGGTGACCGAGCTCAAACAGACCTTGCTCCTAAACGATACGACGACACTTGCACAACTATCAACACAGAGGCAACAGGAGCTGTCGAGCCAGAAGACGGCGGTGAAGCAGAGGGTGATGGGGTTGAAGGAGGAGGTGGATAAGACGATTTGGGAGCTTGAGCAGGCTTGTTATGGATCTTCTTCCTCTTCTGTTGGTGTTTCGACGACTGAGGAGAGGGTGGTGTAGCATGAGGATGGTTCTTGTTTTTACTGGGAATAAAGTACCAGTTGTATTATACACATGGAACGCGTTTTTTTATTTCGGCAAGGACGGGATATGATATATACAGAAGGAATTGCAAAAGAAACGGTGATAGATTGTTTTCATCCCACAAGTCAAGGCGAAGAGAAAGCAGCGATCAGACCTCCCTTCTTTTTTCTCTCCACCATCCTCATCCTCTTGTTTCTTGTTTTTTTCCATAACCTTGACGCTCTCCTCGTTGTTCTGCCGCTTCAATCAAGCATTTGTCCGTTTAGGATCATGTTCCGCATAGGACTGCTAGACCGTGAGATTTGTTCCTTCTGCGCCGGCTGTTTCAAGGCATCGACAGCCTTGATGTGTGCCATTGGCGCCGTTGGACCCTGGTAGGTATTGGGGATGTCGTGCGAAGAAGCCGGACCGGGTTCATTTCGATCGAGTGGGTGGTTGCCGGATCGACCGCTGACCGAGAATTTACGGAAGAGCCCTCCAATCCCTCCACCTCCTCCACCTCCTCCACCGCCGCCACCAGTCTCGGTAGAGTTATGAGCATAAGTTGTGGTGTTAGTGGTGAAGGTAGGTTCGTGGATGTCGGTGTGGTGGCGGGCGAGTGGGGGGGATGAGCCGAAGAGGCTTTGTCTTCTACCGCGATCATCCTGGTTTGTGGTAGTGATGTACGGTGATTGAAAAAGGTATGGAAATATAGTTTGTCAGTTTGCTTTTCCACGGTTTGTGTTGTTGTGAGGACCAAAAAAGTAAAACCTCCCAAATAATTAAATGACGATCTTCCAAGTAAATATGCATGCCAAGAGATACATACGATCGAAGCGGACGAGGTACCCATGTTCGCAGTGGTAGTCAAAGGGTTTGTAAAGTTGGCAGAGAAGCGTCGGTTCAACGAAGGGGTACTCGACGACAAGGAAGCCAGGGTCGACGAGGGCGTGGCATTCGAACCGCCACCACCACCTCCACCTCCAGAAGAAGAGCCGGAGGAAGGGGATATGATGGGGTTGAGAAAAGGGTTTGGGTTGATGGATGATGAGGCAGAGAAGGATGAGATAGGGGATGTTGGAGTGGCAGAGGACGAGGGGGGACCGGAGAAGCCGAACGATGTTGACATGGACCGTTGGCGTGGGAGTGAGATTGAGAGTGGAGCTGTCTTTGTGGTATTCTTATTGGTATAAGAGGAGGAGTTGCCGAGTTCGTTGAGGATGCTTGAGGTTGACTGAGAGCGTTGGTGTGACATGACTGATTGATAGTGTGGTATGAGGTGAGTATATGTGTGTGTGTGTGTGGGTGTGAGTGAAAAACAAGTGTTGGGAAGAGAAGAGAGGAAAGAAGAAGAGAGTAGAAGTAGAAAATGAAGATGAAGACGAAGAAGAAAGACTGGAGGGACGGAGGATAATCCAAGGCCAAATGGAATTGGACCTTGGTCACCAGCAACTGTTTCTTGTTCTTTTTCCTTTTTGCATTGAAATAAAGGTCGAAGAATGGAAGGGTCATGTGACTGATTGGAAGAAAAAAAAAGTGAAACAGGGCCTTGTTATGCTAACCTACCCCGTCGTCATAGGCATGACTTTTAGCAGGGCCCCATTTGAATAGGGGAATGCCAGCCATGATGGTGATGATGATGATTACGATGGCGATGACGACGAAAGAAGAAGGGTGTCAAACACGCTCAGACCAAGTGCAAAGTATTGAAATAGGAGAGCATGAGTAAAAATAATAATTAGTCAGGGTCTTTCATGTCTTGACGCGCTAGGTGGCTGTTGAGATCGATGAGGTACAGCTGTAGGTACGCAGGTGGCATCTTCGACGGTTAGAAGGAACGCGTTGTAGCAAAGCATTTCTTTACTCATTCTCAGCACGAAGAAGGCGATTGGCGTACGGGCATCAAGTGTGTTCAAAGGGCATGTGGGCTTACGGGAATAGTCCATAATGAAATAAAAGTGAGTCGTGGGAAGAAATGCTTATTCGTATCGTGAGGTACGAGACATCCAACTTGGAAACACGAACAGCACAACGAATTGATATGGTATGAAGAGGAGGAGGTCACCGAGGATGATATGATCTAAGCGCATTTGTTTGGGCGCACAGGGCTTGTCTTTGTTTGTTTGTTGTTTGTTGTCCAATGCAAGAGAGATGTACATGTGTCCTGGTGTGCAGGACATGTACACAAACAAACAAGTGAGCAAGGGGAGGAGGGGAAGAAGGGAAGTGGGCACCTACTTGTTGTTGCTGGCGGATGTTGCTGGACTTGCATGAACGGTCTCTTTCTCATTCTCCTCCAATTGAGCACGAGAGGCATCTGGCACGTCAGATTTTTTCATTTCCCTCTTTCCCCTCTTTCCTACGGTGCCAGACCGACATTAAAAATCAAATGCTCACGTTTCTCTTCTCTTTTTTTCATTTTGCCTTTTTTCTTTCCTTACTTCCTTCCTTCCTTCCCCTTCGTTCTTATTTTTCCTGTTGGTCGCGTCTGATTAGACTCTCTTCCTTTGCCTTTCTTTCTTTCGTCCATCCCTTCCCTTCCTTGCTGCTCACACCGACACTCGTAATCACTCACATCATCAACACCCCATCCTTCCTTCACCTTTTTCAACGCTGTCCTCTCAGCTCTTCTGCGCCTTTCGCTCTCCTCTCTTTTTTTTTGTTCTACTTTTTCCTTCCTTTTTTCTCCTTTTTTTACATTTCAAACCTCTTCGTTCGACACTTCGACTCGACCACCTCCTCCCTCCCTTGATCTCAATACACAACGAAAACACAACTCCCTACTCTCCCTTTTTTTTTCTCCACTCTCCACTTTCCACAACACAACAGCTAGGACCGTTGGACGCATTCTTTTTCAAAAACGCTTGAATCCTCGAACACCCCAACAGGCCACCCTATAAAAACCTTTCACCCACCTCCTTTCTTTCATTTCCTCTTTCCTCACAATAACACATTCAAACCCCATACTTGCCAGCAAGACAATGGCCGCCCGTGAATGGTGGGCGATCAAGCTCAGGTAGGCACTCTTGCTTTTCTCTTTTTTCCGCAGTTGTAACAGATCAGCGCGCGTTATAACACGTACAAAGGACCAAGACAAACAGGACAAAGCAGGATAAAAGTACAAGGAACAGGAGGTCATTGCAAGCGAGGAACAATGGAAGCAAGGCAAGGAAACAAATGAGTCGACGGCGCTCCAGTTTTTTTGGGCGGGAAGATGCAGCAGCTCTCTCGTTTTTTTTTTTTTTTTTTTTTTTTTGCTGTTTTCCTTACCTCTTTAAGGCGTGTGAATTCTATGGGGGAAGAGGCGGACTGGGGGGGAGTGAGGGGTTGGAAGCAGAGTGAGTCGGATCATGAAAGAAAGTTGCGTAACCAATATAAAAAACATAACAAGCAAAAAAAAGTCCGGACACAGGGAAAAACCATAAGGTCCAGGAAGGTAGCACGGCGCTGACACGGCGTAATTCAACACCAGGTGCAAATGAACAACAAACAAGCAAAACGAGTTGAATGACACATGGGTTCACCTATTCATTTATGATGGTTGAAGTGCCCGTGGTACTGAATGAAAAAAGAACGATGGAGGAATGACCTTTGAGGTTTGAGGTCTCTTTCCTTTCACAAGAATGAGTATTCATTGAAAAGAGGCGAAGAAGGTTAGAGGCTGAGGGTTCTTATTCTACGGCAGTCGAGTATGAGTGCTGGAGAAAAAAAAGAAGCGAAGAAAAGGAACAACGCTGGGTTGGATTGTGGTAGAGCAACATACCCATACTTTAGCCTTCCCCTGTCATTGTTGCGGCGAGATGGTTGCTTTGTTGCTTATGAGTCGAACTCGAGTTGAAGACACGGGCTGTGACTGGCAGGGATGCGGGTGGTGTCTTGCGTTTCGCGAAGCCGATCTTGGCGCGCTCTTTTGTCTTTCGTCTGACTGGCTGGCGGGGCGCCAACCAGAAGACAATCAAATCAGACACTGCCGGAAAGCGTCAAAGAAGATAACAAGAAGGATCATTCTTTGTCATGAGAGTAAAATGGGCTAGTTGGAAAAGAAAAAAAAAGAGAGCTTGGAAAGGATTTCGTGTTCACTTTCTGACGGATGGCGCTCCGTCCTCTTCCGGTGCCATTCGATCGTCCTGACTCTCTCTTTAACTTCACTCGTGCCAGCCATGGTCTCTTCTTTTCCTTGTGAAAAATATTATCGTTATCTCGGCTGCTTCCTGATGGATAACAACTAACACATCTAACATCTCTTTTCTCTTTTGTTTGTTTTCTTCACTCTTCACATTCACATTCATGCTCACTCTCACAGGGAATCAGACCAATTGAAGCACACGATCGCAGGAGCAGGCGCTGGACTCGTCACCTCCGTTGTCACTTGTCCGCTGGATGTTGTTAAAACAAGACTGCAGAACCAAGGTGTCGTCAACGCTGCTCGAAAGTCCTACAAGGGCACAGCTGGTAATTTCACTCGCACAGAAGGATCTCTTGCCATCATTTTGTCGGACAGATCCACGCGATTATTCATATGCAGGAATTGTCTCTCATCACTGCGCGTTTTGTTTCTGATCCTTATCAAATCTGGTTTCTAGGCACTCTCACCAGGATCTGGTCAGAGGAAGGTGTCCGGGGATTATACAGAGGACTCGGACCAACGATATTTGGATATTTGCCAACATGGGCGATTTACTTTACGGCGTACGACTACTTTAAAGACCTGGTGGCAAGACAAACTGGTACGAAGAGATCATCGACTGTTAATCCTTCCGGTTACTGCTACTATTCGTTTGCTTGTCAAGTAATTGATCCCATTTCGACACACACCCATCAAAACGTTTCAACGGAACTAGGAGTGACCAAAGATATTGTCTTTTTAATCGTTGTGTAGGTCACCACGAGTCGAACTTGTTTGTATATATCGTGGCAGCCATGTCAGCAGGAGCAACTAGTACTACCATCACGAACCCACTCTGGGTCATCAAGACACGCTTCATGGTACGCTTTCTTATTCCTTCAGATTGTTTTGACAGGATAGAGAGATCAACTTCATGCAGAGTGTTTTCTAATTCTGGTGATTTTTCTGTGTGCTATTAGACTCAGAATGAACATACCCCATACCGATACAAAAACACACTCGACGCATTTGCAACGATTTACAGAGTCGAGGGACTTCGCGGATTCTACAAAGGTCTTGGATCATCACTCATGGGTATTAGTCACGTTGCACTTCAATTCCCACTCTACGAGAAGCTCAGGCTGTGGCTCAGTAAGTTCTCATTCAGGATGTTGCGATGGTGGGACACGTTGGCATTATCGCCGAGAAGAATATAGCTACCGCGCCTGTACTCACATGGAACCGTTTCGCTTTCTTTACCACAATTGTAGAGCCAGCGGATTCGGATCAAGTGAGCAGCACGAACATCCTGATTGCATCGTCGACGTCAAAGATGGCAGCCAGTATTGCGACGTACCCTCATGAGGTGATCAGGACGCGACTTCAGAACCAGTCGACCCACCCACCAAAGTACCAGGGAATCATTCACGCAGTCAAGTTGATCTACCAGGAGGAGGGGATTCGTGCCTTTTATAAGGGCATGCCGACCAATCTTCTCAGGACTGTTCCAGCTAGTGCCCTGACTATCCTGACCTACGAGTTGCTTGTTGGCCGGTTGAACGAGATTGCCAGGCCTGTATAGATCGCCCTTGTTCCTTTTGCTTCCTGCAAGCAACAACATGTTGTAGCGAGCGAATAGATCGTAAAAAATAAAAAAGTACAGCTGTTGCCACCAATTTTGTAGTGTGAAAGCAGTCTCCTTCACACCTTTGAGATAAACATAAAAGAGCGCGGCGCGCATTCATCAAAAAGAAACATTCCTTTTCTCTTCAACCCTCCAGGAACCAACCGTCCCACCATCACTTCAACCATCGGCCCCAATCACCTAATCCCAGGACAACACAGCACAGCCGAACACCACCATCACCAAAAAGCACATCACACAACCAACTAGGACAAACGAATGTACGGAGAAGAGGCATCCAAGTTGGCGAGAGAGACCAAACGCACCATTGACCATTTTCCGCCATACAATGATTCCCTTGTCCGGTCGATCACACGCGAGATTCGCCATCTTCACGAGACCTGTCAAGCGCTGATTCGGGATTTCGATATTCAGAAGCAGCACGAGGAGCAGGAGGCTGAGACGAGGTTGAGGTTGCTCTATGGCCAGCCTGAGGACGGTGCTCCTGGAGAGGGTGCGAGGAGGGGAGGAGGAGGAGAGGTAGATCCGAATTTTACAACGTTGGAGATGTTGGATGGTCCTATTGGTGGTGCACCGTCAGCATCCTATTCTTCAACAACGACCGTTGTCCAACACCCACACCCACCAGTCCCCGGATCATCATCAACAACAGGAACCACGACCGTCCTCCAACAATCGACATCCTCTTCCATTGCACCAGCAGCCTCCCGCTCAACAATATCAACCCTCCCCCACCTCAGCCAACAAGCCCTCCAATCCGCAAAAGAAGCTCGCCTCCTCCACCTAAAAACTATCTTTTGGACAAAATACCTCGTCCACCAAGTCCCTCTCCTACGCAACAAACGTATCCTCATGGCCTACCACGCTCAACGGGTCGAAAAAATCAAGGACCTGGCCTGGGCGTACACTTCCCGACTCCCGGATTCTCTCTCCCAGCTCCTCTCTCCCGATGAACTGGTCTTCTTTCAGGAGTATGAGAGGGGTTGCAGGAATGAGTATACGAGTTTGGAGGAATTTGCGGAATTGGATTTGGGATTGGGCATGATCCAGCCGCCAAAGGAGGTGTTTATTACGGTGAGGGTCGTGAGGGATTGTGGAGATATTGTGACGGATTCAGGGGCAGTGTTGAGTTTGAGGAAGGATTCCGAGCATTTTGTGAAGCGCGGGGATGTGGAGAGGTTGATTACTCAGGGGTACCTTAAGCACGTTGCTTAGAAGGTCTGGCGTCCCTTCATTTTTCCTTCTTTTCTCTTATTTCTCGCTATCCCGCTTCAGCACCACACATTCGTCGTCCTTTACTCTCTTTTGCTTTTTTCTTCTTCTTCCAAAACCCCCTACCATCCCTTGTACAATAAATCCCACAGCACATCGCTTAGAACAAACCATCTAACAAAAAAGTAAGCTTTTATTTACATATTGAAGATAAGGAATAAGAAATGATGCATGCTGAGGTTATTTGTATAATTATGCGACGAACAATGGGGGGGAGGGGAGTGGAAACGAAGAATCATACTTCGATCCTAGCACGCTTGCCCAAAGGTTGGTCTTCAACGAACTCTTCCCGATCATCGTCCTCCAGCTCTGTCTTTGGCGAATCCACACTATCCGTCTACAATTTGATCACCAGAAAAAAAAAACGGAGAATGGGTCAGCAATGGAGCATTGTTTCGGCGGTTTGTTTAGTCAGCAAAGCAAAGGCGTGGATGTAACATGCGTGGTTACCTCGGTCTTCTTGCCGCCAGATTTCCGCAACATGGCGATCTGGCGTTGTACGTTCTTGAGTTCCAGTTCCAGACGGATCTTTTCTGACTTCTTTGCCTCCAGCACTAATTACAAATAAGCAAATAAACCAATAGCGGAGAGTTAAGATGAACGTTCTTCTCTGAAAGTATGAGTTGACCCTTTTCATGGGTCGGCAATTGTTCGTTGTCCTATCGTTCCAGTTAAGCATGAGCTTGCTTTAAGATAACCATCATCCTCGATTGGACATGGATTCTCCTGAACTTTTGAAAGTATCCAGTGAGTTCCTGTGACTTACGCAATTGAGGCTAAACGTTTTTAAACAAGAAACGAGAGGTCGTGGTCAGCTAATGACGATCTGCGGCGTATCATAATTTGCTCCGCACAACAAAACATATCATTCCAGGTCCTGACAACATGCCCGTGAAACTTACGTCCTCGGGTAATGGTAACTCGATCGCATTCCACTCGTCCTCTGTCAGTTCATATCTACAAGTTCGCACCAACATCAGAAAAAGAATCTCATTAGTTCCACCTGCCTCTTTCACCTTTTTCATCCTGCGTCCACGCCTTCGGATAGAAGCGAACAAGAAAAAACGGAAAGAAGAAACGTACAGCTCTCTGTTCTCGGCGACACGACGACGGATCTCCTCTCTGGACAGTTTAGCGCCCGTGTTGACAATACATCCATTCTTGCGACGAATATGGTCCCCCTGGATCAAACTGTTCTTCTGTCCAATCACTCTTGGGTCAATATGCAATCCTGCGAATTCTAGTGATTCACCAATATGATGCCATAAAGGAAAAAAAAAAGGATTCTGTTAAGCTTGACAAAAAAACATAATTATTTTTGGTGGCAAAGGCTTTTTTTTTTTTTTTTTTTTTTTTTTTGCTTTGGACCCAGAAGGCGTTGCTAGAAGGGGGTGTGTGTGTTTTTCCTTACCGGCGGTGGACTGTTGGCCGAGCATACGTTGGGTCTGGAGGTTCATTTGGGCGTTGGTCTTGCCGACGAGGCAATTGGATTCGATGATCTTTGACCAATTGCCGACGCCGAATTTCATCAGGGCCTTCCTTAGCACCTCGGCCTCAATTAAGCTCCATCCTGTTCCATGGTAATGCAAAGAAAGAGAAGAAAGAAAGAGAGAGAAAGAAAGAGAGAGGAGGAAAGAATGGAAGGATGTCAATAACGTAGTCTTGAGAGTGAGGTTTGTCAAAAAAGAGGGGGGTTTGACGAGTGAGAGGGAGGGGGGTACCTGGGGCAACAGTATAGTTCCAGAGGGATGCCGAGTCATTGGAGCGGAGGATGTTGCGAGCTCCTGCGGTCATGGACCGGGGTGTTGATGATGATGACATGGTTGGTGCGTTGGTTGTAAGGTATTGTATATTGTAAAACGAGTAAATAGGATAGAGGACAGAGGAGTATGGGGGGGCGAATGGTATCGTCAGGGGGGAACGTAGAAGAAGGAGAGAAAGTAAGGAAAAAAGAAGTGAACAAACACGCGACGGCCTTTGTGTTGTGGTACCCCTGTTGTTGATCCACTTGTTCTAACGCGTTTTGGGCAAAGCCACCCCAATTTAATTTATGGAGCTTGTGTGACTGATGAACCAGCCAAGCGCGCGTTTTGTTACAGTCGTGGATCAAATGTGTTTAAAAATGTATTTGTCTAACTACCACAACTCTCTTCCTTGCCAGCTTTTACTTGCCACTACCTATCCATTCCCACCAATTCAATTGGACATGGGAAAAAACAAGGGGGTCAAAAAATGCTCATGGCAGCCGTTTCTCTCAGCTGCCTCGCACCTACACTCAAAGAGCAGCAACCATAGCAAGGACAATCGCCCCAAAGGACACCACCGCCCCTGCACCAACAGCACTCGCAGGACCAGACGAAGAAGCAGTAGCAGACTCCGAATCCTTAGGCCGCCCCGTCGAATGACTAACCACCGCATCACAATGAATCAACGCCCCCAGCAACCCAAACTTGCCCTCCGCCTGCGTCGCCTGTGTCGCATTACAAGACGCCCCACCCCCCGCCGTTACAGCCGGGCCCGAAACACTAGGCTCACTCGTCAAACAACTCGCCGCCGCTCCACCAGTCGTCTGGTTAAACGTCCCCGTTGTCCAATGACAGACACAGTTCTTGATCGCCGGGTTTCCTTTAGCAGCTGTGATAATCGCATTGATGTTGACGGATGTGGGGGTAAAGGCCGCTTGGAGTTCTTGTATGTCGACGGGGACTAGGGCTGCGCAAGAAGCTTCTTTGGGGAAGGAGGCGAATGTGCATTGGGTGCAGGGTGTGGATTCGAAAGTTTGGATGGGGAAGTTTGGAGTGGGAGGGTCGCTTGTTGTTGTTCCGTTTCCGGATGCAGCGGGGGTTATGGTGGCTGGTGAGGCTGGAGCGGGTTGGGCTTCTGTCAAGGTTGTGGCGATGGCTGCCAGGGCGAGGATCAAGGATGTGTAACGCATGGTTTTGGAGTGTTTTGAATTAGATATGAAAAATGAGAGAAAGAGGTGAAGTGAAGTCGGGCAGTTGAACAGTCTAACTTTGGGCGGTTGAAGGAAGAGGAGTAAGGGCAACGCGGATCTGCGGTCGTTGTTGTGAAGTAGTACAAAAATAGTGAGAGGGGTGAGGATAAGAATGTTGAAGAAAGAGAAAGAGAAGAGATAGGTGCCAGGCAGGAATTTTAAACCAATCTATTTTTTCACGGATTATACTGGGATAAAGCATACGAATAGAGAACGGAGCTGGCTGCCACTGACATTTTGAGAACAGCATGATTCAAGGAGGAAAAAAAAAAAAAAAAAAAGGGCAAGGGGTTAGATACTTCCAGGAGGCGCCGGGAAGGAGAGAGTGAAAGACAAAGACAAGGATGGTTTCTCAAGGGGGCAAAAAGGGGGATGGAAGAGAGCAGTAAAGGAAAAAAAAAGATTGTCTGGTATGTTCTTTGCTCGGACCAACCACAGTTCCACCACCAACATAGTAAGGGCGACATATGTATTTTGTAGATACGCGAAAAAATAAAGCTAATTTAAAGCAACTCTAATTCGAGCAGAGGTACTTGGCGACAGCAAACACTTTGCTGGCCTTCAAGAGTCCACGGGGATCCTTGCGGACCTCAGGGGTGGTAAACTCGGTCTTGAACTCCCAGATGCCTTCATTCGCAGCAGGGACCTCAATCCGGGTTTGGTCATCCAATTCGACCTGGTGGATTCCGTTACGGAACCAGCGGATGGTGTACGCCTCGCCCTTGACACGCTTGGATTGGTCCTCGCGGAACTGGCCCAGGGGGACCAACTTGGCCTCAATCTCAAACTTCGAGATTTTGTCGTCATCACCGTCATCATCCTCGCGCTGACAATCGACTTGGATTTCGTCCAACAGACTGGCCTTGCTCAACAGACGGTGCCAGAGTCCCTCCTTGCAGATGGGGCAGAACTGGGTCGAAGACATGTTGCGCATGAGACAGAACTCGTGGTTGCTTCTCCAGGTCTTGCGTCCGTAGAGGTCATAGGTAGGGTAAGCCGAGATCACACTGTTGTCGAACCGGTATTGGTCCTCGCCCATAAACTCATGCATAGTCACCGAGCACAACTGGCGGATAGGTCGAGATCCATCAACAGGCTCATCATCGTACTTGGCGCCCTGACGGAACTCAATCTCGTGTGCTCCAGCGCTGAACCCTTCCTCGCCATCCCACTCCGAGAAATCACGATCATATCCTCCAGGAGAAGTCCAGTTTAACCGCTTGCCATCCATGTAGACCTCAAACGAGTCATCGGTGTCAACACCCGAGTGCGAGATCTTGAGAGACCAACGCTTCCAGTTGCCGTCAGAGTTGAACTTGACCTTGTAGGGGCCCTTCTTGAGATCGTACCATGCGTAATCCTGAGCGCGGAGGATGTTATTTTCTTCGCGTGGGGTGGCGTCAGTGAGCCAGTGCTTCCACTTGATGTTTTGGATGGACCAGCGCTCGGCGTTGACGCCCGAGTAGACTTGGCCGCCATCGTATTCCTCTCCGACGTTGATCAAGCTGTGTCCCAGCTCGTGGCGGAGAACAATAGTTCCTGACTTGTTGGAGCTCGTCGAAATCACAAACTCTCCTCCCAATCCTCCATCTATAGCATATGTTAATTTCCGTTAGTTTATCATGTAAAGAACAGTATAGCAAGTGCGAAGAGCGAAAGTGAGAGCAAAAGGACTTACAATAGGGATCGTTGCCGATCAAGCTAGGGAAATCACAGGCGTACTTTCCGACAGCACGGCAGGCCTGGCGGGCAGCTCTGGGGTTGGCAACATAAATACCACGGAGCTCAGTTCCATCTCTGTAAAGACGGAAGCTAGTGTCCTTCCAGTGACCGTTGGCACCGATACCGCTCTCCTTGGAGGGCCTGAATAACGCATGAACGTTGAACAAGGGCGAGAACGACTGGAAAGTATCGCCAATGAACATGTCTAGACGCAAAAAGGAGAGAGTGTTAGAAACGAATACGATTGGTGAATTGCTTCTGTTCTGTCACTTGACAAGTATCGAATGGGAGACATACCATTGACGAGACGGTTCATGTCAGCAAAGAATTTTTCCCGCTCTTCGAGGGTGTATCCATCGCCCATGAAGACAATGTCGACACGGTTCCTGTCAGGGCCACTGTCAACCAGTTTACGCTAGCAAAAGTGGTGCCACATTCAAAAAAGGTAACGAAACGTTAATTTTTTTCTTGTCATTGCATCGATTGCCCAGGGTCCTTCTTTTGGTATGAATAAAATTCCCACAAGCGGATGTTGGCTTATTCTTTACCACTTCGTCGTCTTCCTGCAGACCAGCAACAGAGCCATGGTTTCCAAAGACCTGCTGGCTCGACCCCGAACCACCATTCAATCCCTGAAAGTCGACATCGACCTTGTTGTTGAGAGTCTCATCCTTGACCTGATCACACTCATCATCCAAGAACGCATCCTCAATCAATGCCCACTCCTTGCTGTTTGTGTTAAGTTCGAACAAATCTTTAGCCTCCTTGGAGTCAAAGCTCTCCTCATGAGAGTGAGATCCACCGTGGTGGCCCTCATCATGGACATTACGCCTCAGGACCTGTAGACGATCTCCACTACGGTTGGCGGGCCAGAGGTTACGGAAGACCTGAGTCTCGCCACGGTCCAAGATGGAGCAGAGACGAGTGCCGTCGTGCTGAGTTTCGCGGTCGATGAGGGTGAAGTATCCAATGGCATTGCTTTCGTCATTGGGGACGGTGTAGGACGAAACCTTGGTGGACGTCTTTTTGGCGTCGGCAGTTGTTGTGGTTGCAGCAAGGACGACGAGTGCGATTGCACTTGAGAGGAAGAGACAGGTGCGCATTGCTTGTCCAGTTGGAATGAATGAGCGAGAAGTTAGAGGTGGAAGTGAAGAGTGTGAGTGAAGAAGAAGTAGAGAGGGTCGGGAGGAGAAAGACAAGGAAGGAGAGGAATGGAGGAGAAATGGAAGAAAGAAAGAAAGAAAAAAAGAAACAATGAAGCTAGAGAGCGAGCGAGTGTGAGAAAATGCTCACAGACAAAGAAGCCATTCCTTCTCGTTTATGCGGCGAATGGGATGACGGTTAGGTTTCCTTTTCCAGGCACGATCACTTCTGAATACCATTGGCCAGGTCTGACGCACACTCTTCTGCATGCACATGTACAAGGGTTTAACATGCAGTTGATATAAAATAATTGGTGGCAATACCGCGCTGAAGGAACCAACTGGTGGAAACGCGTTGTTTGGCTGACTATGGATCCTCATCTCGCCACGGTGCAACTGGAACTGGCCATTGTTGATCGCTGTTGTTGTGGCGGTTATTTGTCGCATGGCATGGCGTCTGCTCCCTTTTTTACTTTCATCTCCGCTCCGTTGTTGTTAAACATTGCTGGCCACGTTTGCTTCTTCTCTCTTTCTCTCTCTCTTCCCCTATTTCCTATTCCCCAAACTGACACATTTGCTCAATGGCACGTTTTCTTACGTCAAAAGAGAGAGTGAGATCAAGGGGCGCATTGGGGGAGGGGGAAACGGAAAGAGAGGGATGGATTCACAAAACAAACCAACGACAACAACATAGTGAGATCAGACAGTGCAGAAATTGAGACCGAACAGCGCAGCTCGCAACCACCACCATGCAGTGCGTCGATGCGGAAGAACAAAGTTTGACGAAAGAAACCATGGAAAGCGAGGAATGAAGGGAGGTAGCCGGGAAATAACCGGTGGTCCTTTAATAGACATTAGGAAGGATGGATCTCGTTTCGGTTAGGAGGGCATATTCAGGACACAGAAGAGACGGAAGAAAACGTGATTGCAGCATTACCTCTTCCAACAGTCGTCACGACAATAATGTTGCTACTCCTGAAGATATCGTTGTGGGAGTTGTAGTAGCCCGGTCATCTGCCTCAAGAGTGATGATGATGATGGGGCTGTAATGGTTAGCAGAGACAGGTTTCTGTTCGTAATCGAGGTTTTTATTCTCCAAGTATCTGACCCCATCATATGTCGCTCGCCCCCTTTTTTCATGTTGGCTTGCAATGCGTCCTTCCTTCGCCAATGTCACCATGGGGTGTCTACCTGTGTGTCTGATACTTTTCTTCAACTCGCCCCCTGTCTCTCTTCTTTGTCCTGCCAAGAAGTCATCACCACCTGCGCTTGTGTACAACAGGCATCTCTGTCGCCGCATTGTTCAATGCATTGTTTGTTCGCTTCCCTGACGAAAAAAAAGTTCAAAAAAGAACCCTTTGTTCGTATTCATGCTGGCGTAGCTTCGTGTTCCCTTCTGACCACCTCCTTCTCTCAATTCCCCAGTTATTTTTCTGCCTTTGCTCCTTCTCCCTTCCTTCACTCCTTAATCCTTTTCCCCCAGCATTTTTTTCTGCTACTGTTGTTGAGAAACCCCTCGTCTGGCATTGTGGACTTCTCACTCGCTCACATTCCTGCTGCTCCCTGACCCTTCGTTTCTCTTCTTTTCTTCCTTCTTGTTCTTTCTCTGTGTGTTCACTGACCCTTCGATTGTATTTTTTTTGCTCCGCTTCCTTACCCCATGCACAAAAAAGCATAGTACACATAATGGAGTACACCAAACAACAAAGATCTGACCTTGTGGGATCCAACTCTGCTCTCTCTCGCTCTCTCTTGTGTGCCCATTGCTCCTTTTCCCCCAGTGTGGCTCTGATATCATAGCTGCTGCCTGTTGTCAGTTTGTTTGTTGTTATTTCTTGGTCGGTTTTTTGCCTTTTTGGACTTGCAACTCACCACCTCTCCCTTCCTCAACCTTCCTCGGGACAATCCCAACCTTGCTTGTCAGCACCTTTCCTTGTACTCTCAACCAGTCAGACAGTTGCTCCTTTTTTTTTTTGTTCTTCTCCCTTCCTCACTCTTTCTCCTCCTTCCTCCACTCCATTCCATATCATACACACCCATCCTTTTTCTCCACTCCCTCTTCTCACTCACACTCAACTTCGCCCTTTCCTTCCTTTTCCTTCGCACCTCCATATCGATCTCGATCGAAACCCCCTCCTTTCTTCTTATAACCATACCTCCACCGCGTTTCCCTTCTCCGCTATGCTGGCAACCCACCTCAAGGTCAGTCCCAACTCAACAGCAGTCTCCTCTACACCCTCAACTCTACTCACGCACTTCCGTCAATCTGGACTGTTCCCTTTGTGCCTGGTTCTTGGTTCCCCACTTCTTCTCACACTCACCCTTGTACTTTGCTCCCTCTTTCTTCACACAATAGTCAAAGGGTGCCAGCAGCAGCAGTACCAACGACAGCACCAATACCAATACCAATACCACCAACAACCACAACCACACCAGCTTTGCACAAGGATACACCAACCCCAGCAGTAGCAGCAGCAGCAATGACAACCAGGAAACCAACCCACAGTCAATGTCCGCTCGTCTCTCAACCGGGATGATGCCCTACTTCATTCCCCCTCCTCCCCCTGGCGCATCCCATCCCTCTCGAGGCGCAAGTGGCAGCGGATATTCAGACGATACCAACAATAACAATACTGACTCGGTGCTAGATCTGATGACCCCGCCCATGTCCCCCACAGAGCACTCCTTCGACTTTGCAGCAACGATCAATAGTCGTTTTGACGCCGCCACGACCCTCTCGTCTTCGTCGTCTTCTACTTCAACCTCAGCCCATCGCCAGTATCATCACCAACATCATCAACCCTCCACCTTCTCACTTGACGAACCGCTGTATTCACCCCGAACAGACCGGATGGACAGGAAAGACAGGACAGACAGGACGCTTTTGTCCGCCCTTGGGACCTCGTCTCCTGCCTCCTCAGGATTCAACTCTGTTGTATCTGCGCGACCCGTCTCCTTTCATTGGGATGATTATCAGAGCCTTGAGGAGGACCAGGATGATTCAAGTGACCAGGACGACTTTGACTATAAGACTCGCTATCGTCATCATCGGCCTCCACGCCAAGAGAAGTATCCACAAAAGTACCCGCAAAAGTATCAGCAGTACGAGTCTGACGACGACGACGACGACGACGACGACGAAATAGAAGTAGGAGGCACGGAGGCAGATGAGGATGACGAGGACAGGATGCGGCGGGCTTATCAGCGTCAGTTTGAGGGCCACCACTCGCTTGTGCGTCGGCGGTCTTCTTTTGGTGGACGTGGAAATGGTGGCGGCCATGGGGTTGACTCGTATTCTGAGGACAGCAAATACGACTCGGTGCGACATGGGATCGGTCAGAGTGTCTCGGATGTGAGCGAGGAGTTGACTAAGGCTAGGATGGCTATGAATAGGGCGAGTCAGGCCATGAGGAGCATGGAGGCGGAACTGAAAGCCATGCAACTGAGTATCGGTAAGGAAAAGGGGGGATACAATGTCACTGTCGAGAAACATGCTGTGGTCACGCACAACCCTGAGCCAAATTAGCTAACTGACTCGTCCGCTTTCCAATTGGCTGTGCTATTATATAGATGAGAGCAAGGCCTCAAGTGCTTCTGCTAGGTCGGCAATCGAAGAGAATTTTTGGCGGCTAGAGTGTCTCGCATTGACGCTGGAGAAGGATAAACAGGACATGAGCAAGCAGCTGCAGGCCGCCGGGAAGGATACCCACCAAGCAGTCGAGACAGTTACCAACTGGGAAGTCAGGATCGATTGGCTGGAACGGCGTGTCGAAAACACCTCTGAGTATGTCTCTGAGCTGGTGCTCTCGGAACAGGAGTGCATGTCGTTCATCAAGATGATCATCCAGCAGAACCAACGCTACGCCATGCCAGCCATCTCCAAAGCGACCGAGCGGAATATCAAACTCATGGCTCCCCCCAAACAACGAGTCATTTCTCCTTCACCCATGCGTCCCATGTCACCCGCGCCTGCTCACTCTATCCAACCATCGCCTTCGCCACCACCCCCGCCATTCGCTTCATCAAGGGTCGGTCATATCCCGATTTCTTGGCTTCTCGAACCTATCCTCCCACCAAGACCGCCAGACCTTTCTTCTGCACGGGTGACAGAACTGCATGAGTCGGCGAACAGCTCGGATTCGAGCTCGACTCGCAATGCTGATCCACCAGCAGAGTTTTGGCGAGACTTTTCACGACTGACGAGGGCGTTTGAGACCGGTCAGCAACGGACTCCCTTCTCACCTTTCCAGAGGACCAGGACCCGTAGCGCCAGCCAGGGCTATGGCTCATCCGCACCCAACTTCCAGCAAGGATCCTCGTCCTCCTCCATCAATAGCAGCACCAATACCAGCGGAGTTGGCAGTGGCGGAAACAGTCTCTTCAAACAAGCCATGGTCCGTCGCCCCCAAGTCGAAGCCCTTTCCCCCATGCCCAAGATCCTCCCACCCGCAGTATCAGCATCCAAGATGGCCAATCCCAAACAACGCGGCCAGAATCTAGCCCACCTCCCTGTTCACTCCTGGCTCCAGTTCCAGTTCAACAAGACCATGACGACTCCTGGACCCTTGGGCAAGAAGAAGAAGACGAACGTTCTTGGATTCCAACCGATTACCATCTTCCAGACTACTACTGATGGACTCTCGTTTGTGCCTCGTCATGGTACTAGCATGAAGCGGTAGAAGTACGACCTTGTATATGAATCAGCAATCCATTTTTTTTTTTGCGTTTGTCTCGCCCCCTTCCCCCCCCCCCTGTACAAAATTGTAATAAAGTTGAAACGAGACACTGCACTCACTCACACTGTTCCGAAAAAATAACGCGTTTATGTGGCATTTGATATTATGGTTTCGGACATGGTGCCTGAGCCATGGTTTTAGACAGGCGGCAATCTTCTTTTGATCTAAAGGACGGGGCTATTGCAGTCTTGTCACAAGCCGTTGGGGGGGGGGGGGGGGGGGCGAATGGGCTTGTCTTGTGAGCTTTGCGACGCGTTCCTGCTTGACCATTTTTGTTCTCCACATCCGGACTCTACCTTTTTTTGTTTCAGCATGACCTGAGGTAACCTCTTTTCATCTGATAACAACTACACACAGTTTGATCAAAAACCCTGTTGGATTAGATCTTTGGTCGCCCATCACATGAGTCCACCCCATCCATCAGTGCCCACGAGGTACAAAATCCCTATCACAACTTTTTCCTGTGTTTTTTTTTTTCCTTTCTCGTGTCCTTCCTTCCTTCCTTCTTTCCTTCATTCCTTGAGGACTCTGCCTCCACACTTGTAATCCCCTTCAAGTGGTAAACACGCACATCCACAAATAACACATCGTGTCACCTTTATCGATTTGCGAAAAAGGTAGGCGCTTCAGGCACCTTTGGAATTTATCGCCTTTAAAACCATTTTTGCACTGTTTTATCGTGCTATGGATGCGACAGGTAAAAGAAAAAGAAGCAAAGCTGATCGAAATGCAGAATGAAGGTAAGTGAGATATGAAAAGACATAGCGGGCGACAGTGACATGTTTTTGTATTGCTTGCTCCTGGGAGGTGTTATTGCCCTTTTTGAAATGATGCGATGGTGGCGAAGAAAAGGGGGGGAAATGGGCAAATAGCCGACGAACCTAAAGTCGATGAGGAGAGTGGTTGCGATCGGTTGGGCTGGTTACTTGACCGAAAGAACAATGTATCGGAGGACAAAGGATTTCTAAGAAACAAAGAGTACACCAACGCTATGATAACCTGTCATCCGACATGGTCCGTGCAGCTTCTTACCATGCTACAACCCACAAAAACTTTCAAAAAAATAAAAATGCATTCAGAAGTATGAAGAAAATAAGTGTTGGAAGAGGTCAAAAGAATCGCCGAAGTACAAAAGAGCCATAGGAAAAAAAAATGGGACACGACGAGAATCCCTTCTACAATCCGCTTGTCCGAGGATTTTGTTCCATTTCATTTTATTTTCTACGTTTTTATGTGTTTGGATTGGAAGGAGGGCGAGAGAACGATATCACCAACAAACCGGATCGGTGCCTCCCCCCCCCCCCCCCCCCCCCCCGCTCTTCCCAATTCTCATCCCCTAAGCGACTCCGACTCCTCAAGACCACATTGCGCCCATCCAGTTACCATTTTGACATATCGTACAAGTTATTCATCGATTCAGAAAAAGGAAGGTTTGGCGGAGGAACCAATCTAACACTTTATTTTCTATATTATCAACGTGTCATGAAAAAATAAAGGAACGAATTGAAGAGAGGGAACAGAGCAAGAAAAAGCGGGACGCGAAACGAGAGGCAGAAATTCCATAAGAATCGCCAGGTGGGTGGTTTTGTTACGCGTGAAATAATGTGATGAAGGCAAAAAAAATGAGGCAAAAGAACACACACATAAAGTCGATATGAATATGGCGCAGAATGGCTGATTGGCTACACAACCACGAGGATATATCGTTAAGGTGAGAAAACCTTCAAAGAAAAGAAAGTGCACCAAACTCACTCGTCATCGGACGTGGTCTGTAGCTAGTATGTTGGTTATTTGCAAACGAAGGAATTGAAGCAAACAAAAGTGTATACGGCAGAGTTCGAAGAATAATGGACCACCGGCGATTGCGAATGGAATAGCAGAAGATCAAGAGAAGCCACCTGAAAACCATTGTAGATTATTATTTTTATCGTGGACAAACCGACACGATGAAAGATGGCACTGACTGCCTTTACATGGTTATGTCGGAAGCGCGCGTTATTAATTTTTATTCCTTTCGCATTTTGAAATGGCATAAGAGCTAAAAGACAGAGCAATCGGTTGTAGTATCAGAGGTTACTTTTCGTTGTACAAGTAAAGTTAAATTGAACCCTCCGTGGATCGCGCTGATTCGTTTTTTTTTGATATTTGTCATACCTACATTGAAATGATTTTTGGAATGAGGAAGGTGTGAGCGAAGTGGCACTACATCGTCGTTAAACCTTTTCTTTTAAGCATTCATTGGGTTTCTATGACGCACAAAAAAAATGAACGAAATGGACTGAAAGACTAAGAAATTATGAGAGGACTGAATCAACATTTCCCACTTCTTACTTGATCGCCGGTTGGGAAGGTTGTCACTATGAAAGGAAGGAAAAGAAAAGTCGATGTCGGTAAAACCATAGAGACAGCTAATCGTTCCGTTGATTAAGCTGGGTTGAGCTGGCTGGTAACACGGCGCGAAAACGTACACATATGTAAACAGAAAGGTGCACAACGAACGACGATCCCCCATTATCGCCAGGTGGGAGCTTTGTCATTTCATGAAATATGATGTGTCCAAGGTTAGAAAGAAAAGTGACAGAGACGATGGCGAAGCTTTGTTGCTTTAGTGAACACGCGTGATCGGCTTCCTGTTATACAACATAATCCAAGAAGTTAGAGTTATCATTGACCAAATAACGATCAAACGCGAAAAAATGGTACGTGTGAATGATCGGGTCGTAAAAAAATAGTCTGACAAAAACGGACGCCGATGCAAATGCATCCCAGATATCAATCGCATCGCACTCCCGAGATGGATTCTGGGAAACCTCTCAGTGGTCATCATTCTCGAACTCGATGGAACTATTCAAGTCATCTTCACAATCAGCTATCCAGGATCTTCCCGCCCAAATCGCCGGTCTTACAATAAATGCCAACAATTCTAATGCATCTCCCCATTTGCCGGTCGACATGATGGAAGGCCTTCTGAAAAATCAAGTAGAGTTAATAAATAGGATACTCTCGAGCATCGGTCGCCCTTAGGCAGCCTTTCTAAGTGTAAAGAATATAAAAAAGTATATAAAAAATATCCAAAGCCCAAGAAATGCACTGTAGACTTCCATAGCTGATATATCTCTTCACAGTCGGCAACAGAACAAAGGGTGAGATAGCAAAGACAGCACAAGATATTTTAAAAATGTAATCTCTCCCTGTATTTCACAGCAAAGATACAGTTGAGAGTACAAGTGCCTTAAATGGTCACGTACAAGAACTATTCCCCTGAATCTTGCAATGAGGAGTACAGTTTAATAGTGAATGGACACATTCAAGAGATTGGTGTGCGAAAAAATAACAAGGCTATGTTGTTTGGAGAATGTGATGGTGTTTAGTAGGATAATACGCGAGAAATGCTACAGTGGTTGATTTACATGGTTAATATCACACATACACTCTCCTCTAATGGTCGCGGTGGATATCAGCAAGACCTGGAGAGTACCGTATTATAATTTGGAGTTGAAAGGCCTCCTAATTTATTTGCACTTTACTTCTTTTATCCAGATCCGGATATGGACATTGAGAACTACTTTGAGTACACTCGCAGGTTCACTGAGCGGCTGGACAAACTAGGCGAGGACCACTTAGAATAGGACCGAGAGAAGAGAAAGATCACAAGCAAGAGTAAGCAGGCACCATCAACTTTGAACACTAACCACCTACCTGACAACATCAATCATATCCACAGGGCGAAGGCTGCAATGGTTGCGCGAGCCAATAAGGAGCTCATGGAGCCAAATGATCTCGAGTTGTCTGATGACGAGCAGATGTCCGAGCAGAGGGAGATGAGTGGGAGCCAAGAATAATAACATGAAATAAATAAAACGAATATTACGAGCACTACAATACTGCCAATACCGACAAGGCTACCCTTGCTCTTTTTCGCTCATATCGCCTTTCACCCAACAACAACAATAACAACAACAACAGCAACAACGGTACCACAACTGGGTCCTCTTATATCCACTGCGCAACCAATACTGGGGTCTAGTTCAGTTAGTTAAATTTAATGAAATGCCTCACAGTGGACAAATAAAACAGACAGCTCCAACCATTTCGCCCAACAATGAAATCATTTCTATTCGTTACCCGTGACTCGCTTCTTGATCCTTCACTGAGGGCCTCATATTCACATATTCACATATTCACACGTCTTTGTGTTAAACTATTTCTCACCTTTTACTTTTCACAAGACTCATTTTCTCTTCCACCGACACCAACAACAGCAACAATTCATTCAAACATACAGCACAGCACACTCTCATACACACCATGGATGAAGACTCCCCCTTCCTCGCCATTTCTAGTCGCAATGGAGCCTCAACCCCAACCAACAACACCAACTCTAACCTCGACTTGAGCTCATTCAACAACCAGCACAACAATGGTGCCCTCCTCGGAGATGCCCAGCTAAGAGACCGACTCCATTACAGACGCAGCTCATTCACCCCTATCTTCGACCGCGATGACTCTGGAATCTATGAAGGAACAGCAGAAAAGTACATTAACGACCCCATTCACGTAAGTTTGACTTTTTTCCTGAATGCATAGACACTCGTTTCCTCGTTTTGTTTTTTCTTATTTCTCTGACCAACCACCATGCGATAGCGCCACTAAATCGAAAATGAGCGTATTGTTCGTTCGTTCCCACACCTTGCTGGGCCAGTTCTTGTTACTCCCTCGGTACTAATATTGCCAGGTGTTAAATCATCATAGGGTCACGTCTTGCTGGATGCCGACACACTTAGCTGCATCGATACACCCCAGTTCCAAAGACTCCGCGATCTCACACGTGAGTCTACTTCTCTCTGTTTACCATGCCTTCTGCTACTGCAGCGGCTCCCTTTCCACCTTTCTTCATCGAGCAAATGCACAACCTTACATGAGTATGCTGACTCCTATTGCTACCATTTTGCATACAATTTAGAGCTGGGCTCTGCATATTACGTTTTCCCTGGAGCAACCCACAAACGCTTTGAGGTATTTTTTTTTAGAGTTGTGGGAAAGCATGGGCCGCAGTCGTGTCGGATTCATTTGACCAAAGGGACTTGTTCGCTTGACCATTGCAGAGTCCTGACATCCAAGCTGCGCAATTTTGGCTTCTTCTTCCTAGCACTCCATAGGTACTTGCCATCTTGCGGGAGAGTTAGTCGAGAGGTTCAGGGATACACAACCAGAGCTGGAAATCAGTGCGAGTGACGTCAAGTGTGTCAAGCTGGCGGGATTATGCCATGACCTAGGTAAGCGAGTCATCTCGACCAGAGGGACAGTGCGATAACAACGGATCAGTGCCGTCATGCATTAAATTCACCAATGTTTCCAACCTCCTGCTTAATTGATAGGTCATGGTCCGTTCAGTCACGTCTTCGACAACGAATTCATTCCCCGCGCTATACCCGGATCGAACTGGACACATGAACAGGGCTCCGAGATGATGCTAGAGTACCTGGTGGACGACAATAATGTCGATCTCGACCGAGAGGAGATCAACTTTATCAAAGACCTTATCATGGGCGAGCGTCGAGGCAACAGCCAGTAAGTATTGCCCTCTTCGAAGTTCAATTCGTTTCGCTATGACTCTTTTGGGTCTATTCGATACAAATCTAATCAAGGTATCATTTCGTAATAGGCGTCATGGATTCTTGTTCGACATTGTTTCCAACAAGCGCAACTCCCTGGACGTGGACAAGTACGATTATCTGCAGAGGGATTGCTACAACGTCGGGATCAAGTCTTCGATCGACTGTTCACGGCTCATGAAGATGTCGAGGGTGATTGACGACCAGATCTGCTGGCACCACAAGGAGGTCTATAATCTGTACGAGCTGTACCACACCCGGTTCAGTCTGTTCAAGCGAGTCTACACACACAGGGTCGGCAAGGCGATCGAGTACATGTTGACGGACGTACTTTTGGCAGCAGACAGCGTCATGGGTATCTCTCAGGCGATTTTCCATGGAGACCAGTATCTCCACTTGACCGATGACATCATTCGTCAGATCGAGCGGTCGAGCGAACCTGTAAGTTTACCAAATCTTTATTTTTTCATTGCCGCGAATTGACTCGATGACGAGGCAGACTGATATTTTACTCACCTTCGCCTTGCTGTCATATCTGACAGGGCTTGGAGGATTCGAAGGCGATCTTGAAGCGGATCCGGACGCGCAACCTGTACAAGTTTGTCGATGAGCTTTTGATTCCTCGCGAGAAGCTCGGCATTTTGACAAAGGTATTTTGGTGATGAGCTCAGTATTTGCCATTTGTTCAACAACCGCAATTGTTAACCATTCTATTACCATGCAATGACCCCATAGGAGAACATCAACTCTGCAGAGATCGTTTCTTGCCAAGGAACGAACGACCACTTGCAGCAGGATGACGTAATCGTTGAGTTCCTGAAGAACAACTATGCAATGAAGGACCAGAACCCCGTCGACGGCATCAAGTTCTTCTCCAAGACCAACCACTCTGGTAATGATGGGTGCAAGATGACACCATTGTCGTCGCTGTTTTGAATGGTATCGTTTCGCTTCTTTTCAGTCTCTAACGTTCCCTCATGTGCTTTATCTGTTGAATTTGATAGCGTCGTATCACATTCCCAAGGAAAAGGTGTCAAGTTTGATTCCAAGCGAGTTCCAGGAGAACATCATCCGTGTATTTTCAAGAGATCCGACAAAGGTCCGGGCAGTCCACAAGGCGTTCCGTCGGTTGATGTCGAGATTCTATAGGACAAGTGACGGATCGAGTAACTTACCACCTTCGTCGACGTCTCCCTATTATAATTCTCTGAATACAACACCTGAGAGGGCCAATGCGTATGCGGCGTCGTGGATGCAGCAACAGAGCAGGCAGTCGTCGCCGACTCGGCATGTTGGGGGTAGCTCGGGCGGTAGTGGAAAGCGGCGCGACCGGAGCCCGAGTCCCTTGTCTAGTCGACGTGTTCGGTCGAGCGGTGGGCTGAAGTCTTTGGGTGATGGCGTGATGGATATCTCTGACAATGAGTGAGGAAGATTACTTTTGAATTTGCGGTTTTGATTCCTATCGCTTTTGGTTTTTCTCAATTCTTATCCCGCTTTGCATTTTGTCACTCTCCATTAATATATCCATCGTCCGCTCTTGCATTCATATCTTGTGTGTGTTCCTTGGAAAAGTGTTTATTTGTTCATTCTATTGAGGAGAGTTGTGTAAAGAGGAGGTTGTGTTTGTGGAATCATTTAGAAGCCCCTTTCAATTGAGTATGAAAATGCGGATGAGTCTTAACGCTTGAGTGAGAGAGTAGGGAAGGTTGGTTGGTTGTTGGTGATGGATGGAGTCAAAAGGAAAGTAAGAGATTTATTCCTGCTTCTTGTACTCGACGGTCTCGCCACGTGCGGCCATCCTTGCCTTAGCCTCCCTGTAGGCCCAGGTGTGGACGTTGGTATCGGGCTTGTAGTAGACAAGAGCGGTACCAAAGATCATGGAGCCGAAGAATCCGTAGAACATCAAGGGCTCCCAGTCCTCCTTGACGCGCTTGGCACCAGGGGCCAAAGGCTAATTGTGAGGTTTATGCGAGATCGGAGGCAGGGTTAGTGATACTGATTTTTGACAGATCCGAGGGTGCTTTTGTCTAAGGTCTAATAGCCGTGCGTGTACGTCGTTGGGAGTTGGTTGCTTGGTTCCTGTTGGTCGTCGTTATTGCCCTTTGTGGTTGCAGAGTTGATTGATGTGTATTTGTCGCCTTCCTGAGTTGCTCCTGTCGTTCAATTGATCCTGTCCTGAGGTGCATATTATGCGATTCGTATATGTGTTAGCTACTACTCCAGTCCAGACGGCCACTTCGGACTTGTGTTGTCCTGTCTTGTGTGTTTCTAGCTGATCCGGAACTCTTGCAGCGTCCGATCGCGGTTCTTTCCCTTCCCCCTCCTTCCTTCAAGTCTTTCTCCTTTGTTGCCTTCTCAATGACTCCTGTTTGCTGATGTCCGGGGTTGGTTTGTCCATCTCCGCGTTGCTTAGATCCATGCCTCCGTGTCGACTTGTGATTAATACCTTCTCTCCGAAGAGGTATCCGGTGGGCTGGTTGTAGCCCTCGTGGTGACCACCGCGGCGGATCTGGATGGCGCGGCGGAAGGGAGTGCGGGTGAAGGTGCGGGCGATGGCGGACATTGTTGGCTTGGTGTGTTGTACAGAGGAGAGAAAGAAAAAAGGGGGAGGGTGGTGATGGGAGTGGATGATGATCTTTCAGGAAATCCGAAGTTGCATGTGCGAACGGGCTGGACGGACGGAGTGTGTGTGAAGGGTTATGGGACCGAGAGAGTGCAGGGAGTGGCTTGGTTGAAGGAAATGTGGTCAATTAAGGAGGGTTCGCGATAATTGACTGTTGTTTGATTGATGGTGGCGACGGACTGCGACAACGAAACTCGAAAAATAAAGTGCTGCAGCATCACTTTCGTTTCTTCGCACCTTCCTCTCTTTCTTCCTTTCCTCTACTCTTCTCTTTGGACTTCACGATCCACATCCAAAGGAGACTTTTACAGGAAAACCCGAGCTCAGGAAAAAACACAACACCCTCTCACTCACAACAAAGCCAATTAAATCAATGGGAGAGAAAGTCAACCAATTCGACGACATCTACCTGGATCTCGCGCCAGAGTTGGGCCTCCTCCGTCTGGCCCAGTCCGGTCTCGGCTGGAAGGCTCGTCGAGGCGAGGGACTCTTCACAGTTCGGGATGCCGATCTCAAACGCACTATCTGGCTTCGTGCTGCTCGCAACTTCCAGCTGCGCATTCAGCTCCGTGATGGACGGATCGTCAAGTTTGATGGATTCCAACGCGATGTATGTCACTCACTTGTTTGTTTGTTTTGTTTGAGTTGGAATGATAAGGTGGCGCGCTGTCACGTTGTTTCTGGTGCTGTTGCATTAGGTGTTCTGCGCAATTGTTACTAACGTACATAACTCTTGCTGCTGTGGACGTGTAGGACTTTGAGAAGCTGAAGGATATTATCAAGACGAATTATGGACTACAGCTGGAAACCAAGGAGATGAGTGTCAAGGGCTGGAACTGGGGAGAGACCGACTTTTCAAGTAAGCAGCCAGCACCACAGCAGCAAACCTCGTCATTCTTCTCAAACTACAACAGGACCCTTTGACCTTTTCATGCTGATCTATGAACTAACTAATCAACCACTTTTTAATCGACCATAGACAGTAGTCTAGTGTTCAGTGTACAGAACAAGGAGATGTTCGAAATCCCATTGAACGAGGTCACCAACACATCGCTGACGGCCAAGCACGAGGTCATGATCGAGCTCGGTGGACCTGATGGCGAGGGCGGTGCAAGGGATAAGAACCGCAAGGGCGATCAGCTGGTCGAGATGCGCTTCTATGTTCCTGGACAGGCTAACCAGGAGGGTGAGGGCGAGGAAGAGAGCAACGCTAATGTAAGTTATCAGTACTATACGCTCTATGTTGCTTTTGGGTAAGGTTGCCAACAGCGCATAAATAGGAAGGTGTTTTTGCTAATATATCCTTTTTTTTTCTACTTATGCCAACAACAAACAACATCAACACGACAACCAACTTCGACCTTCAAATTTCGACAAAACTGGAAACAAAAACAACAGGTGTTCTACAACTCGATCAAGAACGAGGCAGATATTGGCGACGCAGCACCAGGCGATGGCATTGTGTTGTTCTCGGATACTCTGTGCTTGACCCCTCGTGGTCGTTACGATATCGACATGTTCCCCGCATTCTTGCGTCTGCGCGGAAAGACAACCGACTACAAGATCTCGTACACTTCGATCATCAAGCTGTTCTTGTTGCCCAAGCCTGATGATGTTCATGTCCTGTTCGTCATTGGATTGGACCCTCCACTTCGTCAGGGTCAGACCCGGTACCCCTTCTTGGTGTTCCAGTTTGTTCGGGAGGAGGAGATTGATGTGTCCCTCAACCTGGACGACGAGACGATTGCGACCAAATACGAGGGCAAGCTCGAGAAGAAGTACGAGTCAAGGACTTATGAGGTTGTCAGCACATTGTTCAAGACTTTGACGGGTCGTCGCGTCACCATCCCCTCCGAGATCTTCAAGTCATACCACAACCAGTCGGCCATCAAGTGTTCGATGAAGGCCAACGAGGGTGTACTCTACCCCTTGGACAAGTCGTTCCTCTTCATCCCCAAACCACCAACTTTTATCCCCCACTCCGAGATTGGATCGGTCACGTTCTCGCGTGTTGGTGGTAATGCTGCTTCGGCTTCGAGGACGTTCGATCTCAAGTTCAACATGAAGTCTGGCGTCGACTACTCGTTCTCGAGCATCAATCGTGAGGAATACACCAACTTGAACGAGTTCTTGCAGAACAAGAAGATCAAGACAAAGACCATGGAGGACGAGTCGACTGGTCGCTATGTCGAGATGGTTGAGGATAGTGATTCGGAGGAAGATACTGGCAAGCGCAAGAGGAAATCGGTCGTCCAGGACTTTGGCGGCGGAGATGATGAAGATGGCGAGTCCAGTCGTAAGTTTTCTCTCTTTTTTTTTCTGTGGCCGTGTTCTTTAGTAACTTTGTTTGTTGTAGCAATCTTCTAACCCTATCGCTCTTCTTTGTATATGATGGAAAAAAAAATAGCTGACGAGGACTTCGTGGCGGACGAGAGCGAGAGTGATGTGGCAGAAGAGTTTGACGAGAACGTTAGTGACTCTGGTGGATCAAACGCTTCTGACGCTTCGGGCGACGAAGGTTCAGGCAATGAGCGACCTGCGAAGAAGCCCAAGAAGTAGATAAGCCCATTTTCTCGTTTCATCCTCTCAGCAGCTTGTTTTAAAGTTTCGTTCTTGTCTTCCATTTCTTTCCTCTCCTTTTCATTCATAAAATTACATGCACACATGCACACAAACTAAACTATGAGGGTTCCTCTACAATTATTATTTTTATAATATGAAAACAGTGCAAGATGCGTCTTTATTTTTGAGTATTCGATGCTTAAACAACGTCCAACCTATTGGGATGAAAAAGAGAAGAGATCAATGTCAACAAACCTTGCATACAAAACAACATTGAAACTTCTTGGCAGGAACAAAAAAAAAAAAAAAAAAAGACGACGACAAGATACGTACCTTCCCTTGAGCTTGACGACGAGGGCCCATTCCTCCTTTGAAAGATCGTTACGGAAGGACTCCTTCAAGATGTTAATGGACTCTCGCGAGATCATGGAATAGAGCTCGGACTGCTCGTTGAAGTGGCGTCCAAAGGTCTTTGCGTTCTCGTAGACAGCACACTCGACCTTAATGGCAACTCCTCCTCCAGAGCCTCCCTTCTTGACAGTATCGACAACCTTGTGGTTCATCTCCATCGACGTGATCTTGCCCAACGACACAATCTCCTTGGCCTTGGTCTCGGGGTTGATGTTGATCACACACAGTGGCGTGCCGGTCTTCATGACTCCCTCAAAAACATCGACTCCGATAACAATAGGATCCTTCTTGTTGAAGATGGCTCCGGGGACCATCTTGAGGATACAGGGGAAGACGGCCGAAGGGGCCTGGTCCTTGCGACGCTCCTCTGTGAGCTGCTTGTGGTAGGCTGTGAACTGATCGAACAAGTGGTAAATAATGTCGGCCTTGAAGACCCTGATGCCCATCTCCTCAGCCATCTGCTCAGCTTCCTTGTCGACCTTGACATCGAAACAGAGCAAACAGGCCAGCTCCTTGGACTTTTCCAACATCGTACTGGCACGCATGATATCCTTCTTGTGGACGGGTCCAATGTTGACACCAGAGACAGGGATGTTCGACACCCTCAAGAACTCGAGCAAGGCCTCCAAGGAACCGAGAGTCGAGGCCTGGACACAGACACCGTGTCCAGACTTGTTGATCGATGACAACAGCGACGTGAGATCGGAAATAACCTCATCCTTCAACTCTTCCTCATCATCATCGGGTCCGACAACCATCAAACGGGATCCGGCAAGGGCCTTTTCCAGATCGGGGGCGGAAATCTTGACTCCGAGCGAGGCCTTGACCTCCTTGTGATGGACGTATGCAGACTTGACACGCAACTCCTTCAATGGCTGAGGCGTCAACAGCGCACGGACGTTTGTCGCGATTGCTGATCCGTTTAGACCACAGAGAACAATACGGTCTCCTTCCCTCAGGACACCGTTCGACAAGACAACATCGATCGTTGTTCCGAGACCTTCGATAACCTTGACCTCCAGGACTGTACACTCGAGCTCGGAAATGTACATCAGACGCTCGCTCATACGGGTCTGGGTGAGCTCGACCAACAACATGATCATATCGGGGATACCCTCTCCAGTGTGGGCAGATGTGGGGACGAGCGAGACGTACTTGCCCAAGTTCTTGTTGTCGTAGTAGAGGGTGGCGTTCAATCCGTTCTCCTGGAAGGCTGTGATGACAGCGTTCTTACGGGTCTCGAACTCGCGCTTGACGGACTCAGACTGATGGGACAACGAATCGACGAACGAGTTGTCGGGGATGGCCTTCCAGCCGAAGAGACGATCGACCTTGTTCAGGGCGACAATGAAAGGAGTCTTCTTGTCACGAAGCAACTTGAGAGACTCGAGGGTTTGGGGCTCGAGACCGTGCATGATATCGACGACCAAAATGGCAATGTTACAGAGCGACGAACCACGGGAGCGCAAGTTGGTGAAGGACTCGTGTCCGGGGGTATCGATGACCAAGAGACCAGGCAGCTTGTACTCCTTGGATCCGTCCTTGTTCAAAACTGCAGTCTTCTGCTTGATGGTCTCCAAGGGGAAGAAGGTGGCTCCGATCTGCTGGGTAATTCCTCCGGCTTCGCCCTCCTGAACGTTGGTCTGACGAATCTTGTCCAGAAGCTTGGTCTTTCCTGTATCGACGTGTCCCAAAATACAGCAAATAGGCGAACGCAGGTCATCTTTGGAACGCGCGGCCATGGCGGCGGCAACACGGGCCTTTCTGCGGACAGCTGCCTCTTCCTTGCGGAGACGCACAGCCAGAGCGGTCGAGGTTTCCCGCTCAGAATCGGAATCAGAGTCAGAGTAGTCCGAAGAATCGTCAGAGTCGTCAGAGTCATCATCAGAGTCATCAGAATCATCCTCAGACTCGGACTCGGACTCGGATTCAGGCTCGGGCTGCTTCTTGACAGGAACGCCCTTCTTGGCAGGGGCACCCTTGGCACCCTTAGCCTTGGCAGGAGCACCCTTAGCAGGAGCAGTCTTAGCAGGAGCAGCCTTAGCAGGAGCAGCCTTAGTGGGAGCAGCCTTAGTGGGAACAGCCTTGGCCTTCTTGCTATCCTCATCACTGCTCTGATCCCAGCTGTCCTTAACATCCTCCTCCTCGCTCTGATCCCAGCTGTCCTTGACGTCGTCCTCGTCCTTCTTCTCCTCAGGGGCGGGGACCTCGTCCTTCTCGGCGGCGGCCTCCCAGTCATCAGCACTCTCCTCATCCTTCTCCGAAACGGCAGCCGAGACAGGGGTGATAATCTCGGGCGCAACGATCTTGGGGGACGAAGGAGGAGGGGTCTGGGCCTGAGGACCCTTCTTCTTCTTGTTGCCGTAGACGACCTTCTTCTTCTTGTCGGGCTCCTCGTCGTCGGCCTTCTCGAGACCCTCGACAATAACTCCTGACTCCAAGAGCTGCTGCTTGCGGAGCTCGGCCTTGGCCTTGGCCTCCTTCTGGGCCTTGGTCAAAAGAGTACCCTCCTTGCGCTTCTGCTCCAGCTTGGCCCTCTCCTTCTCCTTCTTCTTGGCCTTCAAGGCAGCCTTAGCGGCCTCCTCCTCCTCGATCTTGCGGATACGCTCCTCCTCAGCGCGCTGCTGCTCCTCGAATATACGGCGAGCCTCCTCCTCCTCAGCCTTCTGCTTCTCCAACAAAGCCTATTACGCCCGAAAATTTGAGAAGAATAACATTAGCGATTTGGCCGACCAATGGTGTGTATACGACATGTACATTTCCATGAAAATCCTCGGAGGTCCTGTGTCAATTCCCACTGTATCGCTCCTGGTTCTTACCTTGAGGGCTCCGAGACCGGCGGGTCCCTTCTTCTTGGGCTTGACCTCCTCCTTGACAGCGGCAGCGGCCTTCTTCTTCTTCTTCTTGTTCTTAGACTTTGGTCCCTCATCCTCATCCTCATCCTCGTCGTCATCCTGAGCAGCAGCAGCAGGGGCGGGGGTTGGTTCAGGAGCCTTATCGGCCTTGGGGGCAGGGGCGGGGGTAGGGTTGTCCTTCTTTGCCTTCTCGGCAGCAAGACGCTTCTTCTCCTTCTCACGCTCCTTTTTCTCCTTTTCCTTTTCCTTCTTGGTCTTGATCCTGACAACGGGCTCTCCGTCATCCAGATCGTCGTCCAGATCGGGCTCAGGAGTGTCAGCCTTCTTGGGGACAGCCTTCTTTTTAGCAGCCTTGGCGATCAGGCCCATGAGTCCACTGTCACCATCGTCATCGTCGCGAGCGACGTGGTCGGGGACGTACAGCGCGGCTTCGGCCTCGGCCTCGGGGGCAGGGGTACTGCTGATACCAAGGGCCTCCTGGTCCTGCTCGAAATCGTTCGATTGCCTATTGATTTATTTCAATCAAAATTATCCTTTCGTTAGTTTTTTTCTTGCGTGTCTTTTAGTGCGAGCAGGTTCGCGCTGAACGACGTGGACGTTGGCGAAGACCGTAAGGTTCCGGTGAGCCCAAAGGTGTGAATCCGCAGTTTTTTTCTAGAGTAGCCACCGCAGTTAATAGAAAAGTTGCAGAGTTGAAGCGCCGCAGTTCCCATGCAGTTGGGTTGCCAATATGAAATGTTGAGCAACCGAGAGGTGTGTGAGGGTAACCAGTAGAGTTTGTCAGGAAAAAATCGAAGCATCGCTGAGCGTCCAGTTGCTGCATGGTGAGACTGGACAGCCTGGATTCCCATCGACACAACCTTGGTTTTGTTGGCTGAACGTTCCATTAGCGAGTTGAAGTTGCATGTTGCGTTGGTGGATGCCCAAGGCGGTCAGTTGTGTCAAAGGAAAAGTTGTCGTTATGGTTCGTGTTGCTGAGTGAGTCGCCTGTGTCTGTGAGAAGTGCTTCTTTGGTAAATGGTAGAATGAAGGGGAAGTGTGAGGTTGTAGAGATCTTTTGTGTGTTGTCGTGCGCTTACCAGTAGTCGTCCTGCTTCTTCTTCTTGTTTCCCTTCTTTGGCGGCATGGCGAATAGGTGATGGTGGTAGTTGGTGGAGTGAAGAAGAAAAGAAGAAAAAAAAGAACGATCGTTTTCTACGCTGAGAAAAAAACTCGAACGAGCACAGGGAAGGCGAGTCACCGAATTTGTTTATGATACCATGACCAAGTGACTGCCATTTCATTTGTAGCTTTCCCACTCTTCATGTTTGTTGCCACACTTTTAAAAGCGCGTCGTTTTTGTTTTGCGCGTTTCTTTCTTCATCACTCAACCACTCCTCAACTCATTCACGATGGCTCTTTGGGTAGACAAGCACAGACCAACAAACCTCGACAAGCTCGACTACCACACCGATCTCTCAGCCCACCTCAAGAAGCTGGTACCACACCCCTCATTTGCTCTTCTTTTTCTACTCTTCGTTCACGCTGTACCCTTTTTAAACACTCGTTGCCACCAATTTTTTTACTCACAACAAATCCCATCTTTTTCACTATTTCATCTTTGTAGTGTGCTTCGGGCGACTTCCCTCATATGCTTGTCTTTGGACCTCCAGGAGCCGGAAAGAAGACTCGTGTCGTCGCTATTCTTAGGGAACTCTTTGGACCTGGCGCTGAAAAGGTACCTTTTCGCTCTTTTCTGAAGCAAGAATTGAAGACTGAAAAAACAAGTACTGACACTCTATATCTCCTTACCATCAAATCAATAGATCAAAATCGATCAACGTATCTTTGAGACGCCGTCAAAGAGAAAGTTGGAGTTGAACATCGTGTCGAGCAACTATCATCTGGAGGTCAACCCAAGGTAATCACATGCTTTCAGGATAATGACAAGAGGACATAAGACTACTGTGTGACATAGTTGTTCAGTCCTGCAGGCACTCATCGGCATGTTGTTTTTACTTTCCTTGATAGTGATGTTGGAAACTACGACAGGGTTGTTATTCAGGATTTGCTCAAGGAGGTCGCTCAAACCCAGCAGGTCGATGCCTCCGCACAGAAGCGATTCAAAGGTGCGCTTTCCTCGCCTACTTTTGCTGTTATGGCGGGAACTCATTGCAACCAGATTGATTAACAAATAGTTGGTGACTTTGATTGTCTTACCAATAGTGGTGGTAATTCACGAGGCGGATCTGTTGACAAGGGATGCACAGGCAGGATTGCGTCGAACCATGGAGAAATATATGGGCAACCTGCGAATCATCATGTGTTGCAACACAACGTCAAAAATTATTGGACCCATTCAGTCCCGTTGTCTTTTGGTCCGGGTTGGCGCACCTACTTATTCGGAGATGGTCAGGGTCATGCACAAGGTTGTCAAGAAGGAGCACTGTGGACCTTTGCCCGAGAACTTAGCCTTCCGCTTGGCTGAGGAGTCTGGACGGAATCTTCGGAGAGCACTCCTTATGCTCGAGACCGCCAAAGTGCAAAGGTACGTCCTCTTCGTATATCATTTTGTGGGCGTGTCTGCTTCAATCTTTCAGGAAGATCGTTAACATTGCGGACCAAAAATTCTAACCTTCTATCCCTACTGCAACCATTAGTCACCCATTCAAAGAGGACCAGGAGATTCCACGCATGGATTGGGAAGATTTCATCCGCACAGTCAGAGTCCAGATCTTGAAGGCTCAAACCCCAGAATCGTACGTCGCACCACTTCAGCGCTCATTTTGTTTTCTTGCTCTTTTTTGGGAGCCATATCAGGACATAATGCTAAAGGAAACGTACTTTTTTTCCTTACTTATGGGTGAAAATAGTTTGCAGGCGGTCCGTGGACAGATGTACGAACTTATCAACCACTGCATTGAACCCGCCGCGATCCTGAAGACACTGGCAAAGGAATTGATTGATAGGGTGGAGGGCAACGAAATCAAGATGAGGTTTGCACAGGAAGCTGCCTTTTACGAGCACAGGTTACGTACCGGACAGAAGGCCATCTTCCATTTGGAGGCCTTTGTTGCCAAGATCATGAGCGTCTACAAGAGGTAAATATGTTTGTCGTTGTTGAATGAGGTCCTGATACGGAGGATATTTGACTTATTGATACTTACTAACACTCGCCCTTTTTGTATTCTCGTTGATATAGACACTTGATGTCGATGGATATGTAGTGGGAGTGGCCGATGACGATGTTTTTCTGTACAAAACCAATTAGAGAAATAATAAATAAATAAACAAAAAATAACTATGTTCAAATGTCTGTAATGTGCATGCCCGAAGTGATAGTACGCCACCAATTTGGATCGTTCACTACGTTTTATTATAGCTCGATGATCTTGGGCCGTGGACCTTCGTGCACAAAGATACCCTCATCATCATTCTCGCCTATGCTATCCTTCTTCTCTTCTTCCTTCATACTCTCGTCCTCCTCATCCTCTGACTCGTCATCGTCTGAGTCGTCGTCCGAATCACTGTCGTCCGAAGAATCGTCAGAGTCATCACTATCATCCTCCGACTCTTCCTCGGACTCTTCTTCCCCCTCGGGTGTCTCCTTTGCCAAAGCCTCCAGTTCCTCAAGGTGCCATCCCAGCTCAGATTTGTCCAACTTGAAATGGTGCAGCTCGTGAGCCAACGTCCTGATCACCTTCTCGCTATAAAAATGTCATATAAAAAAAATGTCAACATTAGCCCACGCTCATGAAACGGACAACCGCCAACAAAAAAAAAAGTAACCAACCATTTCAAAAGAATCTTACCTAGCGCTCTGGATCCAGACACAATAATCCTCCACAAACATCTTACTATAAATATAATAAATATCATCATGATCCAAAACTTCCTTGATGGCCAACAGCGCCCTCAAGATCCCCCTCCGACCCAACTTGAGAATCACATACACATCCTGCAAGACCTTTTCGGCCAAATTCCAGTTCCTGTTGAGAGGGTAAGCCAGGGCACGACGGAAACTGGCAAGGAGGGCCTCTTTGAGGGTCGTGAATTGGTCGAGGGCGGCGATGGAGGGGGAGAGTTTGCAGATAGTCCAGGCGGTCTCAACGGATGTGTCGCCTTCGGAGGTGCGGAGGTCGTAACTGTAGGCAAAGAGGATGTCGATCAAAGTCAGGTATGCCGATTTGGTGTTCTCCAAGATATCTGCATTTTAAAAAGAAACAAGGAAAATAATAAATATTAGCACCTCGTCAGATAATCTCATGAATTTAACGCGTGTACGCAATAGCAACGAGAAGGCGTCTTACATTCTCTGCGAGGCAAGTCCCGCATCAGCTCCTGCTCCTTGGCCGAGAATGGCTTCACTGGTACGGAAAAGTTCTCTCCAGAAAGGTTCATCTCCGCGATTCCGTCAGTCAAGTCCGAGTTTTGCAGTGGCTTCGAAGAGTCGATCACCTCGATCGAGTGTCCAGCCAGGTGTTTGACAGGCTCACTCTCATCAATCAGAGGCTCAATCGTTGAGATCAAAGGGTTGTTGCTGTTGCTCTCCAAAGTCGCCGCTGAAGTCATTGCTGGTGAGGGCTGGGAAGGTTCCAGATCCAAAATCAAGCCACTGCCACTGCTGCTACTGCTACCAATTTCCGAGATCATGCTTGAGGTAGTAGTCTTCTTGGTCGAGATCTCCTTCAACCCAAAGGCATCTGCAGAAGAAGTAGTCTCCTCCGAGTCATCCTTGACAATATTAAATATAGAGGGTGCGGAGGGTTTGGTTGGGTTGGCGAAAAGGCTTGATGTGAATGTAGTCGACGCGGAGATGTTCGTCGGTGCCGAGGCTGTGAGTTGCGTTGTGGCGCTGATTAATGGTTCCGATGCTGGTGTTGGCTCAGCCTTAGCCTTTTTGCTCGCGTTATCTATCAATGTTTAAATATTTGATGGTCAGATGTGCAGTCCAGGATATTCGAAGGCAGTCTTTCAGGGTTCGTATGAGTGAGACATGAATAGGTCCTCACCTTTCTCGGCTTTCTGGATAGCACGGAGTTCATTCCACCATTGGGTCTTGTACTTTAAGATATGCTGAATCTCCTCCTCCGTCATGAAGTCGTTCCTACATGATAGTAAAATGAAAAAGGTCCACTACCCAGTGTCAGCCATTCGCTTGGAAACCAATGCACAAATTACGGACTCGAATGCGGATCCAGTGTATGGTTCAGTTACGTACATGTAGTACTCATCGTCAAACTTGCTATTTTCCCGCTGAATCCTGTTCTCCCTCCTCTGCTCCAACGTCGCATGCTCGGGGTCATACACATCCAGAACATCGTTGGCAGTCTCTTGAGCGTGTGTGAAGAATCCCGAGTACCGGTTGTTGAATCCGTACCGAACCTCTGAAAAAATCTAATCGGTAAACAAAGCACAAACAAACATATCGTCAGTCGCCGTCAGCACTTCCAAACAAGCAGCATGGCCTATGCTACCAAAGACCCAGGATCCAGTATGCTTTCTTCAATTACCTCTTGGCGGATCTCCTGTGGCATCTCCCAATCAAAATCTTCATCCTTTTCAACCTGGCGAGTACCCTCCAAGGTCTCCCCACTGCTAATGACTTCAATCAACGGCCGCTTGATCTGCTTATCCGTCGACAGATCGCCCTTACGGACGAGCAACTTGGTGAGCATATCCAGATCGGGGAAATCTTCTCCTGGGGTCTCCTTGTGCAAGACGACTGTCAGTTCTCCTTCGCCGACATTGTAGGTCGCCTTTGCTCTTTCATCGTCCACAACATTTCCTGGGAACGTCAGTCTAGGGAGTGTTGGTTGAGTGGTGTAGAGGCGGTTAGATATTTGGTCGGTGCGGTGTGCTGGGGTGGTATGTAGTCAATTGAAAAGGAGTTGGTATGTGTGCTTTACCTCAGGAAGTAGGGCTTCAGGTTGAATTTGAACACTGCGCCGTCGACCTCAAAGTCTACGTTCTGGGTCTATTGCGGTGCAGTAGCAGGTAGAAAGTAGTGCCAGTAAGTAACAAGCCTCAACCCTGAACAAAGGTTCATGCCATTCACTAAGAGTACATGGGTGTCATGGCTGACCTTGATGTGCGGTGCTTTAATGACAATGGTGACAGTGTCCTCGTCCTGGCTCACGGTGAACTTTGGCGTGATCATTCTTCTTCTTTGTCGTCGTCTTCGGAGAGGTTTGAGAAAGAGGAATGTTGTAGACAAAAAAAAAGAAAAAAAAAATGCCGCTGTTCTTTGTATGTGTTTGTCACCCAAAAAAAGCAGTCCAACAACATTCGGACTTCGATAAGCCCAATGTGTGTTTTTTATTCTTTGACAGGATCATTGCAACTATTGCCGCTCGTCTTTGAACTCGGCGTATTCGCGGATGCGACGCACTCGCTTACGCTTGAGTTCCTGGTACGTCCCAAAGAGTCCTGCCAGATCCTTCACCACCACAAACAGACATCCTCCAAGAATGTTCCTGTGAAAGTTGTCTGGGATACGCGTCCGCACAAACGAAAAGTGGCCCAAGAAGCTATATCCATTGTGATTGAACATTTGAGAACAGCGTTCACGTTAGCACAAATGAATACGACAAGGCTAGCACAAGTACACCCGATCGAGAATTCAACAACGACATATTATAGAAAATGGACGAACCTTCCGCAGATGGAAGAGATGGCAGGCATCAAAAGAGCCCCCACGATGGTGCGTCCAAGATCCTTCCTGTCAAAGAACGAGAGCTCTTCGTCTGCAGCGATCGCTGCTGCATTGGCTGTTGTGGGATCTGGGTCCGAGGTCTCTATGCTCGCATTCATCCCGAGTCTTGCTACCCCCGATCCTGCAATCTGCTGCTGACGCCAACGCGTTTCCAGTCGCGAGACCATCTCGGCCCACATGCTGTTGTAAGCCATCCTGACCCAGGGCATGACTGAGAGCGTCAATGCAGGACTTGGTGGGAAGGTGACCTGCAGTTGCTCGTTACCCACAATCAGTAGAGGGATCAGAGGCATAAACGAGTCGATCACCTTTGTCCTTGAAAATATGAGAATCACAGGTATGAGAGGCAGTCCGGTCTATTGGATGCACAAGCAATGATGATATATGCATTAGCGGTCGTCCTGTTGCCACTTGCCACCAGTGTTGTAATGATATACTAGTTTTCGATCTTGTGCCTTACCCAGACGCGCCATCCCCATGGGTTGGGGCTGCCCAATAACTTTTCGCCCTCCAATGTCCCGCAAACGGTCAAAACTGCGTACGCTCTAGAACACGATTGTTGCGAGAGAAAAGCATGCACGTGAGAAACAAAACTGGATAGAGCTGTAACTGACTGAGTGTTCCGCAATAACAAGAAAAAAAACCATACCCATAGGTGGTGCTCGTAATCAAAACGGAACAGGTCAGTCCAAGAAATGTCAGATAAGGGATGCCCGCATGGACCAGCGAGTCGAAGGTCGAGTAAATGTTCAGTAGCAGAGAGTTTGGCTCTGCCAGTCTGTATACCGTGTTGCAGACTGAGCATCGAACCTAGCGGAAGGTTAATAGAAGACACAACAAATGGGCATTCTTGTATCAATTATCTGCATTGTTCCATTACATTGAGGCCATTCTAGACATATTTTTTTGTACTCGACAAAGTAGACAATTGTTGGCTTTCTTTTTTACCTGTTTTTTAGCAAACTGCTGACGATTCTTGTCAATCCAGTCTAGAAGACAGTCCTCGTGTGAGATTAAGGTACACTGGCAGGGCTTAACCCATCGGCCAACACTATCCTCATCGGTTCCAAAGCAGATATAGCACCGGTTCTGCTCTTGCTGGTTGTTGTAGTGGTGATTCGAGGACGATGCCGCGGAAGAGGCCGGTGTCGCTTGTTGTTCTTGCTGTTGTTGTTGTTGTTGCTGTTGCTGTTGCTGTTGCTGTTGCCTCGTGGAGGTAGTAGACGTGAGTTCCTGAAAGAAAACTGATATAGCTGTCCCGGTGGGAGTGACAGAGCCGTTCCTGTTGCCACTGCCACTGATTGTGCCAGTGCTTGTGCTGCTGCTATTGTTGCCTGGGGCCGAGTTACTGCTCGAGGTGCTTTGTTGTCTCAATGCTTGAATGGACGCTCTGCTGGCAGCAGCTTGGACCGAGGACGAAGTTTGGTTTGGCTCCATGGCGCGTGAGTTCTGAGGACGTACTGGGATAAAGAGTGCGACTTATTTGAGCCGAGGAATGAACACGAATAAGTAGCAGTGAAGGAAGTGTGAAAGCGAAATGCGATGCGCGAAAACGGAGAATGACAAGGGCGAGAAGTGGAGTGAAAGCGTGAGGGAGTGTGAGGGTGGAAGATAAGGGTGAAGAGGGAAAAAGAAGCGAGCAACGATCCTCTACACCCTGTGCTGTGTGACCAGACCTTGGCAAAAGACAAAATTACTGGCACCCTTAAGCGCACCTTGGACTGGACTTGTGCGTTGGCAAGAAGGGGGTGGAGATCAACCTTCTCTGTTCTCATCGCCCTCTTCTATTTCATTCACATTCCCCTTCTTTCGTGCTTACTTCCGCTTCTCAACCATCAAAAGGAACAGGAACCACCAACAACGAAACACAACCATGAGCGCCACATCTGAACTGGTACGGCCCATACCTTCGACATCACCTGCATGCCTACAAGGAAACTCTTCACACGAAAAGAAAACACCCAACACACAAACCAGGAATGTGATGATGGACAGAAGCTAAACCCAACCTTCAACATCTCCCTTGTATATTCCCTTTCACGCGTGTATAGTACACAGCCTGGTCAGCAGGAACACCATTCACTGCCCCTCTGCCCGAGTCTGCCCATCCCGTCCTTGCCATCACTACCCTTACAGCTGGTCTGTACTTTGCAGCAAGATACGGCATGTAAGTCATTCTATCAACTCATGTCGACTTGCTAAACACTTCCTGACAAAAGACAAGGGAACAATATCAGCAATGGAGTAGTATTGGATCATCCGTCATCACCAACAGCAAGCTAATGAAGCGCGTTTGTGTTGCTGAACATGCATAGTTCCCAAAACAAGTCGGTTGCCTTTGAACTTGCCAACACTTTCCCTAGCGCGGTGTTGCTTGGATTCGGCATCGTCTTCTTGTTCCTCTCCGTCGGACTCTACGTGTAAAAAGCATAAAACAAGTAACAAAAGACAGCGAGCAGGATGTGCGATTTCTTCTCTTGCGAGCAGGATACCTTTGCAGGAGGATAAGACATTGGCTGTCCAATAAGTCAGTGTAAGGGACGCAATAAATAAAGATAAAAATCGTCAATAGCAACACTCACGCGCGCCTATTGTTTCTTGGGCTATTGTTGATTCCACAAGTATGGCGAATAGGCGACAGTGAGCTTACTCACGTTGGTACTGGAGGGTTAGCAAGGTCACCCAGACGCGTTTGAAGATCAATGGTGGACAGCAGTCACCAAGCTGGTAACATGGCGCGATCAATTCCAGTTACCTGGATGACACTGAGCAAAAGGCTTGTTTGTACATCGGCAAAGATGGAAGTTTTTCAGGGGTGCAGGTTGTCGTCTGTAGGGGGTGCTATCCGTGCTGCTGTCCCTCTGAAGTGTTAAGTTGAGGCAGTATCGTAGACTCGTAGTATCGGGCAGGGGGGCAGCCAACCAACCAACCAACCAACTCAAAATGACATTGATATATTTTCCCTCATGCTTCCTCCCACCTCCCACTTCCCTCTCGCTCTTCTCTCTCGTTCGCTCTCCTCCTTCCTCCCGTCCCTTGTTTTCCCTGCTTCCTTTCTCTCCTTTTCTTTTCCCTTTCCTCCTCCTCCTCTTCTCCACCTCTGGCCACATCCCTCTTCTCCGACGACGACGACGACGACAACGACGACGACGACGATCAACATCCATCCCCTCACACTGACAGATCTGTCACTCCCTCCTCATTAACCTTTTTTCTCTTTTGCATTCACACCACCACACCAGCACACTCATACCTTCCCACTCCCGCCTCTCCTTGCTGTCTTCCTCGCTTCCTAAGGGGAGTCTTTGTGACTGAGGGTCAACTTCGGATACATACAAAGGAGCGTGAAGCGACAAACACTCTAAGCGGGTCTGTCTAGCTAGCCGGCTACTTTGGACGCTGACAAAGAGAGAGCGAAACCACACGCTCGACCCTTTCTTTTCCCTTCTTCTTCCCTTTTGTGCATGCACAACAACGCACTCTCATTCACCTTTCAACACCCCTAACTTGCCTCCTCTGGTCACCCTCTTCCCGTCCATTCCGCGTCTCTGCCTGTGTTTGCGTCTGTTTGTCTTTGACAAGCACACCTCGCCAAGCTCCCGTCGCGCTCTTTTTTTCCGTTTTTTATCCACGCTGCTTTTCCCTCTCCCATCAAGTGCTGCAGAAAGCATCATGACAGTTGACGACAGTGTCATGCAGAAGCTGTGGAAGCTCACCAATGAGCTTACTGCCCAGCTGGTGTTCAATCGCAACGCAACTCTCGAACTCAAACAGCAGCTAGCTGATCTCCAGGTCAGTAACCTCTTTTTTTTTTCTTTTGTGAACCACACCACATTTTCTTTGGGTTTTGATTTGTTATCCGACAAACCGAGCATCCATGTTTTCTTTGTCACTCTCACTCTCTCTCTCTCCTCCCGTTTGTAGAACAATGACAAAAAAAAGGCGTGTGATAGCAAGAGAATCATCCAATTCGGTGTCCACAACTCATTTTCTTTTTTTTTGCCACTAATAGGCCAAGACTGCCCAGGGATCGGTATCAGTGGCTCAAGATATCACCATGTTCAGCAACCAAGGTAAGACGAACTGACAGAAAAAGACAATAATAATGGTGAGCGTGAGCAACAATATCATCATCATCATCATCGCACCAGATATGCGATTGTGCGTGTGGGGACAAGATATATGTCATTAGAGCCCGTCCTCTTATATCCACTGTAGCACGTCAATAGGATTCTAACCAATATCTCATTACCGCCATTGTCAAAATATATAATCTGTAGAACATGCGGATGTCAGCCTGAGGATAGCCAACGAGCGGTTGATGGAGGAGAACGCCCAGCTTCAGGAACAGGTCCGCGAGTATGAGCGGTGGATGGAATTCATCATGACTAAATTTCGCTTGCAGAACGTAAGAGATCGTCTTGCTCACCTGTTGTGACATTTTGTTTTTTTTATTTATTGATCTTTCACATGGTTCGTCTTCTATCCATGCAAAGGAATGTTTCTTATCATCTTCTGCCAAAAGGCACTGCTGACCCTCTTACTTTTTGGTTCTTTGCACGCGTAGTTTGCAATGGCACAGAGCAGGAAAGAAGCAATGCAGGAAGCATACAGGATGTCAGAACAAGAAGGGGTATGTCCAACTGTTTACTGACACTTTCATTGGAAGATGATACCGTTACGACAGCCTCTCAAGTTGCACCCGTCTGATACAAAAATCTATGACTCGTTGAAAATCGTATTAGGAACTCGCTCTGCAGCTGCAAGAGGAGAATGCAGTCCTGCAGGCGCGTCTCGTAGATGTAGGCGCTGTGGCGCGAAAGGCGATCAACGAAGAGTATTACAACACCGAGTCAGCCATAGAGACACTGGAACTTGAGAACCGGGGACTTCGAGAGATGCTCGGGATAGCAGCGGATCACAGGATTCCCATCGCCGTACGAGATCCTGGAAACCGTGTATCTTTCCCCAGCACTGGATCATATGTCGCGTCGAGCGGCAGCGATCAGGAACGGCGCCAGGGACACGGACGAAACGCGTCCTTCTCACCTGTTGACCAATCAACTTCTGCCTTGGGAGCATCAGAGTGGTCAGCGTCGGAGGTCGAGCCATACATGGTTACATTTGATACCTCCCGCACCAACACTGCGTCCAACTCAAAGATGGCCTCGCCGCTGCTAGAGTCCACAAAGGACTTTAGTACTGAGCCTGAGCCAGCCTTTGCTCTTGATACACCACGAGCAGCGACAACCACTGCAACAGCTACAGCTACAACCACAACGGCTTCTCCGGCTAAAAAGAAGACCGCCGACACTACAACTAAAGCTTCGACTGCCAACAGCAACAGCAACACAAGCCTGGCAAGGTCTACCTCAGGAGCCAACACGAACGCAAGCAGCAACAACTCGACTACCAAAGGAGGAATGATGATCAACACGGGTGTCGCCACCAAGAAGAACGTCACTAACTCTAGCCATCCTCCCATCAGCAACTCGTCTGCACTCAAGACCAAGAAGACTCAGCGGAAACAAAAGGCATAGAATGCCTCCTTTCTTTTGTCTTCCTACTCTCTCACTTTGATCATACACCAAAACATCGACACCTTCGCCGCATACCATCGCACTGTACCAACCAACTACTGCAATCCCCACCCACTCGCCAGCATGAGGCAATTCATCGCACATTGTACCATTATCGTCGCTCATTCCTATTTCTTTTTCTATTTCTTTTTTTCTCTCTCACCTTGATATTGCAAAAATAAACACAAACATGTCTCTTCGTCGCTCATTCTTTTTACGAGTGGGGAACTATACATGTCGTTTTCATGAGCACGAGGAAACAGGGGCAGAATTGACTGTCAGGCCTCCATTTTAACAGGTGGAGGGATTTTGGAGACAGGTCTCCAAAGAGCCTCCAGAATGCCACCAAGTGGCGCCCCTCTTTATCACCCTAAGAACGACTGACGATATCAACATAAGGTCGATCCCCATCCATGCACCATCACATTCTGCCCTGTGTCAAGGTTTTTTATGTCAGGCGCATCACTGATCACTTTGTCGGTCTCACTGATCTGAAGGATCAGAGATAACACTTGATAAAAAATAAAAGACAACAACGACTCTCTCTTTCAACCTCTTGTAGCTCGATTGGAGACACCGTGGTGAAAAGGCAATTGGAGTAGGAAATGTGAGCATTATTACGACCCCTTTTTGACAATGACGGAGGGCAAAAAGAAGTAGAAAGGGGTGCAGCTGTCGTGTCGGGTGTTCTTTTTTGTCGCAGAATGGGGACAGTCTTGTGCAAGGCGGAATGACAACAGCAAGAGAGTCCAAGCGTGCAGCGTTTTCTTTTTGACCTTGCCTTGTCGAGCTTTGTCCTTGCCCTGTCGAGCTTTGTCCTTTTGGCTACCTCTCTCCTATCCTCCCTCCTTTCTCTTCCTTCCCTCTGCGCATTCCCTTCCCTTTTACTTTTGCCGCCATTCCTCTTCTCGTACATCAGCCTCCCCATCTCGCACCAATAACAGCCCACCGACCGTTACCGCCCTCTCTCTGTCAAGTCTGACATCACTCTCTCCCGGACATTCGCTTTACTCAACACCCAAGCAAAATTCATTCACCCACCCTCACCACACCTCTTTGCAAAAAAAAGCAACAGGACACCAATGGTCGCCAGTCGAAAGGAACCTAATGCAGGAGCCGCTCCTCTTCCTCCTCCACCTTTGTCGTCCAATTCACCGTCAACTGTTTCGGTTCGTCCGGTGGTTGCACGGCCCTATTCACAGCTCCAGTTGACCATTGAGCCCGATTGCTTCATCCTACAATCACACACGCCTGCCTCAGAGGACACCGGACCTACAGGGACCCCTCATGCCTCGGCCGACATCCTTCGGATTTCTTTCCGAACTACAGACTCGAACACAAAGGAAGCACCTACAGAGCCAGCAACAGAGAAGGCAACAGAGTCCGAGGTTAAGGAGCAGGCAGAAAAGGAACCAATCGGTCTCTCTGCGATGTCTGAGGAGCACCCTCAGCGCGTTTCGCTTATTTCTCCAGGTACTTACCTTGTCTTCATTTTGCGCTTGGACGAAGAGGTATCAACTGATATGGAACAAGGCTGACTAACGAACTTTATATGCATTTTCTTTACTTTTGATGTTGTGGTCTAGATTCTTATGTGCGATCGGAGGGTGCTAAGGACTATATCATCTATGGCTGCATTGGTTTCCTAGATCTTTACTCTGGTAAGAAACACGGCCGCCCTCAATCATCTGTGGAAATCAGTCCTGTGCGACTCGCCCAACTGAATCGGAAATTGGAGACTGACATCACAAATGGCTACCTGTTATTTGTAGGTCCGCACTTCGTTGCCATTACCTCGGTCAAGTCGCTGGGAAATATCGAAGACAAGCCCGTATATGCGATCAACAGGGTTGCCGTCTTGCCCATGGACGCTCACGAGGCACGCCAGATCCTGGATAAGCTGGCTCAACCGATCGACTCTTCTTTGGGCCCCATTCTGAACATCGAGCAGGATGCCGAACTTTTAGCCATCCAGCAATCGTCGCTAGCGCCTGCCGATATTCCAGGAGGACAGGCGGTCTCGCCTATACCCACCAAGTCGCCAAAGTTTAGGTTGTCCTTCTTGGGCATCAAGCAGGATCGTGACCAGCAACAGCAGGCAGTATCGCCCAGTCCAAGCTTGGCCGAGCAACTCAACCAGTCGAGCCAAAGCACGGGCGTAGTCACCGATGTCGCTCCAGCAAAGTCCAAGCGGATAGCATTCGACATTCCAGGATCAGCCCCCGAGAGTAAGACTGAGGATCTAAACAAGGTCATTGTTGGGTCAAAAGATGCTGCAGCTCCAGCACCACCCTCGTCGCCACCAGCGTCGCCGACGCGGCGCTCAAGCCCTGGATTCTTTGCGAAGTTGTTGGAGAAGAAACCCCGATCCAAGCCCACCGGCGTTGATCTTTCCAGTACTGTCGCGGTGTCTGATAACCCTAGACAGGAGAGCGTCGAAGGTCCTGCTTTGGTCATTACTGAGCAGTCGCCTGCGGAACCAACAGGAAAGGCCACAGAAATAACGACGACAGTCGTCAAGACAGAGAGGCCGCCCTTGAGCTCAAGATCTCCTTCTACATTCGAAGCGGCGGAAAAGTTTATGACTGAATCGACCAAGCAACTGGCTGACTGGGGTGAGGAGGCCGTTTCGGGCGTGATCAAGTCAACAAAATCGTTCACCTTGATGAAGACCACACCTGAACCTACGGAAACCGATCCAGCTCACTTGACGATCGACGTTACTCTGGATGCTGCTGGCGTTTCAGAGGACGAGCTGGACAGGATTCGGACAATGGACCGTCGCATCATACGCGAGATCGTGTCTATTTTCGGCACAGGATTCTACTTTTCGACAGAGTTCAACCTTCTCTCATCGATGCAGTTTCGTTCTGACCTTGCCAAGTCTGCACCGCCAAACACCGAGCCACTCTACCGACATGTGGATGAGCGGTTTTGGTGGAACAAACACTTGCTCAAAGAACTTATTGACATTAAGGTACTACACTCTATTGGGGGATACGGGCTCTGTCTCTCTGTGACGTGACTCGCGCATTATACTAACACACACTTTCAATTGAACACATAGGCTGATGGATACATTTTACCGGTGATGCAAGGATATGTCGAGATTGAACCATGTATCATCGAAGAACAGTCGTTCGAGTTCACGCTCATCTCCAGAAGGAGTCGCGACCGTTCTGGACTACGATACCAACGCCGAGGTATTGACGAGCATGGCAACGCCGCCAACTTTGTCGAGACCGAGCAGTTGCTAAGAATCGTGGTATGTTTTGTTTTGTTTATCACATTGACCATTTCTGCCTTTTTACCAATGTTATGAATTATGAGCTTGCGATTAACATGGGGTCTATTCTCCTGTGTAAATAAATAGCGACATGATAGCGATCACCAAGTGTCGTTTGTACAGACTAGAGGATCGATCCCTCTCTTTTGGTCTCAGTCACCTTATCGACTCAAACCCGTCCCCGTCATGGAGAGGACTGAACAGGAGAACTATCAAGGATTCAGCAACCACTTCGAGATGCAACAATCTCGATACGGTCGGCAGATATGTATCAACCTCGTCGAGCAGCATGGGCGAGAGCAGGTCGCCGGCTCTGCGTATACGCGATACATTCAAAAACTGAACGAACCTCAAATCAGGTAGGAGGGCCGAGGAATATCCACCATCTTGTCTTGAGATTGTATGCCCTGATGAAGGCTGGCATGCTAACATCTTGTTTTTGTATATGGAATTAGATACGTGGAGTTCGACTTTCACGAGCAGTGCAAGGGAATGCGGTACGAGAACATTGAGCGGTTGATCAAGAGTTTAGAGGGCCCTATCCAGGAACTCGGATATTGTTGGCTAGCACCAAGAAACGAAGGCGCGGCGAACAACAGAAAGGATGGCGAGTCATGGGAGCGGCTCTACGACCAAAAGGGCGTCATTCGGACCAACTGCATGGACTGCCTTGACAGGACAAATGTTGTCCAGAGCGCCATCAGTCGCCATGTCCTGAACCACCAACTACTCCGTCTCGGAATCGCTTCTTTTCCTGACAAGGGCCTGTCGGTCTACGAAGAGTTTGAGAATATCTTTAACCACGTCTGGGCGAATAATGGCGATGCGATCAGTCGGGAGTATGCTGGAACGAGTGCTCTCAAAGGCGACTTTACTCGGACGGGCAAGCGGAACCTTCAAGGAATGATCAACGACGCCACCAATTCTGTCGCAAGAATGTACCAGAACACCTTTAAGGACTATTTCCGACAGGCTGCAATCGACTACCTCTTGGGATCGACTGATTTGGATGTGTTCAAGAACTTGCAGACGACTGCCTTTGGAACGGCGGTTGTGCCCGCTCCCATTCTGCCTCTTCAAGAACCACTGGAACAAGAAATGTCGACCGCGAACTTGCTGGCAACCGACTCGACTGGCGTAGCAGTAACAGGGTTGCTCCCATCGCTCATTCCGCACCCCTCGGAGTCTTTGGCTTCGTTGTCGTCCGAGTCGTCCGGACCAGAAGTGGATTCGCAGGAAGCATGGGTCAAGATCCGAGAGGCCGCGATTGAGTCGTCTGCCGAGATTGTCATTTCGCCTGGCGAGGAAGTGTGGCAGGGCTGGACCTTTGTCTGCTGCTCGAATGAGATCAGCAGCGCCCTCACATCGGCCTCATCTCCTCAGGCCTCACCCATACAGCCACTTTCAACCAGCCTAGCTTCGATGCTCAAGTCCTCGAGCATGAAGAGTAACTCTGGAACCAACTCTGGCACCGCTGGCGATGCTTCTGACACCTCATCAACGGTGTTTTATGACGAAAAGGTCGTGCTGCTGACAGAGAGGGCGCTTTATATTTGCACTTACGACTATGAGATGGAGAAGGTTCTAGAGTTCTGGCGGCTGGCTTTGGAAAAGATGACAGGAATCGACAAAGGCACCTACTTTTTGACCGCGCAGGACAAGACACCCCAGGGCCAGAATCCATTGGAGAACTATGGATTTGCAGTTGTGTACCGAGCCAACGCTGGAGGTGAGACACTGAGAGTCAACAGTGGTAGTGTTCGTAACCGCAGGATGATGGGCATGAACCGGACACCACCAACGCTGGGTCAGTTGCAGGAGGAAGACGAGTATTATACCTCGGCGGAATTGAACCTGGAGCAGGTCGATTCGCGGTCGTCTGGAGGAGGAGCTGATCTGGAGGAACAAAATGATGACAGTCGGTCGGCCAAGAGTATCTTGAAGGACGAACAGAAGGATATCCGGTCTGTGCGGTTCAAGATTGTCAAGCACCCTGGGACCTCGATCGTGCCGTATATGACTTCGTCAACGACTGACCCTGGTCAAAGCAACAAGGCTAACCCCTCTGGCTACACACGGACCGCCCAGGACTGTGTCGAGTGGGTTGTGACGGAGATTATCCAGGCTCGTTGTGAGCTGATTGCAGTCTCTGAGGGCGTCTCTTCTCCTGTCTCGTCGTCGTCGTCGCAGCAGAGAATGTCGAGAGCGTTGGAGGCCACCCCACCAGGTCAAGTCCGGAGTCACCACCCACGGTCACCAAGTGAGGAGTACAACTACCAGTCACCCCGGTCGAAACGACGATCCTCTGTCCAGGTTGATCTGATGATTCGCGATAGAGACTTGCAGAGCCTCGAGGTTGCTGGCCAGTTGGAGAAGGATGCCATGAAAGAGTCAGAAGAGGCTGAGAAGAAGAGAAAGCCCAAGAAGCCGTTCTCTGCCTTCTTTTCGTCGTCAAAGACATCGTCATCGTCATCCTTGTTTCGGAATGAGGCCGTTACTGCAACAGGAGGAGGAAGTCTTTTGCCGCCACCCAGCAACAACCGGTCCTGGCTCAAGAAATTCCAGTTTGGACAGGATACCGATACTGAGTCGGATGACGACGAAGAAGGCCACCACTCTCGATCCCGTCAACGGTCGCCGCGCCCTGCTTCCGTAAATGCCCCTGTTACCACTACTGTCGTCACGACGACGACGAGCGCCGCCGGTGCTGCTGCTGCTCAGATCACCGAGGGACAGGATTTTCAGGCGGCGTCGGCGTCAGTGTCGGCATCGGCGGAGGAAAGTGGTCGAAGACGATCGTCCAGCCAGCAGCGGAACAGTGGCCAGGGCGCGTTTGCAAAGTTTAAGCAGGCTGTTAAGAATCTGTAGTTCAGTTGGCTTTACTTCAATACATTTCGTTTTATTTTTCCTTTTCAAGCGAGGGGCGTAGCTGATATCATGGCCTTGACAAGTGCAGCTACCATCCTGGTTTCAAGTGAAGGGCGCAGCTCATCATCTCGGCCATTTTGATGATTTTAGTTGTGTTTCGGATTGGTGTGTTGTTATTTAGGAAGCTCTGAACCCAACCCCTCCTCCGCTCAATTTTTCACTACTGAGAGGCTGGGACAAAATCTTTCACATTCTTATGGGGTCATCCATCCGCTCCCATTTTGCCCAAAAAAAAGGAAAAGGGAAGCACTCCAATGCAGTCTGGACTAGGCTCGACTCCATCCTAGGCTTGACTCCATCCGTCGGGAAGCGCCTGCAATTCTTATTCCCAATCTTGGTCATGAGGCATTTGCATCTCTGACGGCTGGCGTCAAAGTCGGAGGCCTTTTTGTTACATGATGTCATGGTGAGTCTCTGACGACCAAGCCACTCGTCAACTCAACTGTCCCCTATCACGCCGTTCCCTCCACCGTTCCTTCGTAAGAGTGCACCTCTCCCCTCCTGTTTTTTCTTTGTCATTCCTCCTCCCTCCTGTTTTTTCTTTTTCTTTCTCTTTTTCTTTTCTCCCCCTCCTGTTTTTTCTTTCTCTTTTTCTTCCTCTTTCCTTCACTCTCCCCTCGACCACATCCTCCACTCTCAACCAGCTCCACCCTCAACCAGCTCCACTCTCAACCAGCTCCACTCTCAACCAGCTCCACTCTCAACCAGCTCCACTCTCAACCAGTTCCACTCTCATCCAGTCCCCCCTCTGTCCGCATCGTCCTCGCCACCTTCACCTCTCTTTACTTTCGCCATCTTCAATCACCCTCGAATCCTTTGCTCACCTCTTTTATTGTTCGATATTGGACTCGCCCTCAGCCGCGTAATCCGCGCACATACCAACAAGGAAGCAAGGTAAAAAATGGGTCAGTCTTGAGTGGCAACAGCCATGACGTGTGTACGGGTGGAGAAGTGATGGTGAGCTGGGTCCACCTTGGGTACAGAAGGGCCAAAAACTGGGCTGTGCCCTGGGCTGCTCTTCATATGACCTGACTGTCAGCCTCGGCTGGCAGTGGCGCTGGATTTGAGCGGGGCTACTCGGACCACTCTGTAGGTACAGAAGAGCTATAGAACATGCCATGCGCTGGGCTGCTCTTCATATGACCTCCGCCATCGGCGGTGTTGCTGGTCCTTGTAGCTTTGCTCTCCGTCAGACTCGTGGGTACTTGAGGGTGCTTCGGCCCTCACGACGACCTCTCTCATTTCTTGGCATCCACTTCTCGCTGAGGGTACCGTGGCTTCGTGTGCATGTATGATTGTCCAACTCCGTGGGTACCGAGGGCTATAGGACATGCCACGCGCTGGACTGCCTTTCATAATGACCTCACCGTTACCTGCCTGGGGCAAGCTTTGGGTAACGGTGGTGATGCTTGTTTCTGGATCTAGTACCGTCGTCTGCGATGTGCCTGAGGTCTTTTGAGACCTCGCTCAGCTCGGCTGCTTTCACCGCTGGGTGACTGGGGCCATCACCCCCGCTTTGTGGGGGTGGTTTAATAGCACACAAAGAAGTTGTACGGTTGTGTTTTGTTGTTGCTTAAGGCTGACCCATTTCTTTTTCTTCTTTCCAGTCTTTCTCTGTCCTTAATAGGTTTGTACGAATTTTCTTAGGATTGTCCGAGCAAGATTATGCGATAGAATCGAGCAAGAAGGTAGCAATAGGATCAACGACAAGATAGAATTAGATGCATTCCGGCTGTTCAATAAAACATAGAGTAAAAGGTGCTGAAAAACAATGTTCAACATGACAAATATAACAAACTCACAAGGGTATTGCAGTTGTTTGTTTACATCGAAAACATGTCTGTATTAATGTACGAGTAGATTGTCTTTTGCAGCGGACGCAGTCTGAGTCCCATAAAAGACACAATCCTCCATCTGACCATTTTCAACTTCTTCCACCATCTCTCTCTACTATACCTTCTCGCGGACATTCATCATTGGCATCCACGGCCTCTGAGCTTGACTGCGAAAGAAAGACAAATACCCAACCCCTCGCACGCATGGGCACAGCGTTCTGTCCCACATGCAGCCTTGGCTCCTGCTCTCAGCACTCGATCCATGTCGATTTACTGGGCTCTCTACCCTACAGTTCAATATGCGTGTAGCTGCAACATTATCAAAAATCGCATGGCTCACACAAACACGTTTTGTGGAGAAGGAGAGGCTCAAGGCAATCAATTCTGACCTGTCATATTTTTTTGGAAAAGCTGTCGATTGGAAATTCAAGCATAATCATACAAAGTGTCAACGGTTCTGAGGATATCGAAGCTCGCTGTAATCGTGTTGGAATCATCAGGCAGATCCGGCCGTGGACGGAGTCATATTATATTTGTTTAATTGTCTATGTGCTATCGTCCTATTTTCGTTGTTGCATTGGGGATGATGTTAGAAGGCTTTCCGTCGTCATACAGAAACACAGACACACGCTAAAACCAAGAAGGTGGTGCAATTGGAGAGTTTTCGTGAAAGTACTCGTATAGTTGATGAGCTTGTGTCTGCGATATGATTTTGATAAAAACAAAAATAAAAAAATCGCTTCACTTCCTCAGCCCATCCTTTCTTTGTCACCATCTCCTCAGTCACCTACTCCCTCTTTGTCATTATCTTCTCAGGTCTTTTCGCATGTCGTCGTTCCTGCTCCAAGCTCGAGTCCCGCTCCGTCGCCGGTTCTTTCGCCTATCGTCATACCCGTTTCAGCCTTGAGTCCTGATCCTTCTGCCTCATTGAGTCGGTCTACACCTCACTTCCCCCGAAAGGTACTCCACCCAACACTGCAGCTCCTATCACTCCAGCGTTTTCACCCACTCCAGCTATTTTCATCACTCCCTCACCTCTCCCGTTTGGTGCAATCGATCCTATCTTTGACTGGGCAGTCGACACCTTGGACGAGGCTTGCAGAGAGCGTCTCCTCCGTCCCACGGCCGAATACAACTACAAGGTCCTTCGCATCGCCAGTGAAACCAAGAAATAACAAACGGCTGCCAATACAAAGTATGCCATTCTCAGAACCCGATAGTGGAAAACAACTTGCCAAGAGTCCTCAAGGCTTGGCTGTCTTACTTTCCACAATCGATACTCAGGTCGCCAACGCAACCTCCCGCACTACGAGTCGCTGCAAGACTGTTGCCCTCGGGATACGTCGCCGGGCCACCGAGGCCATCAACATCACCAACACCACTTATACCGCCGATGCCACCAACGCCACCAATATCACCAACTTCACCAATACCACCAGCACCGAGATTCTTAGTGAAGTCGACTAGAGACTCCTCAGCATTCTTTGCCCTGCCTTCTCCAACAAGATTTAGTCGAATACAGCAAGGAGGGAACAGACCAAGAACCTGACAAACTCGAGGGGCCCCAGGAACACGACGACAGCCATGAAAAGGAAAACGAGGCGCTATCGTTTCTCATGTCGCTCCTTACAGCCATACATTTTCTACCAAGCTTCCCAAAAATAAGCGGGATGGGTGTTTGCACGTCCGGAAATTCATCAAACAAGCGCAGGACTTCATGTCGAACTTTACGGAGGGTAGAACTACAGAGGAGTATTCTGGGTCTTCGTTTCTGAGGTCTGCCGCCTTGCAGTTATCCGTCGAGCTAAAAAAAAATCACTACAGGAATGGAGTGATCGATCTCCGCAATAAGGTAAAAAGAGTTGGAAGCTGTAACTTCTATTTAGTCATAAGCCTTGACATTGATCAATGTCAACACAATTATTTCCCCCAAAAATAATAGATCGAAGTCCTCAAGCACAAGAAACTTCTGCCTTCAGAAGCGAGAGGTTACATTAGGCCCCGAAGATCCGCAACAGAGAATTTCGTACTATTGAGCAGGGCCTACGGAAGTCGTTACTCGTCGGTGCCAATGTCGTCTTTCGATGTCAAGTCCATTACTTTGTCGGATCTGGATCTAACCAAGATCTTTTGGCAGGACCTACCATTGAGGCGCGTGCTTCAGCCATATGGCTTCCCATAGTATCCGAGTGTGGAGCATTCCGATCAAGGCGCACATGCAGATGTTGGTCTTTGGCTGTCAACAAAAATGCCTGGGTTCCTCATCACCAGGCTACTCACCAACATTGGCCGGTACTCAGCGGATCAACGGAAAAGGCCTCGAAACTATTCCAAGTCGACCATCCTGATGCCTTTGGAGGGGGTAAGGAGTCATCTCTAGAATATCCGGGACGACAACTTTGAACCTACCTCCCTATACCGAGAAAGGCTATGTTCTGCGTGGATCAATTCGGACAGACGGGTTCCGGCTCCAAGTGCTCACTTTCAAGTTGAACGAGCTCCACTAGGTCAAGTACAGACAACTACCCGTGGAGAAGCTGCCTTCTCGACTAACATCCACTGTTGGCGGGCACGGATTATTTTTTGACGGAGATCAGGAATATCGTTTCAAACAAGTAGGATGTCGCCCAGCTCTGGAGATGCGATCCCAAGAGTATCAAGATCCTTGGGATTGACTTGGGTCAAGCATTTGTCGTTAGAGCGAGTGCGATTCTACCCACTCGCGAGCAGCCGAATGTCTAACAAGGACAAGAGTCAGGTATTACTACCATGGAGTCGTCGCTGTCGAGTGTTGAGGCAATGGAAGATGAAGAGGTCCTGCACTCGCTCTTCGATGCCGGCGCATATAAGTGCTTGCAGTTGCCAGCTTGCTCGCCCTGTGCGATTTATCTTGCCTTGTGCCGCTTGTCCTTGTTCTTGACTTTGTCTTGTCCTTACCCTTTCCTTGTCCTTTCCTTGTCCTTTCTTTGTCGTTGCCCTTCCTTGCATGTTCGTCCCTGTACTGTTACTCAGTACACCAGTGTCATGCTCGATGCAATCATGCCGCGAGATACCATCTATTGATCAATGAGAAAGGATTTAAATATAAAATCGTCAACTGTGCCAGACACCTATCCAATGGGTTGGAAAACGGTGCTGAGCAAAGACAAGGCTAAGGTGCACAAGGTGCAGAGCAGAGAAAGACGTATGGAAATGACCAAGTAATCATACACACATCCTTCACGAATGGCAATGTGACCCAATAGGAAAGGTGCTCAGCATTGACACATGTCTCTCTTGGTCGTCTTTCTCACTGGCAGCTACCAGAGACACGTTTGTATCCGTAGCGCAGAAGAAAAAGAGAAGACGTCAAAGAAAGTAGTGTGCCCTGTGTAAGGAGAAAGAAATCAAAAACAAAACGTGCCATGGTGGAGAAGAAGACTAAGGAGTAAAAAAGATGAATATTTTGATCTTTGAACAAGAGGAAATAATACAAGAGATGGCGCCCACCGGTGGAACAGATGATTGTCGACATCGGTGTCTCTCGTCACAATGCATCCCTGGATGATCTATCTGGCCTCCCCAGTCTGTGAATGACTTATGTATTGTCATCAAACTCTTCAGCGGCTTCGTACCTTGTGGCGAGGGGAACTTTTCCAAAAAAAATGATTGGTCAGAATTGATTGCCTTGAGCCTCTCCTTCTCCACAAAACGTGTTTGTGTGAGCCATGCGATTTTTGATAATGTTGCAGCTACACGCATATTGAACTGTAGGGTAGAGAGCCCAGTAAATCGACATGGATCGAGTGCTGAGAGCAGGAGCCAAGGCTGCATGTGGGACAGAACGCTGTGCCCATGCGTGCGAGGGGTTGGGTATTTGTCTTTCTTTCGCAGTCAAGCTCAGAGGCCGTGGATGCCAATGATGAATGTCCGCGAGAAGGTATAGTAGAGAGAGATGGTGGAAGAAGTTGAAAATGGTCAGATGGAGGATTGTGTCTTTTATGGGACTCAGACTGCGTCCGCTGCAAAAGACAATCTACTCGTACATTAATACAGACATGTTTTCGATGTAAACAAACAACTGCAATACCCTTGTGAGTTTGTTATATTTGTCATGTTGAACATTGTTTTTCAGCACCTTTTACTCTATGTTTTATTGAACAGCCGGAATGCATCTAATTCTATCTTGTCGTTGATCCTATTGCTACCTTCTTGCTCGATTCTATCGCATAATCTTGCTCGGACAATCCTAAGAAAATTCGTACAAACCTATTAAGGACAGAGAAAGACTGGAAAGAAGAAAAAGAAATGGGTCAGCCTTAAGCAACAACAAAACACAACCGTACAACTTCTTTGTGTGCTATTAAACCACCCCCACAAAGCGGGGGTGATGGCCCCAGTCACCCAGCGGTGAAAGCAGCCGAGCTGAGCGAGGTCTCAAAAGACCTCAGGCACATCGCAGACGACGGTACTAGATCCAGAAACAAGCATCACCACCGTTACCCAAAGCTTGCCCCAGGCAGGTAACGGTGAGGTCATTATGAAAGGCAGTCCAGCGCGTGGCATGTCCTATAGCCCTCGGTACCCACGGAGTTGGACAATCATACATGCACACGAAGCCACGGTACCCTCAGCGAGAAGTGGATGCCAAGAAATGAGAGAGGTCGTCGTGAGGGCCGAAGCACCCTCAAGTACCCACGAGTCTGACGGAGAGCAAAGCTACAAGGACCAGCAACACCGCCGATGGCGGAGGTCATATGAAGAGCAGCCCAGCGCATGGCATGTTCTATAGCTCTTCTGTACCTACAGAGTGGTCCGAGTAGCCCCGCTCAAATCCAGCGCCACTGCCAGCCGAGGCTGACAGTCAGGTCATATGAAGAGCAGCCCAGGGCACAGCCCAGTTTTTGGCCCTTCTGTACCCAAGGTGGACCCAGCTCACCATCACTTCTCCACCCGTACACACGTCATGGCTGTTGCCACTCAAGACTGACCCATTTTTTACCTTGCTTCCTTGTTGGTATGTGCGCGGATTACGCGGCTGAGGGCGAGTCCAATATCGAACAATAAAAGAGGTGAGCAAAGGATTCGAGGGTGATTGAAGATGGCGAAAGTAAAGAGAGGTGAAGGTGGCGAGGACGATGCGGACAGAGGGGGGACTGGATGAGAGTGGAACTGGTTGAGAGTGGAGCTGGTTGAGAGTGGAGCTGGTTGAGAGTGGAGCTGGTTGAGAGTGGAGCTGGTTGAGGGTGGAGCTGGTTGAGAGTGGAGGATGTGGTCGAGGGGAGAGTGAAGGAAAGAGGAAGAAAAAGAGAAAGAAAAAACAGGAGGGGGAGAAAAGAAAAAGAGAAAGAAAAAGAAAAAACAGGAGGGAGGAGGAATGACAAAGAAAAAACAGGAGGGGAGAGGTGCACTCTTACGAAGGAACGGTGGAGGGAACGGCGTGATAGGGGACAGTTGAGTTGACGAGTGGCTTGGTCGTCAGAGACTCACCATGACATCATGTAACAAAAAGGCCTCCGACTTTGACGCCAGCCGTCAGAGATGCAAATGCCTCATGACCAAGATTGGGAATAAGAATTGCAGGCGCTTCCCGACGGATGGAGTCAAGCCTAGGATGGAGTCGAGCCTAGTCCAGACTGCATTGGAGTGCTTCCCTTTTCCTTTTTTTTGGGCAAAATGGGAGCGGATGGATGACCCCATAAGAATGTGAAAGATTTTGTCCCAGCCTCTCAGTAGTGAAAAATTGAGCGGAGGAGGGGTTGGGTTCAGAGCTTCCTTTCCGCTGATTTTTTTCTCGTGGCGTTTTGTTCTCAAAAAAATGAAAACATGTTCTTTCAGGTTCATTTTGTTTTTTCATCTTCACACCCTGTCGCACTCATCAATGCCTTTTTTTGCTTTGAATCCTCTTTTCTAGTTTTTACAGTAGTCAAAAAGGAACTCAATCGCATCTCTTTTGTGCTTGAAAGCGTTAGAGGTCGACCCACACTACCTGAAAACGTAAGGAAGGCCACCGCCGGATGAGGTGACAGTGAACGATTCCTTTACCATTGTTTAGCTCGTAATTCTCATATCGAGTTCAGATTATTATTTTTCTTTGAGTACACACCGATGACGAGGGACGTCCCTTGTATCATTCTTTTTTTTTTGGCTTCAGGCCCGACTCGATCGACCCCGATGAATGCTGGCGAAGAGATAATATCTGACGATTGATTTCTTAGCTCCTCTACGACTTTTACGTGAGTATAAGTAACAAGGAGGGAGGAGACATGGTTGAGTGCTCAAAAGGTTTGCTGCTTTTGTTTGGACCCTACTTTGATCGAGCAACATTAAGTCACATCCATTTCGCCCACAATTTCTCTTCACACTCCATTCCACGTTCCTTAAACAATATTACCTACCACCGTCTTACTACTAATGCCGTATCGCCCATTCGAAAGATGGTCATCTTTAGTAGTTTAGTAGCAAGTACCAGAAGCGCCTCGTCTAGTTACTTCTTCAGGGTCGTGACCTGGTGTCCCATTAGTATTAGTTCATTTTAATTCGTTTCTTCTTGCTATTACCTCCCTTGTCTTCCTTTCCTATGGAGCCGTGGCCTGGCCCTCTTTTTTATTATTACGTCTTTTTCGCTTTCAGATAGTATTTAAAGACCTGCAGGTGGCCAGGTTGGAATATCATCTTCCTTTTGCTTTCCAACACACTTACTGTAGCCGCTAGATACGTTGATTCCCAGAAACCAGAAACCAGAAACTACTCGTTATTACCACTACAAGTCACCGCGCGCCAGAAAATTCACGCATCCTATTGTCAAGGTCGCCGGCGGTCCCACGTAGCAGGTCCACCGCTAGTCGGGCTGTCGTTTTCTAGAGAGAATCATGGTTCTGAGTGACTTTTGTACATGAAGGAGCGCACCCGCTAGGCATGAGCTCCTGATTTGTCACGTCCTTTGAGAATTGGTGGCGTCAGTTGGATCTGCCCAATACAAAAAAAAATCCAAACTCGACGAGTAGGAGGGGAGGGTGGAGGGACAGGAAAAAAAGAAGCAAGAGCAATGGGCGAGGCAAATAGCGAGAGTTCTGGCAGGGAGTAGGAAAGAAAAACGCGCTTTGCGGTGGTCCAAATGAGTCAAGATCAAGCGTCAGGGCAACAGCAGTCGTTCACAAGAAACAAAAAAAAAGTAAGAGGTTTATGATGCAAAAAAGTGAGAGGTTTATGATGCAAAAAGTATGCAAGACTTAGGAGCTGGCTAGATACTCGAACAGGCGTGATCATCATCCACGGCGAGGGTATGTTTGACAACTTCCAGGGAATGGACCTGACCGATTGGTCGCGCAGAGAAAGAATTATGTACAGAGTTGTACATACCCTCGAGGACATCAGCATTATCGTTGTCATTGTCGTGGCGGGTTCGCTTGGTGTCATGACCATGATCTGTTACGCCGTCAAGAGGTCGTTTGCTACTGCCGCCGCTGCTGGAATTACTCTTTTGATCCAGTTCCAGCACTTGGAAGAAAGAGTGTTCCAGCACCTTGTCGATCTCCAAACGCGACCCGACAACCCTATGCATCAGCTGGTCGACTAACCCCTTTGCCTCCATATTTGTTCTACAATTCAAAACAAAAGTAAATAAAAGCTGACCAGTCAGATGGGCACTCAAAAAAAAGAAAAGGGTATGTATGACCGACAAAGAAAACAAGAGGGTGGCACTTACAACTGACCGAGACCTCCTTGCACCGGAAATTGTCCCCCGGCGATACGATATACTGTGACCCCATAGGCATAGACGTTGAAGAGGTCACTGTAATGGTTCATGCCCCTCATCTCAGGCGCACGATACCGCGTCGTCCCACATTCTCCTCTAAAGTATGATCAACAATAGTTGTGCAAAAGTGTGAGCTTGAGAAAAATTTATATATTTATATATCCACTTACACTCGACTTGTTTCGCGCATACCTTACACCCATGGGTTTGTTTTTGAGAGAAATCGAGAGTCCAAAGTCTGAGATGACGGCGTGGTTCGAAAACGCTCCTGTCAGCAAAACATTCTCAGGCTTGATGTCTCTGTGCTGGATTTGGTGTCCATGGAGATGGCTAATTCCTCGCGCAATTCCAGTTGCGATGTGCTTTGCTGATTCCACGTCCAGCTCATTTGTTGCTCTCAACGCATCTTCTAGGCTCTATCGTTTGCAATGGATGTGAGAATAAACAGGGATGTCAGCATTGGGAATGGTTCGTGCATTGGGCGTGCATGAATGTACGACATGGTGGACTCTCACATTCAGCACCATGTTGGCTAGCTCCAGTGATACACATAGCTGGTCCCTGTCCTTGAAAGCGGACCCAAATGCGATGATGTTGGGGTGCCAGTTCTTTTCCAACATCGACAGCATCGCGACCTCGCGGTCGTACTATGCAAACAACGAAAAGTAGAGCAATTAATTTTCTCGTCTCATCCCTCTTTTCAATTCCAGAAAATAGAAAAATAAAACGTAATCAACACTTGGCCAGCTTGCGCTCCGCTTCTTTTCCTCGGTGTCGGCACACACCTTCAAGGCAAGGAAAAGGTTTCTCGCCATGACTCTCAATGCACAACCAAACCCCCCCTGTTCAGACGAAGCAAAAAGAGAAACGAGATGTGTGTCAGTCGTCCATTGCTCACACAAAAGGGTGTTGATGTCGTGTCACTCTTTTGTTTTGTTTTGCTTTGCAACTTACAGCTGCAATCGTCCCAAGGTATTCAAAAGTACCTCCAATCGACCAGTCGCGGTACCACTAGCCGTATGAGACAGGTGAGAAACGATAGTTTGGTCAGTTCTCTCGTCCTCAATGGGTCAAGGCAAAAGACATTAGCTGTTCGTACGTGATCGCACAACTTAAGACAGTACCTTGTAGGGCTCGATATACCCGGGAGCCCTGACATAGACAAGAGCGTGAGTAGAAGGAGGTCGAGATTAGGGTAGATTGACGTTGGGTGATAACGAATGACTTTTCTATTTCCTGATGGCGAGGGCGACGGGGTGTGTGAGGAGGAGGAGGAGAAGGAGGAGGAAGTATCGTGAATTGGCGCGATGATGATGATGGCGCAGCCACGAGTTCTATTGGCGTGTAAACTGGTGTGGGTTTTGTTGGGCACAAATTGGAGTGCGTTCTGTTGGCGTAATATCCGGGGCTGGCACATGTGACGGCAGACTCAGTGACAAGTAGAGCTGTAATGCTGTCGGTTGTGGTACTGTTGGCTCTTGATCCAAGTCTTCCTCGGTCAAGTACTCGCTATGGCTTGAGGGTGGTATTGTTGAAAGGAGGTTCGGTCCTGCCGAAATGGTAGGCAAGTTTGCTAAGGGTGGCCCTGTTATTTCCTCCGCTGGCTCTCCCACTTCACCCGCCACCTCTTCTCTCCTCAGCTCTATTGATGCTTCAGGTAGTTCTACCGTCTGCTATGAAGTTGAGTATGTGGTCGATATATGCGGTACAATGGTGGACGACATTGTTTGAATGAGGAGTGTAGGAAAAACATAAAGAAAGCAAAAAAAAAAAAGGGACGACGGAATGGTGTTTATGTGATTTCAATTGGCACAGCACTTAAGAAGGGTACTCGGAGCATATTGCGGCACAGCACCCACACCTACCCATCGATTATGTCTATTCCCTTCCCTCAGTGGTTTTTTCCTTTTGTTCTCAACCACCGTCCATCGTTGTTCCTTGTCGTATGCTAAATTTTATTTGTGTCCCCTGGAAATATGGTGGTCTGTGCGCTGCATACAATTGACCAAGGGTCTGCATTGTTTGTTGACAGCACCAGAGCGGCTACCAGGTCCTACTTTTTTATTTTCATTTGCTCCATTGGTATCTCTTTATAGGAGAATGACAGCCCTGAGGTAGCCCTCTCTGTAGACACTCGAACCGTGTCTCTGCGATGCCAGGCTGTCGCCTCCATTGCTGCGCACGGGTGTTCATGTGCATACATGTTCTCTTCCATTACCGCCATATGACTATTCATGTCTTTCTTTTCCTTTCTTTCTTTCCTTTCCTTTCTTTCTTTCCTCTCTTCTTTTGCTTTTTCTTATTCCTCACCCTTTCGCATCTCTCCCCCCCCCCCCCCATCATCCCTCACGTCTTTGTTGCACTCTTTTGTTTGTCATTCACACTCACACTCCCACGTCCTTTCAACTATGCTCGAAGACATACAGTCCTCCTTTTCTCTCCAACGATCATGATCCTTGACGTCCTTTTTCTTCTTCTATGTTTACCCAGGATCACCCGTATCACAGTTCGCTTTGTATGTCCGATTGGGCGAGGTCAGGAACGGGATGATGCTGCTGCTCAAAGACAGCAACAAAAGGAAAGTAGCGGTTGCATTTTTACTTGTTCTTCACTCAACGACGGAACGGAGTGGGATGTATGTGGGTATCAAGGGGTGGATGTGGCCATGGAGGCGTGCTCGTGTTGATATGCACCAAGGAGAGTATACGGGTATTTCCCGGGGCTTACTTGGCCTGGTGCAACAGTTGAACCCCCGATCAGAGTAGCTTTAGATAAATAGATACTGCCAGGAAACCGGAAGGAACAGGCAAGAGGTAAGGGAATAGGGTGAGAAAGGGTTTACTAGGCTGATAGATTTATTGCAAGACAAGGTTAATAAAGAAAGGAGACTGAAGGTCTACTTATACTAGATACAGGGAATTAATTAGGGCGAAACAGAACTACATGCTAGACCCGTGTAACAGATCGTGTGCTAGACCCATGTAGCAAAAGGGTGACGACACCGAACTATGAGAGAACTTGTTGGAGATCTTGGGTTGAACGTGGCAGTCGTATTCCCCATCATCGCCCTCTCCAGCGCTCTCTCCTTCGGACTCCTGGCCACTGGCCGAACCGACAGAATCCTCGGATCCAGATGCAGGCGTGGAAGTCGAGCGGATCGACTTTGGGTCGAATCGCACACTCTGGGTGAGAACGTCAGAATCGCGGTCCTCGCTGCCCTCAGGGGCGTGGTTCGACGAGCCCTTGCGAGACCCCAGGTCCGGAATGTTGCGGCCGGCGATGGTCCCAGGGCTGGTTGTGCGACGACGGGCAGCTGGAGGGGGGGAACCGAAAGACTTCTTCATGGTTGGTCGTGCTGAGGATTTGAGTGTTCAGGGAGGTCGAGGGGAGAGAGGGCGTCGGAGGAAGGAAGTCGAGTGGGAGAAGTGAGGGATGGTTTTCTTTCCTTTGTTTTGGAATGAACATAAAAAAGAGGATGAAGGGACCATCCTCTTTTAAATGTGCAAGTCGGTGATGGATTCGAATGGCAACTTGAAGATGTCGCCATCGCGAACCAATCGGAGGGGTCCCGTTTGCCAAGACAGGGATGTGGGCAATCCATTACGAGGGTGGATGGATGGTCGGATCGGATTGGTCGGAAAATAGGAAAGGAAGAGAAGAAAAGGAGATGAGATGGAGGGAGGGATGGGTGGATGGATGGATGGATGGATGGAGAGGGTGCACCCATCGGAGTATAACCAAAAGAAAAATAAACTAAAACGAGGGAGGGCAAGTAAGGTTGTGTAACACGAACGGATGAGAAAAACAAGGGGGCAAGATAAAAGAAATAAATAGAAATAACGTGGAATCATAAGTCCCAAGAAAATAAAGGAAAGGAAGATGAAAAACAATAATGCACTCTTCTTTCTTCTCTTTGCTCCTCCCCCAAACATCCTACTCCCGATATCCCGTCAAGCGAAGGTGGCTGACCGACCGCCCGTTCCTGTACACCTGCAATCTCCCGTCCCTCAGCTCATTCAGTCGATATGCCCCTCCAGCCAAGCATGCTCGTATCCAGTAGGGTCCTTTCCATCTCGCCTCCAATTTCCTGGACTTGCTTTCGCTCCTCCCAGAGTCATAAAGCAGCACTGCTTGCCCCACTTTGAAGGTTCGTGGTAGGGGATCGTCAGAGTGTACGCCCAACAACTCGTGATGACGCATGCCCAGGTTCTCCACCAGAATTCGGTGTCGTGATGTGGTCTATAACGATGAATACTATCTGTTAACTAACAAGAACTAACCACTATGATACTGCAAACTACAAGCGCATAACTATTGAAAAGATGGATCTAAGTCCGTACCTGGTGAGGATCAGGTGGACTTGGGACCCAGAAAGGTACGCAAGAAAAAGGCCCGAGATGTAAGGTAAAGAAACGACGGGTGAACGAATAAGTCTACAGAACAAAAGGTGGAAGATCCATTAATGAATAAGAGGAACTATTACTATTAACAATGAAACAAGGCACTTGCGCACTGAAATAAGGATTCAGGGCGCTTACCAAAATAGAACCAGAAAGATCTCGTGGTTCCAAATAGAGCGAGGGAGAAGCGGATGTTCTGAATTCTACAGATAGTGATACAAAAAGGGGACCAAAGGGTAATGAAAGTGGGGATCTATATTAGCCAAATGGCACCGAGAGCATAAAGGACTGAGTTCTTTGAGGAACAACTAGGAGAGTTCCAAGGAGTCCGCATATTGTAGGGCTGATCGTGGTGATGGCGAGAAGAGGAGTGCTGACAGTGGAGTAGACCCCGTATGTTGTTGCTACCGATGGGAATTTGATCCGCAAATCGATCCGTTCTGAACTATTAGACTGTTAGACGATCTGTCGGCTTGTGGTCGGGTGTTGGGCTGCAACAGCGGAGGTCTTGCGAACTCGTGGACAGGGTGTGCTCCGGATGGTTGGTATGCATCTCTTGGCGGTGCAGAACGTGGCGAAAGGAAAAGGATCTGAACGGAATGCTGACTTGTTGTTGGCGGAGATGCGCGTAGGCGCATCCACGTCTGGAAGGCAATGGTATACCTGAGTATTGCCGTGGACTTCCAGTTCAATATGAAGAACAAAAGTCAAAAGTCGGTAAAATAAATCAGAAAAAGCAGGAGGAGCCAAATTGCTCCATCCTTCGTTTTTATCACTAGCTAAGTACCCCTTAATCCGCATGCTCTTAATTTTGTTACTCAGGGGAGAGGGTCGACGGCCAGAGTTGTAGGACCGCTGTTAGGTCCTCAATTGGTACGGAGGGGGGAAGGAGGTTGTAGGTTGGAGGGAGGGGAAGTGATAATAGCGTCCTAAAAGAATCACACAAAACGATACACTGCAGCGTGCCAGCGAAACTCTTGTCAATACTGCTCTCGTCCAAGTGATGTGTAAAAGGACAAAGAGCAGACAAGAGGGCTCGGCGCACTACTAATACTATGTCTACTAAAGAATATGACTGCTAACCTAAGGCATCGCCGCCACTGCCTAGCCACCACATCTTTTTGTAACAATTTGAACAAAATCATGAGTGAGAGAACGATTCCCGTTCACATCACCACACTAGCCACATCACACTTCGCGCATGGAGGGGCCGCTTAGATGATGCAGGGCTTGAAGACGAAGGGGTGGAACAAGTGTTGTTGCTGTTGGAGTTCATAATGAGGAAAGTGGAGAGTGATTGAAGGGTGTAAGTTGCGAAGGAAGAGTTTTCCTCATAATTTTAACTGGCCTTCGGCAAAGGAAGAGTCTTTGTCAAAGGAGGAAAAAAAAAAAGAAAAAAAGAACGGTGACTCGGGGCGAAAGTCTCCTTGTATTACTGGATGTCGAGAGCAAGCGGGGCTACGATAGTTGTAGTCAACAAAGTGGGGAAAAAGTGTAGACAGACAGAGGTACGAAGGAGGTAGAAGTCGCGTTTGGAGGTGGAAGGGAGAGTGCAAACAAAGAGAGCAAAAAAAAAAAAAAAGAAAGCGGTGAATAAAAGGGTGACAATTCACGACACTAGATAGAAAAGGTGTAACCAGATGAATGATGCAGGTGAATAATACAGGGTGCTGAGAGGGCGATGAAGTCCTGGCGCGAGAGTGGCGAGGCGAGCAGGGTGGGGGCGGTTGGTAGAAGAGGTGTTGGTAGAAGAGGTGTTGGTGGTGAAAGTGGGAATGGAGGAAGTTGAAATGGAGAACAGAATGGCAAGGAAAAGTGGGCCATGGTGTGTGTTAAATGCAAAGATGAGGATGGTGACAAGGGGAAAAAAGGTAATGGGATGATGAGGAGGCCGATCAATGAGGAGTGCTGCATGAATGTTGTGAGTTGAATGCATGGAGGAAAAAAGAAAGAAGGGATGGTGACACAAGAGGAAGTTATGACGGGTTGGGCCGTTATGCACAAGCATATCAAAGTCGATCTCAAAAGGAGCTCGATAGTCAGCCGGACCAACGAGGCTGGGGCCAGAGGTAGAAGCGGAGGCTTGAACTTGAGGAGTCCCTGTTCCGACTCAATCAGGCTTTGGGTCTTGAATTGGTGTATCTTCTCACCATCGGTTAACTTAGAGGCAATGGGGGCAGCAGCGAACTCATAACGTTGGAAATACGAGTTCGGGGTATCGCTTCTGTCCCAGACGACGGCTGCGAGGTTGTTGCGATGTGTAGACTCCAGCTCGTCAGTGCCAAACTGGCGACTGAAGGCAGCCTTGAACTCGGTCCAAGTGAGTTCAGGATGGGCCTCATCCAAGCTCTGTCCCCAGACTTGGGCAACGCCTCGGAGCTTGAGGATAGACGCGGTCGGCCAGTCGGTATCGGGTAATTTGCACAGCTTAGCAGTCATCTCGATCTGCTTTAGCCATGTCTTGGCCGTATAGGGGTCGTTCTGACTAAAATCAAACGTCTCGTGTCGGACGGGAGGGTAGTCCTTCAAGGAGTGCTGGCAACCGGAATAACTTCGTCGATGTAGATCTAAGGGCCGGTAGTAGTGAGGTAGAGTTACAACTGAAAAGGATTTGGACTTGATGCTGGCTGTGAATGGATGAAAAAATTGGATGTATAAAGGCGGGTAATATAAAGGGAATTGAAAGAACTCGAGCAGCCGGGTTGGAGACTCGAGGAATAAAGGTAAAATGGGGGGTTTTTAGTTTTGGAACTTGTATCACGCTTCTTTTTCTGCTACGTCACCATTAGTCTCGTAAAAGGGTTCTCCTTACGACGGTACTGTTTTTCTTGAAAATAACAGCTTTGACGACATTGTATTCAAAGTGTCCGTATCGGTATCGGGAGACACTAGTGCAGTTGTATTGCACTTTTGGGTTGTAGATCCGCAATGATAGCGTGTGATGAGATCCGACCTTGTGAGCTTGCCAAGGCGAAACAGGTGGGAGATGTGAGAGGGATAGGCTGTTGGGTGCTGAAAAGAGAAAAAAGGAGGTAACGATATTGCAAACATGCAAGAAAGAAAAGCTGAGAGGGCTGAAAAATAGTCGAGAGGAGGAAGGAGAGGGGCTGTGGTCTGTGTACTCGAGAGACGACCAATGGCCCCTCTCTCTCTGGTGGAGGTAGTAGCAAGGGAAGAAGGGAGTGTGAGAAGAAAAATAATAGGGTACGAATGGAGGGAAATGGTTAGGAAAGGAAGGAAAAAGTGAAAACAAGGGGAGAGCAATCTTTTCTATACATGTCTGCCTGCCATTTGAGTTCTGTCAGGTGAGATTGGGTTGATGCTTTCCTTGTCCTTACTTTTTCCAGGACGCGTTCCACATCGCTCTCGTTTCGTTCACATTTTGCACGGATAGCATCGTAGACACGATTTCTCTTCCTCCTTCTCTGTTTCACTGTATGTGACCGTGATCGACCGTTGCGTTTATGGATGATCAGTCCCCCTTCCTTTCTCTCGTCCGTTCCTGAAATCAGACCCAAAAAAAACAAAGGGGTGATACGGATTGTGTTTTCAAACCTGATTTTTATTTGTTTCAGCAACGGTGTGGTAAACGCCAGGACGGCGATATTGCGGCAGGAAGAACCCGACCCATCAGCCCTCGAAGGAGAGATCAGCAGCGATGCCGTCTTTGCCCCTTCTCTGCTGCTACAATTCGGCGCTTAAAGGAGACTCGATGGGAACGACATTATTCCATAACAAACGCTGTAATTGGACAGCCTGAGCAATCCTCCGAGAAGACAGAGTCCGGTGTACAACCATCTGAGGAAGATCGATAGACGTCCACCAATAGGATTTCGAAAGCCGTCTCGTTGATCGTGGATCTGGTCAAGCGCGCACTTGTGCTAAGGCGGGACAAATGTCAGAACGTCAACGATAGAGGTTTGTTAGGCCAAAGGTTCTTTTGCGTGAAAAATAATAATAGAAAGGAGGTCGAGGATCGGAAAAAATGTGAGGAGCACGACCGATGTGTACAAAGTGTTGTGGATGATGGATAGCAAGAAGAATAAAACTAAGAAATTGTTCTGAGTTCGCTGTCTGAGAAATAAGTCTTCAGCGCGGCCTTTGTAGGCCAGAATTTTTCTTTCGACACGTCAGGGGAAGGATGGGTGTCAATCTCGCCCACTTTATTTCTACTTTGCCCACTCCTTTTTCCTTCTCACTTCTCCATCGCTCATCACTCTCCTCTAGTTCGAGCTAGGAATCGACATCATCTCTCGGACCCATCTCTCGCATCCAAACGATGCCACAGGAAAACTCTCCTCACACTCAACTTCTCCAAGCAGTCCGACCTGTCTAAAAGAACAATATCGCTCCTACAACCAGCACCAGTGGCATACATTGTTATACATATAGTCCCTTCATCGCAGAAACATCATACTTTGGGACGATGTGCTGCGGGGCCATTATCCTCCTCCTTCTAAAGGGCTCTAACTTCAAAAAGTATGTATCCAAGTACTTGATCACTAAGGAAAAATCGCTCTTGAGCATAGTAACGGCGGTACTCTAACATATCGCTTTGAATTCATTTAACATGAGAGTCTCGACCCTTCACTTCGCAGTCATTTATGGAGTCATCCTGGACATCGTCGTTGACAACTCATTGGTCGATGATTCTTCATTAGCGCCAACAGCAATATCATGGACGGCTCAGGAATCACCTCTACAGGAAAACATTGTTGTCAGTTTGACAGTCAGGCGAAGCCCAAAGTAGGGAGAAGTAGAGGCGGCACTTGAAGATTATACACATATCGACAAACCCTACACCGCAACAGTCGGAAGGAGCCTGCGTGTGGCGAGGTTGAAGCGGCAATGCAAAACTACATCCATATTGACAGGCCTAACACCGCCGCTCGTGAACCTCAGCTCCTCTCCTGCGATCGCAGCACCAACGACCCACCAAACGAGCAGCAGTCAAGCGACACCAGTCGACTGTAAGGACCTCAATATGAACTAGGTTCCCTTTGCTACTTTGGTTTGGCGTTTCGGAAGTCCATTCGAGGACTTTGGGATTATGTCTAAAGGCGGCTGAAAGGGCACACAGGAGCTTATCTCTTGCTTGGCGAGAAGCATGAGGATGGTCCAGGTGCACCTCAGAGCGACTCCAAGGCCACAACGTGGTATATAAAGGCTGACTATGGAGGACATACGAACGCAAAGATGTACGTGGAAGACGTGAAGGAGCGGAGTCTGGTCCTCTTTGCGTTGAAGAAGCTAGGGCTACAAAAAATGAGTCTGATCCTTGGGCGGGATAGTTGGCCATGAGGATGATGAGACTGAGAGATGCAAGATCACTTAAGGGCAATGTCAAAGGGGCTCCCAGGCGCATTTCAGACTAGTGAGTGTGTTGAAAAATGAAATAAAAGAGAAAGAGAGAGAGCGGATGGGGGATGTAATCTCCTCTTTCTCACACCACCACCATCAAACTCACCTTCACTCTTACCTTCTCTTTTTCCTTTTGTCAATTGCACACACTCCCTCTTCCTTGTCCCACACATACCTTTTCTAAACAGGAAGGACCTCAATTGCAACAACAAAACCTTGCCACCAAAAACAACATCAATCACAAACAAACGCTCTCTCTCCTCTCTGTTCCCTACGCTTAAACCCCCCCAGCCCGACCTTCTCCTCGTCTCTCGGGTGTTCAGGCACACACTTATTCCTTCTTGTCAACACAGAAAGACAAATAACCAACCAATCAATCAATCAATCAATCATTCATTCACCTATGGAGACACAACTGAGTGAGTAGCAACACCTTGCACCCTATCTCCCCTAAGCCCTTTCCCTTCCTTCTCTCCTCTCCCGTCACTTTTCCCTTCTTTTTCTTGGCTCTTGTAGTTGTGGACTATTAGGCCAAACGAAGAGGCAGTGCTCAGTTGCAAGAAAAAGTACCCGCTGTTGTGTACAAATGAACAATATCTGCCCCGCTCTCGCACGCACAACCCTCCCCAACAACAATATCTCTGCACCACTCAGTGATAACAACGTAATAAGGAACAGGAGCAGAGCAGAGCAGACAACAACGACAAACAACCAGAGTCCAATACTGCCTCAGCCCTTACTCACCCACCTCCTGCATTCATTTTTTGCCACCTCTTCTTCACTTTCCTCTCATTCTCACCTTCGCATCATTCCGACCCTGCCTCCTTTCTCTCAACCTCCCTGCACTTCCTCCCCCCTTGTCCTTCAATTCAATATAAGAATAAATGAGCCGCCATACTAACGGATACCACCACTCTCCTTCGTCTTCTGCTCACTACTCCAACGGCGACCACTCCTCAGTGAACCCCTTTGCCGGACAGAACATCGGCTACCTCCGCCTGGCCGTGGTCGGAGACAGTGGCGTCGGCAAGACCTCCTTCGCCCGCCAGTTCACAGAAACTTTGCCCGAGGTCCTCTCCCACGACTGGGAACCCCTCTCGCCAACTCATTCGGAAGATGATGACTACAAACGGACCGACACTCTCATCGAAAAGTTCTCATCCACGATGATGGAGATTCCCTGGGACAACATGGATGCAGACGACGAAGTCCCTGCTCGCAACCTAGTCTTTGTTGGTACGTCTTTTTTGTGATGCTCTTGTTTGTCTCAGATGGAGAGGAAGAAGTACTGCCTACCACACCCGCTTTAGTACATGTTTCTTTGGTACATAGCCCAACTCTGGCGAGTCTTCTTCAGGGCATAGCCTCCCAATCATGAGAACTTTCAATTGCTAACCTCTATCGTTTCAATTGCCCTGACTATCGTGCTAAAAGATACCCCTGGATACGGAAGTGTTGTGGATGCTCAGCTCAACTTTGACATGTTCATGTCTTATATCGGCCAGACTTTCGATGAAAAGAACAAGCGCATCTCGCCCTTCACAGAAGTCTCCAACAATGAACTCATGCGCTCCCTTGTCACTGGTATGTTTGCAGCTTCACCTTGTCTTTTTTCATATACATGTTCATATTCTTGTCGTCTTGATCATGTTTTCTCTGCCTTTTCGTACCTTTCTATTTTACAAATTGCTCGAGCATTCCTCTGGATGACAGTTGTTGTGCTATGCAAGGAAGGAAAATCAACAAACTCACGCCGCATTTTTTTCTACTTAGGTGTGGGGGCGCACAAGTTTATTGATGTGGTGTTTTACTTGGTTGTGCACCGGTTGAAGGCCATTGACGTGGAATACATGCGGTTGATCTCGGAAAAAGCGAACGTGGTACCGGTGATTTGCAAGGTCGACACACAGTCGGAGCAAGAAGTCCGGGACCTTAAGGTCCAGGTCCTCAGGACTCTCAAGGAACAAGGAGTGTCGATTTACACCTTCAGGATCGACTACGACCGTTTGATTCACATGGCTGAGAACGGACAGGTCGGCGGCCCTCCATTTGCAGTCTCCAACACGGCAGTCAAGCCTGCCTCTGATGATGCCGACGACCATATTGCGTTTACGCCAGCATCGAATGAGCTGCCATTGCTCAGGAAGTTGGTCCTAGAGACCCAGATCACCAACATTCGCCAGTTCACTGTTAAAAAGTTTATCAACTGGCGTGGAAAGCACCTTGCCCAGCAGCAGCAGCAGCACCAACAACACCAGCAGCAGCAGCCATTACAACAACAGCAGGCTTACTATCAACAGCACCAATACCAGCAGGCCGCCCGTTAAGCAAAGCAATTGACGGACCCCTACCTTCCTTTTTGTCGTTGGCAACTTCTCTCATCCTGCAACCCTTTCTTATGCCGTTCTCTCTTTCTACAAGCACATATACATGGAACACAGCCGCTACGTCTCCGCGAGATGTAGATGCGACCATCTAAACCTAATAAACCGAACCTATTTATTATTATATTTTTTTTGGATGTCCATACTACCTTTCATGACCAAAAGGATCCTACTTGCTCCTTCACCATCATTATGAGTACACCGGAACCATAGGTCTAACTAGGTCGACTGCGGCCACTAGATAGAAAAAGGGAGCATGTGTGTGCGGCAAGGAAGTTATCATGTGACGTCCACAAGAAAGGGTCATGATGACTGAAGTCTATCTTGCAAGCACAAATAAAAGGACACTCGTCTGCCTTCTTTTTCATACAATTTTGATACCCTTTCTCTGACTACATCCACTGCGACCACTTTACACCACCACTACTAACTCCGACAGTCCCTGTTGTTTTTATTTCACCCCTCCAGCTGAAAGCATCTCTTCTTCTTCCTTTCTTAATCAACCTCACCACCACCAACTTTCAACAACAACAACAATGTCCGAGCAGCTGGTCGCCCTCTTCCAGAACATCGGCCTCGCCGAGCAGAAGGCCAAGGAAACCGCCAAAAACAAGAACCTCGCCCCAACCCTCGAAAAGGCCATCCACTCTGCAGGCTACGACTCAAAGCCTGCCGAAAAGGCTGCCGGTGCTCTCGTCTACGCCCTCGCCTCTACCATTACCCCCACCGCCCTCCCCCATCTCGACTACCTCGCCAAGGCTATCCGCGACTCGTACGTCTTTCATTTCTGCTTCTTGTTGTTGTTGTGGAAGGGTGATTACGTTGTTTTGGGGAGTCACTGAGGAGTGGACTTAGATCTTGAGCAGGAAATGACGACGGACTAGAAGGACGCGATCTGGCGTGTGTTGATCAGTTTTTTCTTATTACTAGTGTCCAAAAGTAGACTAGCAGCAGAACAACTCACACTTCTTGCATGCTTGCTTCTTGTTGTCTTTTTTTTTTTGAATAGTCGCCTCACCACCTCTGACCAGGTCTCCGGTAAGGACACGATTTTCTCCTCTTTATATCACGCCTGCTCACTCTCCAGGCTTTTTTTTGTTCTCTCCTCATGGGAGAGTTCTATCTATCCTCGTGTTTGGTAACAATAGAAATACAACAGAAAAACGGGCCACCATGGGACTGACTCTCTTACTTTTTTGCCTTTCTCCATGAATAGCTGCTATCAAGTTTGTCCAGGACAAGAAGGAGATTGACGAGGCCAAGTTCAACGAGGAGTGCGGTGTCGGTATGTTCATCAAGCCCAACGGCTTCTTCAACCCTAGATTATCAACTGTCAACAACGCCACACTACTTTCTTTTCCCTTTCCTTTTATTCATCATCCACCTTATCCGACCCCCCTTTTTTGTTTTCCTCGGACGCGTCATTCAAAACGCGTTTTGTGAATATCAATTGTTTACTGACCCTATCCTTATCTGCCGTTATCACATATAGGTGTTGTTGTGACCAAGGAGGAGGTCAACAGTGCTGTCGACGCATACACAGAGACCGTCAAGGACAGATTGGTCAAGGATCGTTACAAGTTTTTTGGTCTCTTCTTTGCCGGTGCCAAGAACATCCCCAGCTTGAAGTGGGCTAACGGTGGAGACATCAAGGAAGCTGTTGATGCCCAGATGCTCGCTGTCCTTGGACCCAAGGATGAGCGCGATGTCGTCGTCAAGAAGGTACTGTGTCATATGGATTATCACGCATGGAGGATCACATCCAGGATGAGAGGAAGGATGAGAAGGAGAATTAGGTGCGGGATAAAACGCATGATAGGAGACAGGAATAGAGGTGGCATGAAATATTCACTTGACGCAAACAATGACAAGGAGAAAAACAGGACAATCGACATCGGTGTCAACATCTATTTTAACAGCAGCAGCAGCAGATTTTGCAACAAACCCAGTTTGAACAGAAGCACTGAAATCAGCAATGGCTTCAGTACCATCATACCAACCACAGCCACGAGTCAGGCTACAATAACAATGGCAATTACAAGACTGTCTAGCACCAACTAACATCAATTTTCCCCCTTTTTAAAATGGACGTATGTAGAAGAAGGAGGCCAAGGTCGAGGCAAAGGTGGAGAAGAAGGTCGAGACTTCGGCTACTGAGGTCAAGGTCGCAGATATGTTCTTTGAGGGAGAGCTCTCAAAATTGCACATCCCTGGAGGCAACCCCCAGATCAAACCCGAGTTGATGGTTGAGCACTTGAAGGCAACCGGCGGCAAATACGTCACCCGTTTCCCCCCAGAGCCCAACGGTTTCTTGCACATTGGACACGCCAAGGCCATCAACATCAACTTTGGACTCGCCAAGGCCCACAACGGTATCTGCAATCTCCGCTACGATGACACCAACCCCGAGGCTGAGGAGGAGAGATACTTCACCTCCATCTTCGAGATTATCAAGTGGCTCGGATTCACCCCCAGCGAGGTCACCTACTCCTCCACCCACTTTCAGCGCCTCTACGAGCTCGCCATCGAGTTGATTAAGAAGGATAAGGCCTACATCTGCCACGTAAGTTCGAGGATTTTGCTTTCACACCCAAAAAAATGAGAGTTGAATTAATATCGATCACATCTGACCAAATCGTCTTTCAATATGTCAAATAGTGCACGGGAGAACAGATTCAGATGCATCGTGGTGGCCCTGAGCGTGGTCCTCGTACTGCCTGTGAGCACCGTGACAGACCCATCTCAGAGTCACTGGAGTTGTTCGAGAAGATGAAGAACGGCGGATTCGAGGAGGGACAGGCCATTCTCCGCATGAAGATGGATCTCGAGAACGGCAACCCCCAGTTCTGGGACTTGGTCGCCTACAGAGTCTTAAAGACCCCCCATCACAGGACTGGCTCGGAATGGATCATTTACCCCACCTACGACTACACTCACTGTCTCGTCGATTCATTCGAGAACATCACCCATTCTCTCTGCACAGTCGAGTTTATGCAGTCGCGCGCTTCGTACTACTGGTTGTGCGATGCCCTTGAGGTCTACAAGCCTGTCCAGTGGGAGTACGGTCGTCTCAACGTTGCCAACACCATCTTGTCCAAGCGCAAGATTGCCGAGTTGGTCAACAAGAAGCACGTCTTTGACTGGGATGATCCTAGATTGTACACTCTCCCTGCCATCCGTCGTCGCGGTGTTCCACCTCAGGCCATCAACAACTTTGTGCACACGTTGGGCGTCACCAAGTCCGACACTGTGATTGAGGTCTCCAAGTTGGATGCCTTTATTCGCGACTACTTGAACGAGACTGCTCCTCGTTTGATGGGTGTCTTCAACCCCATCAAGGTCACACTCGAGAACTTGCCCGAGGGTCACGTCGAGATGTTGACTGTTCAGAACAAGCCTAGAGATCCCTCAATGGGTGAGCACTCTATCCCCTTCACTCGCCAGGTCTGGATTGACGGATCGGATTTCAGAGAGCAGGACGACAAGGATTTCTTCCGCTTGGCACCTGGCAAGACTGTCGGTCTCCTCAATGTCCCCTGCCCCATTACCTGCACCAAGGTTATTAAGGATGGGTCTGGCAAGGTTGTGGAGTTGATTGCTCGCTATGAGGATGCTGCCGGTTTCAAGAAGCCCAAGACCTATATCCAGTGGGTTGCTGAGAGTCCCAAGCACAACTCACCCGTCCGTCTGGATGAGGTCCGTCTGTTTGACCGTCTGTTCCACCACGCCAACCCTCAGGACAAGAAGGAGGTTCCCGGCGGATACTTGAGCGATGTGAACGCCGACAGCTTGAGCACCGAGAAGGGCGCTTTGGTTGAGATTGGATTGTGGGACATCATGGATCGCTGGGCCAAGAGCTCGGAGACCAAGACTGACTACGAGGCCATGAGGTTCCAGTTGACCCGCATCGGATACTTCTGCGTGGACAAGGAGGCTGATTTGGGTGACTTTAAGGAGAAGCCCGAGGCGTCGATCAAGGACACTGTCAAGAAGATTATCCTTAACCGAACCGTCAGTTTGCAGATCAACAGCTCCCTCAAGAACCAGGCTTAAGCTTACCTTCTTGGAGATTCTTGTTTTGCCCATTTCCCAGTTTTTTTGTCATTTTCATTAAAAGTGCTTTTTGTCTTTTATTACTTCGGCGAGTAAGGCTTGTGGTTTCTTGGGAGCGGTGTATATTAAGGCTAGAAGAGGCTTGATGAAGAGCTACGCACTTTCCTGCAAAAGCGGGACCTTTTGCCAAGACCCAATGGATGTTGGGCTGAGGGCAACAAAAAAAAATGCTCCTAATTTCACTTCATGGACGAAACAATGCAAGATGGCTTTTTTTTTTCCTGGTGGAGGTTGAGTAGACAGTAGAAAAGAGCCCCTTTTCCCCGTGTTTCTTCAACCTTTTCTTTTGCGAATTTCTTGGCAAAGGGAATTGGGACGGGAGGGGGTCAGAAGGGCATCGTTAAGGAAGTTAGATGAAGTTAGAAGGAGCAGGGGAGATGAGGGAAACAAAAAGCCCGATATCATTGGTGGCGGTGTTGGTTTTCTTTGTTTTTGTGCAACAGATGATGTATTATTTCGAAAAAGGGCTGTGGCGAGTGAGTAAGTTCAAGTCTTGGCAACGAAAAAAAACAAAAAAAAAAAAATGGCAAAACATCCATAACCCGCATTAATTTTTTTCCCAGTCCGCCTGAGATGGCGAGTGGAGTGATTACATGGAACGTTTTTTTTTGTGATATAAACATGCCCCCAATTCTCCCCCTCCCTTCCCCTTTCCTCTTTTTTTTCACGCATACAAGAACCACACGAACAAACTCATGGACACTTTCCAGTCTCTTCAATTCTCACTTTCCGCATTGGTCTCATACAACAACACCAGCCCTACAACTACTACCGAAGAGTCAACCACGAACACAGCACCCAACCAACCCGCAATCCCCACAACCCCAGTCATCATGTCCTCCCAGTCATCAGCACAGTCCACCAAAGACCTCCAAAAATCCATCAAAGAGACTCTCAAGACCTACGAAACCGCCTACAAGACGACCGTCCGCGAGGCCGAAAAGAAATGCGAAAAGATCCGTAAAGAAGCCGATAAGGAGTTTGAGCGGGAGAAGGCGATTATCAAGGGACATCGGGATGCGAAAGAGAAGGCGGCCAAGGAGGAATTTGGGATTTTGAAACAGGAGGCCAAGGATTTACATACTCATCTTGTGTTGGAGGCGGTTCGGAATGCGATTTTGGATTTGAAGACGCGGAACCTTGTTGCTGGGCCAGGGATGTTGGCGAGATCGAACTCGGTCGTTTCGACAAACTCTGCAACGGGGACGGCGGCGATGACACCGGCACAGGCGGCTGCGGCCGCGGCTGCAAAGGAGGAGGCAGAAGTGAAGGAATGGGTTGAGATCGCGGCTGAGAAGCTCGATATGCACATGTCTCGCTCCGTCGTCCGTCAACGAGTCCTAGAAGAAGTTGCCTCGGGGGCCTTATTGAGACAGTACCGGGCTCAACAGGAGGCTGATCGACGGACTCAGGACCTGCAGCAGCAAATTGAGCACCTCCAGATGCTTCAGCGCCAACATCAGCAGCAGCAGAGTCTACATGGTGTGGCACCGCCGGCGTATGGGCCTCCTGTGGGTGTTAGTGACGGTGATTATAGCCGGCTGTATGATGCTAAGAAGCCTTAGTTAGGGTGCTCTTTGTTTCCTCTCCATTCCTTTTTCCTTCTTCCCCTTTCCGTCTTCCTTCTCTCCATTTTGTACATATTATCAATAACAAAGCACCTTTTTCCGTTACTTTCTTTCTGTTGTGCCTTGCATTGTGATAGGAGAGGCGTGCAGGAATTTGCTCTCCAGGGAGTGCCTAGAAAAACATAGAAAGGGGGTCACGTCCAGGACAATGATTCCGTAGGTAATCAAACCAGCCAACGTGATCAAAAGTATGTGGGGGTCTTGGAGGGAGTTGCCCTTGGCTGGCCGAGTCGTTGGCGTCAGTGCCCGGTTGAACAGGGTCACTTGTCGAGGGAGAGGGAGAAGGGAGAGTGGAGTTTCTCTCGGCAACTCCTGTATCCAAAGGAGTATCTTCGGGGTCAACGGGCATAACTCGAATAGCGGCAGACGAGGAAAAGGATGTGTATGTGTGTGTGTGTGTGTGTGTGTGTGTGTGTGTGTGTGTGTGTGTGTGTGTTTGTGTGTGTGTATGTGCTCCCTCTCAATATCGCGAATAAAGACAGTAACTCTCAAGACCTGCTCGTATCGTGGAAGAAAGGTGTTTTATGTCAGTAACTATTCTCCAAAGGCTAGAAACTACTATTGCTACCAATGGTCAAAGGGCATAGTGCCTACCTGCTCGTAACGTGGAAGAAAGGTGCTTTTCCAGACACTCGCAGGCAAGCGCGTAAAATAGCGAAATGGCCACCAGAAGCTAAGCCATTCCAAATCACCACAAGTAGGAGGAGGGTGGCAGAGGAAGTAGTGGTCGATAAGATGTGGACTAGAAGACAAGAGGGCGGCGCTACTTGTATGGTCCTTCGTTGCATGGTTGATGAGTAAAGAACTTGCGAACCCCTGGACAGGTCAACGGTACAATGATGACCAAGTAAAATTCTAGCCCTCATGCTATCAGTAGCATTTTCCTTCGCCGCTAACGAAGAAGGGAAACGCGTTCCTTTCTTGCTCTTGTCGACTCTAGCTTCGTTTTCCTTTCTTATTTTTATTTTCCTCTTCCACACTCGAACGCGAAGCCTGCATGCTCTAGCTGGAAATGGGAATATGGTGCTGACAGATGAATAATTTGTCGACAGAGCTCATTGTTTACATGCCTCGGCAACTGAGCTTCCGGCTCCTCGGTCGTTGCTTGTATGGTTTGTTTACTGAACTCCCCCTCCCTTTCTCTACTATTTGTCTCCATGGGCCGAGCGGAAGGCAGTGCTCATAAAAATCTATCGCAACAGTCGTCTCTTATGGGCACAGGTACCGTACAAGCACAAGCAGAAGCATGAGCACAAGCGAAGAAAATATGACTAGGAAAGCACGCTATGGAGGAACAAGAACACACGACATTTTATTATTACTCCCATTATGCACGCCACATCCCGCTAACGCCTCATACAATATAGTTGGCTCTTGCCCCCTTTGGCCCCTAGCCCATTCCCTCACAGTCTTAGTTCCATTCCTCTAGTTTATTCTGCTGCTGTAACTTTTTTATTTCGCCGTTTTGTTTCTGTGTATCAACCATGATAGTTTTTTTTTCAACATGGTCCATCCAACTTGCATCATGTGTCATTCCCAATCAATAATTGGCAACGAACGACAATGTCTTTACTGATGAATAAAATTATAGAATTGGTTTCGAGCGATGTTGATACGGCGAGACCTGGGCTGTTGTTCAGTATTTCTCTCTCTGTCTTCTTTCTTTCATCCAAAAAAAGACTACGCGGCACTGGCATCCGGTAAGAAAGGTTAACATATAGCAATGCAGATGCAGCATCCATACATGGTCAATAGAAAGCAACAATGACATTCTTTTCGACCGAACCCAAAACCAATAAAATAGATTCTTCAGGCTTTCTTTTATTGCTAAGGTTTTGTGAGGGTACTTTGGTTATGTCATTGTTTGGTGATATCCTCCTTGGTCTGGATGACATCGCGAACGAAGGGTTGGGCTTGTCGGTGTATACCTTCAGGGTGGACTGCCAGGCCAGGGACTTGGACTTGCATTGAAGGACACAGTGCCGCAAGGAAGGATATCCCTCTTGTACCTCCACCGCATCGTCTTGGCTCTGTGGGGGATCTTGGCGCGCCAGAACTCGCGCCATTGGGTTATGGAAACCACCTCGAATTGAGTCGATGAGGTAGCAATCGGAATTAGGATTGGAGTGGGCGGATGAGAAGTGTCAAAGTTGCTCAGTGTTTGCAGAGCCGAATATCATTGTGGTCTTCCTGTTCTCGTAGAGCGTATTGACCAGCACTCTCTAGAGGATACGGTCGTCAACTAGGCCTACCGGAGAGTCCTGGATGGCGTCGTAGTGGGCCTCGAGACATGCGACGCGTTTTCGACTGTGTGAGTTAGGTATCCAGGATGACGACGCCCCTACTTTCTGCGGGACATCTGGGGTTTGTTATAGCTTGAAATCGGTTGTTATCATCCACCGTCAATTCGAACAGATCACTGATCCTGGATGCCAGGGGTTGGATAGTGTTGTCGGTGGGAGGGAACCGCCATTCGATAGGGGAGGCCTTGTAGATGGCCGACTCTGGTAGATTCGGCTGGACGATCGATGCCTTGAGCGAGGGGATCTTGGCCGCTACTGTCACAACCGCTGAAGGTTTGGAAACCCCTAGAACCCATGTCGGTACTGACCATCCAGGGGGGCCGACATGAACGCGACACGGTGGGAGGACTTGGTACGCCAGGAGATGGGGTCCAGAATAATATCCTCTCCACACGAGACATTTATTGAGGCTGCATGGCGGAGGTGCTCTACCGGCTAGTCCTCCCTTGTGCCTTGGGATGGTGGTAACACTTCAAGTCGTCACCGGCTTGAAGTTGCAAGCAAAGGCGGTTACAGTCTGGCGGACCTTGTCGAGAAACTTGGCGGGGAGGCTACCACTCAGACCAGGTGCCAGAGTCGCGAGAGAAGAAGTGAGTTGACGATGGTTGCGCGCCCCAAGACAGAAGGAGAGCGCGCGAAGAGGGAATGTCGATGACCTTGTTCAAGTACCGTTTCTCCTATTCCTTGCCGAAAAAATATAGGGAATTCGAGACAGGTGAGCGCATCCTGAGAAGTGCTGTCATGCCTCTGGAGAAAACAACCCCATGTTGATGAAAAGATTGACTATCTTTTCCTTTTCTCTGCTTCTCTGGGACACTGATCATCCATGATGAATACCTAGGTCTGGTGCTGAACTACGCGGATCAGTGAAATAATATATCATGTTCGCGTTTTCGCGCAAACAAGGGGTACATAAAAGCAACTCACCTTCTCTACTTTTCTTTCTTTCTTTTCTCCTCACCTTCCCCGGCCACTCAAGTTCAACAACGTAAGCAAACCACTATGGGTTTCTCTCTCCAGCTGCCTTCCCTTCCACCCTTATCCTCCACCCTTCTCTTCTCGCTACTCCTTCGTACACCCTCCACCTTGCTTCCTTTACACTATTGACATTTTGCCACCTACCTTGCATCTATTTTCAATGCATCACGCCCCAAAGATTGACTTTTATTGTTCATCCATTCAGCAAGCTGCAATGATGCCAGGAGAGGGCTTTCCGTTTGACCTAGGGAAAGTTCGACCCAGGAAAAGGCTCCAGAGTTGGCCTCCATCCAAGCCCATGCCAAGATGTACAAATCGGCCTTCTTTGTGATGTAAGTACCCTCCTCTTGCCTGTTTGATTTCTTGAGCACAAGTAAACGTCGATGCCACTTGATCGTTGCTCTATTGAGCCTTATGTTTGTCCAGTACTACCAGTGACGACAAGTACACTCGGCAATCCACTCTCCCTTTATATGTTGAAGGCTCAAAAGCAGCAACCTAACAACAACCAACAGTTCCAGCGTCACCGCTGGCGGTGCACGTCCTGGATCCCACCCGGAGCGGACTTATGTACGTCTGTTTATCTTTATCGTTATTCTGTGTGCTTGATTGTGGGTGCAATGGAATAGAATGGTCACTTAAACTGAGACTAATACTTTTCCTTGTGCTTTGTTAATGATAGGCGCTGTACACCAAAAGTCCATACAGCAGAGATAACGAATAGACACATCCTGTTTATTGTACGAGAAAGTAATGTGCGAAAAGAATGAGCAAAGAATTCTACAAAAGCCTCTCATTCAAACTCATCGCCATCGAAAATTGGGCGCCAAGATAAAGAAATGTTTTTCCGACTATGTTCCTTTTCGAGGTTGCTCGTTGTTTTCTTGTCTTTTTTTGTTGTTGTTATGGCTTATCTCGAATGTTGTTGAGCAAACATTCATCACCAGACCTCATTCATCTAATTGTCCATTAGGAGTAAATATTTGGATTACCGCACAATGGGTGGGGGGGATGGTTTGGAGAGGTTGAGATGGCGGGAGGATAGCTCTGCTGTGTGTAGCTCTTTTTTTGCCGATGGATGATAAGCTCGTCGACGGTGCATGCACATACTCCTTTTTTCTGTTTCTGTTTGTCGTTGGTTTGGTCATTACCTACTTTCTTACTTCTCTTATCATTTCTTTCATTTCCTACATTTCCTTCACTCCCCAAACAAACAAGAAAGCAAAATAAAAATAATAAAAAAACATCCACAATAGAGAAAAAAACGAAAAAGAGGCGTCTGTGGACATCCTGTTGGTGAACACAAGAAGTTATTCCTGTTGTTGTTTTTATATTGTCCTACGTTCACGAAATTGGGTCATTCATTTTCTTCTTGCCCTCTCATCCAACATCCACCAACAGCGAAGTCGACAAACAGTCAACTGCCAACAAACACAAAACGCAATAGTAGCAGTATTAGCAGCAATAACATAAACAATGGGCTGCAGTAGCCGCCCTCTCCTTCTCTCTATCTCGGAACTGTACCCGCAAACCCAAAAACGCACGACAGAAAGAGGTCAAAAAGGACACAGCATGTAACTGAGCAAAACTGTGGCTGTCGCTATTGAGAGTTCAGTTCACACACAAATTCTCACTTTTTCGACTTTAACGCATGCG